TGCCCGAGTGGGTGCCTCGGCAATCAAGAAGGGTACCTAAGGTGAGGTGGGATATCTGCGCCTGCAACAAGAGAGAGGCGGGGAACAGCCAGCAAACGCGGATCACTACCACGTCGGATATGCTCGTCTTGATGCACGAAGCTACGTTCCCCGGCAATGTGAGTTCGGGAGTCTAGTGATATGATACAGCCAGTACTTTTGGAGAAAAAGCTCGAGGTGAGTTGTGACGGTAGTCACGAAGCTCTCATCCCCAAGGCTCGTGACGACATGCATCGGTGTAAGTATGGGTGGGGGCAACCAGCCGGGGGCCGGAGATAAGATAAGATGTCCCCCTATCGCCGCCTTGACCAGAACAGACACGGTGGACCCTTAATAATCAGCTCCTTCTACGGACCTCACTATCTGTATTTTCGACTTCATCTCCTCGTGGATGAGGACCGACAGTACCTGCGTCATTGTGAGATCTCACGATGTTGTCTTGTTCTTTGTGAGTTGATCTGGAAGGACAATCTCCAGCTTTCTTTGATGCGACGCACTATCATCATTGTCAAAACCAAGCGCAACCAAACCTTGTCTTAAGGACATCTAGCCTGTGGACGTAATTGCTCCCTCCCAGTGCTGGCACAAACTTCGTCAGACGATATCAACCCGTCATCAGCTTCAAGAGGAGCGAGACACAGTCCGCCAAGATGGTCAGTGTCTCAACTCTCAAGAATTGCCTGACGTTCGGATCGATCGATGAAATCTCGAATGGAGATCTGGCGAGGTTTATGGCAGATGGCCCTGTACGAGCGACGCCTCGGGCGGCTTGTCGTCGGAAAACTGCCCCAACAAGTATCCCGCAATATTCCGCCCAGCGATCAAGGGACGTGGAGGTGCTGCGAGATCCCTGCCCGGCACTGATGCTCCCCGCATACGCTACCTACAGTGTGGGCCCCGCCGCACGTGTACTAGCACCAAGTCGCGAGCCGATTAAACATCTGATGATCATTGTACAAACATGGGCTTTGCTCCCATCTCCCCTCTTCTCCAGGCCGACGAGTTCGGGGAAATAATCTGGGGTATCTGACGTTCCATCTACCAGAGTCTTGAATGACGAATGGTGCTCAGACGAAGCTTCAACACACGACGCACATGATGGGAGGACGACCCTCACCTGAGTACACTGGAGATTGATATAGTATTAGTGAAACGGTATGGACTCATTCGGCCTCACTGCTTGAGTAACTCTCTTAACTCCGGAGCACAGCTCATTCAAATGCGAGAAGTACTTAGATAGGCATTGTCGTGTGTATTACTTGCAGCTGAGAGCTAGGCTCGTGTCTACATCATGCTGGACGCTCAATTAACATCTGCCTCAACCCACCTCTCGATCATATTCCGCAAACCCATGCATCCGTTCCGCCACCTGACAGGACATCAACATCATGTTCAAGCGAGCAATACTGCACTATGAGGTTAAACGTTTTTTTTCTTTGCCTTCTAGTGGTGGTGGGGGCAGGTGCCCAGAAGTCAACTGTTGCAACAATACACACTGCTCAGTCGCCCGCCGATGGTGGTGTGTTAAATGGACACGCCAGGGCGGGGGCTAAGAAAAGGCGCCCATTTGCTATGGCGGAGAACTCTAGCCTCCAGCCGTAAGGGGCCAAAGAATACATCATCTAGGCAAGCCTCTCACGAACATCCAGCAGCCATGTCACATTGCGTGCACATGATGCTGCGAAATCAAGCATTTCCACATCTAAACGATCCATTAAAGATTCTGTCGGACCGACATGGCGCACTAGGGTAAGGTATAACCTGTATTCAGACCGTGTGCTCTCGCATGCCTTGGGTCGAGCCAAAGGCTTGGGAAATTGAAAGTGGTCTGTTGGTTGTGCGGCGCCAGTTTTCCGCCAACTTTCCCGCCGTAGCGTGCCTTCACTGCACACAATGCAAACACCTGATTCGGCTGCCCCTGGGGAGATGTCGAATTTGGCGGGGTGGAATCTCGACCCCAGCTGGGGCTTTAGCCTTCGACACAGCTCAATTGCGGAGATGCAGGGGCATCGGCTCGAAAGCGAGGCCATCAGATCGTGTCAGTGTCTTCTCAACCTTACCTCACCTTTTCCTGGGCAGCGGGGTACTGGGGACAAACCCCGAGCATACCCCCTTTGGGCGAAGTCTACTTCTTTTCCATAGCTAGGATACCATGACTCGGGGTGCCGTGTGAAGGCTTGAAGATGCTGTGATACTTTAAGGGCAGGCCACCGCGGCCTTGAGACTTGTTATATAAGGGACCCCAAGGACCCACGAGAAACCGGGTCTTGTTGCACCAGCATCTCTCTCATCCTCTTCACCTCTGTAACAAAGCTTGAATACGGCAAAGACGCTCCGTCTTTCGAAACCCGGGCTTCATCATGGAGAAATCGAACGTCGTCGCCTTGGAAAAGGCTGATACCGTCGCGGTCCTGGCGGAAGCAGCCAACAAGACTGCCCTTGACGACAAGGTCCTCAACCAGGCCGCACTCGAGGCTACTGCCGATGATCACGAACTCACCATCGCCGAGGCCATCCGAGTGTATCCGAAGGCCATCGGCTGGGCGCTCGTGTCATCCACCTGTGTGATCATGGAGGGCTACGATACCAACCTCTTGTCCAACTTCTTCGCATACCGTAAGGAATCCTGCTTCCCCACGACACGATGACGCTAATTTGTTATCCCAACAGCATCGTTCCTGATCAAGTACGGCCGATTCGTTGGGGTCACTCCCCAGAGTCCAACGGGATACCAGTTGACCCCTGCATGGCAGGCCGGTCTGTCTCAAGGTGCCGGCGTCGGCTCCATCTTCGGCTGCCTCCTGAGCGGCTATCTCGTGTCCAAGTACGGCTCTCGTCGCGTCCAGATCGGCGCCCTCATCGCCCTGTCGCTCTTCATCTTCCCCGTCTTCTTCGCACCGAATCTCATCGTCCTGGTCGTCGGCGAAATCCTCTGCGGTGTGCCCTGGGGCATTCTCGCTACGACCGCTCCCGCCTACGCCTCCGAAGTCCTGCCCACTGCGCTGCGCACATACATGACCTCGTACACCAACATGTGCTTCATCCTCGGCCAGCTCATCTCTGCCGGCATCCTCAAGGGCCTGTCGACGCGCGTCGACCAGTGGGGTTACAGGATCCCGTTCGCTCTGCAGTGGGTGTGGCCTATCTTCCTCATCCCCCTCCTCTACATCTCGCCCGAGTCTCCTTGGTACCTCGTCCGCATGGGCAAGCTGGAGGAGGCCGAGGACTCGCTGCGCCGCCTTCAATCCACTGCCACAACGTCCGTCGACCCGCGCAAGACGCTGTCCATGATCGTCTACACCAACAACCTTGAGCAGCAGCTGCGCATCGGCACGAGCTACTGGGACTGTTTCAAGGGCACCGAGCTACGCCGTACCGAGATTGCCTGCGTCGTCTTTGCCGGTCAGATTCTCTGCGGTATTGCGTTTGCCTACAACAGCTCGTACTTCTTCTCGCAGATGGGTCTCGGCACCAGCACCACCTACTCTCTCGCGCTCGGTGGCACTGGCCTTGCCTTTATCGGCTGCCTGATCAACTGGTTCGTCCTGATGCCCCGTCTCGGCCGCCGCACCATTTACGTCTGGGGTATGGCTGGCATGTGCTCTGTGCTTCTCCTCATCGGTATCCTCAACGTCTGGACCTCGAAGGAATCGGTCGCCATGGCGCAGGCCTGCCTCACCATGCTCTGGACCTTTATCTTCCAGCTCTCCGCCGGACAGCTGGGCTGGGCGCTCCCCGCCGAGGTCGGCTCCACCCGTCTCCGTCAGAAGACCATCTGCCTCGCCCGTGACTCGTCCAACATCATGGGCACAATTGGTGGCGTCCTGCAGCAGTATTTCATGAACCCCCAGGCCTGGAACCTCAAGGGTTACACGGGCTTCTTCTGGGCTGGCACCTGCTTCGGCGTCTTCGTCTGGAGTTACTTCCGCCTGCCCGAGACCTGGAACAGGTCGTACCACGAGCTCGACGTCCTCTTTGCCAAGCGGGTCCCGGCCAGGAAGTTTGCCAGCACTGTCGTTGATCCCTTTGACGAGCGGGACATTTCCGAGATGACGGCCAAGGCCTAAAGGTCCCACTGTGTCGTCGTATGCAGCGGTGGCAACTCGTGTATCCGGTAGCACCTGGTGTCGTTCATCTGGCAACGAGTCTATGCAGGTCCGGATCCTCAACCCTGAACCGAGAGTGGGTGTTGGTACGAGCCAGATAGATGCGAGCACTAGGCGCGCTGGGGGTGAAATATGTTTTGACACTTTTGCCTTTGGTCTTGACAGTACTAGATGGAGGAGATCGATCTTGACATAGATGAAATGAATGGTTTTACATTTGACTGGCCTCGCCGCTTAGCGTGAAGAGCATGAACGACTGGAAAAATTGCATGTTTGATAATGAGAGCTCGAACTCAGGAGAGTGCAACTAGATGGGCGACATCCGCCTGTCTCAGTCAAAGATTGATCGACTATTAAAAAAAATGAAAGAAGGAAACATATAATGAAACGAGAATTATCAAACCAATGAGCTGGAGACTTACGTTGCTCAAGTCTGGAGCTGCTTAATCGGAAGCAGCTGAGCATATCTGAATAGTCCCAGAGAACCGTCCAGAGGGCGAAGCCACGCGTGTAGCCACCGTGGCGCGTCTATGTGCAGCACACACATACGTGGTACCTCTGGTGGAGCCAAGCACCGCGAGAGCTAGTAGGGTTTCAATCCAGGAGAACGGCGAGCGGCTGATACCTGGGCTTGGCGGACACTAACCCCAGTTGGGAACTATTGGCCAAATGTTTCGGGGGGCACGTCCAGGTACCTGTAATCATCCACCACACCATTACGGCCAGGCCAGGTCGTCAACTCGAGCGCCTCAACAACTTCTCCTTTTCTTTCCACCGCATCATATCATCACTGCCCCAGTTCGCCTGCTTTCATTTCTCTCCCCTTCGTTGCTTTCACATCAAAACACCGCCACCATGCGGCTCAGGTCCCGACCCTTGCCCTTGATCCTCCTCCTCATTCCCTCCCTGGTTGCAGCCCTAGCGTCCGAGCAGACGATTCACAACGAGCCACGAGCAGTCGCCGCAGACATATCGGTAGCAGAGATCGCCAAGCGACAAGATGTTGGCACCAAAGGCGCGCCCGTCGACGGCAGGGATGGCATGCCGCATCAGGGCCCCTTTGTCGACAGGAACCACAACACCGATGACCTCGTGAAGGACCTTCCACCCCTCGAGGGCAGGCCTGACGATCCCACCATTGTTGACGGCAAGCGCATTCCCGAGACGAACGACGGCGTCATGAACGACCGTGACCGCCAGAAGCCAAAGGAGGGCACCATTGGCACCGAGGGCGGCGTCAGCGAGAAGGACAAGGCGCGCAAGGCCGGCGATAACGTCCCCGAAGCCCCCAAGACTCCCTCGCCCAGCGACCAGGACCGCCCGGAGCATGAGCACGAACACGGCACGGCTGATGAGGTAGCTGGCCTAGGCGTGAGTACTCCCTTCCCCCCTCCGTCACCAAACTTCTGTACTTGTAAATACCCCTGGGGTGCTAACCTTACTTCTCCTCCCAGAAACCGGCAGACCTTCCCAAGTCGCTGGACGACATTCCCCCTCCCGTTCCCGACTCTGCCAACAAAGACCACCTCGATGTCTCCAAGTCGCATCCCAAGGGTTCGAGCGCACTCGAGGAGGAGGATGAAGGCATCATTCAGCCCTTCCACTCCTTCGTCCTCTCTCTCACCATGATTCTCGTCTCCGAGGTTGGCGACAAGACCTTCCTCGTGGCTGCCTTGATGGCTATGAAGCACGATCGCCTCGTTGTCTTCTCCGCCGCGTTCGGCGCCCTCCTCGTCATGACTGTCCTTTCCGCCGTCCTCGGCCACGCCGTCCCGACCCTCATTCCCAAACGCCTGACCTCGTTCGCCGCCGCCGGTCTGTTCTTTGTCTTTGGCGCCAAGCTGCTCCGCGAAGGCATGGCCATGGACCCTAACGAGGGCGTCACTGAAGAGCTCCACGAAGTCGAGCGCGAGCTCGCTGAGAAGGAGAAGGAGAGTGCCGCCGCCGGCCGGCGACGCGGCAACTCGCACTCCGTTTCTCCCTACGCCCTCGAGATGGGTCTCGGCGACGGCGACCACCGCAAGTCGCGCTCCAAGAGCCGTTTCCCCTCCCCGCCACGCTCCCCCTCCTCCAGCCGATCCCGCAGCCGCTCGGGTGGCCGCTATGCCTCGGCGGCCAACTTCTTCCAGGGGCTTGGCAACCTGTCTTCCCTGCTCCTGAGCCCGGCCTGGGTGCAGACTTTTGTCATGACCTTCCTCGGCGAGTGGGGCGACCGCTCCCAGATCGCGACCATTGCCATGGCCGCTGGACAGGACTACTGGTGGGTGACGCTCGGTGCCATGACGGGACACTGCGTCTGCACCGGCGTGGCGGTCATCGGCGGTCGCGCCATCGCGGGGAAGGTCAGCCTGAAAGTCGGTGAGTAAACCCATCTCCTGTGGACCCGTGCTGTCCTCCCTTTCTCTGATGCGATGAACGCTGACTCTTTCCAGTCACCATCGGCGGCGCCCTTGCCTTCCTCCTCTTCGGCTTCATCTACTTCATCGAAGCCCTCTACGCATAGTAGTTTCGGGTACAGGTACATTGCATACAGCTCAGCGAACACCCTCTTCACGGCCGTCCAGACAAGGAGTTTTTTCCTTTTTTGAAAAGAAGAAAAGAAGAACAGAAAAATGGGCAGGAAAGCTTTGCCTTTCCTCCATGACGCGTTTCACAATCGTCGAAATGAAATCCCACCCCTCACTTTGCGCCCACCTTCATAAAGGCTGTCGATACCGACCGTAGAACTTGGCCAACACGCGCTCGTTTCGTTCCCCGTTTTCCACCTCAGTAACCACGAGAAACTTCTTTTTTTTTTCTAATGCATTACAAAACAACACGTACATGCATGCTGGTCATCCATATGCTTCTTTTCCACCTTCTCTCTCAGCGAGACGAGATCAGACGCGAGGGGGCGCGCGCGGAGGGGCAGTGGGGGCGACGCGACGCAAGGGGACTGGCTAGTAAAGTAGGGGGCTGTCAGTGTCCAGGGCGTGCAGAGCAAAGGCGCTGGTGGGTTGCCCATGGATGGAAGGGACGGGATGACAGCAGGCGAGAGCTGCGTGGCTTGTAATATATGCGGGTGCGATTTCCCCATGGCTTTTCAACCCCATGTGTAAATGATGGGGGGAACCGCCGGGCTGGCGGAGTTTTTCGGGTTACAGGCATCTAGGCCTTGTGTATATTTCAATGGTTGGACTGGGTAGACAAGAGATGACATGACAACGACTTCCGAAAACGTGGCGGGTGTCTTTGACTGAGTGATCATAGAACTGACTAGTAAACCCAACAAAATAGCATGGCGTCGCTGGAGGCTAGTCACATGTACCTGTGGTAGGGCTTGAATAGCGAACAACGTATTCATGAAACCATTTGCGACATGTATGCGCAAGATGGCACTCCAATTTAGGTACGGTGGTTTGTATCGTATGCTGTATACTGTTGTCTGCGCCCTTTGGCACTGGTGTGTGTATGAACTCCCGGACTTGGCCAATGTTTAATGCTAATGCTGACGCAACGCCAAAAGAAATCAACCGCCATAACGCCAGAAATGCGTGGAAAGTGGTCTCCATGCTTCTTGGCCACGTCCCCAAAACGCTGGCCTCCCAATGCAACAAGGCCCCGTCTAAAACTTCTCCATAAAGTTCTTCCGCACAGTCCACATACGGGCACGTTTGCCGAAGATATACATGGGGATCGAGAACAGACAGAAAATTAGCTGAATGACGCCGAGCCAGATGAACATAGTCTTCGGCCCGTCAGATGCCATCCAGTGAGTGACGAACAAACTAAAGACAAGTCCGTGTAGAATGTTCTTGCTAAAGTTGAGCGTGACCAGAGCCTCGCCGGCATACTGTCGGTAGCTGTCAACGCAATATGTGATGGACGTGGTAGAGCCCATGGTGCAGCCGAATGAGATGACACCAAAGAAGAACGTGGGCACCATCCAGTGATCGCGTTCTTCTGCTGACCATCCAAACCCCATCAACCCTATGACGGTGCTGAGGAGGATAGGAATTGCCATGATGAGGCGGAATTCGGGCTCGTAAAGGCCCCCGTTGCGACGTGCCAGCGCCCTAACGATGATATCGCTTACTTTACCGGCCACAACGGTGCCCAAGATGCCACCAACAAACGGCGAGATGTACACGAGCCCAGTCTGAAGGGCGGTGAAGTTGTACGAGTCCGAATTCCGATAGATCACGCTCATCGTTTCCGAGATGACGATGAGCCACCCCACAGAGCAAGAGTAGATGACTGTAGACCAGAGAACAGAGGGATACGCAAAGAGGATGAAAGGCCGAACCATGACCTTCAGCCATTTGTCGTGATTGAGACGACCATTCCATGGGTTGAGCTGCTCTGTAAAAGACCTTGCGGGTTGGTGTCGCAGTGTGTGGGTATACGCAGTCGATTTCGGCGGACCTCTCGAGTCTGTCGGGAACTTTTCGCTATCAATTCCAGGTCCTCTGGCAAAGTAATCGGAGCCCGAGGTGGAGCCGTGGTGAGGTGAATCTGCTCGCTGAGCGTCAAAGGCGGTGTTCCCGGTGGTGGGTGTGGCAGTGCGGGCAGAGGTTGGTCTTGCGTTATCATCTTCTGGATGAGCTTGTTCAGGAGCTGTTGCATTCGGAGCCATGCCGGTGCTGACGCTTGTCTCGCCCACTTGCTCGATAGGTTCATTAGGAGCAAACCCGACATGTAGGTTTTTGTGTTGCTGTCCAGAGGGTGTTGCGATGGAGGGTGAGGCAGGAATGGCATCAGTCTGGCCCTTAGATGGGGCCGCGGTCTCGTCGACTACTGCCACGGGTACGGGCTGCTGAGGTACGTTTCGCTGTGATGACAGACGACGAATGAAGCTCGGCCGTCTCGATGGTTTCCTGGACTTTGGGTGAGGTGTTCTGTCCCAAAATGTCTCCGGTACGAATAGAAAGAGGGCAAAGAACCAGACGGCAACAATGATAGCTACGACCCTATACCACTTGTCGTCAGTCTCGACATCCAGAAATTCACTTAATCCGGGTACTTCATGCTGGTGGCACCAAGAAGTGGGGGATGCGGCTTACCAAAACACCCATCGCCAATTCAGAGCCTGGATAATCACAGCGCTCACCAGCGGGACAAGATTTTTGCCACCTAGCAGAAGCAAGGTGTATATGCCGATACGATACGCTCTCTCGTGCAGGAAGAAGATCTCGGCAATGGTGGCCGAAGGCAGACACTCCACAGGGCTGACGGCTATGCCTTGAACGATCCTGGCCACGATGAGGGAAGCAAAGTTGGGTGAAAGAGCACACCAGACGGAAGAGATGACCAGCAGAATGGCGCCCGCGAGGTAGACCGGACGTTTTCCCCACAAGATGGCGGTAGGGGATGCGACAACGGATCCGAGGCCCATGCCCATCATGTACAAGCCGGTTGTCAACGAGACATCTTCGACGCTTACTCCGTAGTCGTCGGCAACATCGTAAAACCCAGCGGCCAGCAGAGGTGTGATACCTCCGCCGACCAGGCAGTAGAAACCTAGAGAAAAGAGGGCCGTGTCGCGACGCCAAGCAGGCCAGTTCAGCGGGTCGTTCGCCGAGTCCTCTGGCTGGGGCTCTAGAATGATTTTGCCGTCCTTGGTCTTCTTCTTCTCATCGGCGGGCGGGCCGTGCGAGGAAGAGCGGCGGGCAGTGGCCGGTGGCGATGGACCTGGATCGAAGAACCCGGTCGGGATGGAGGAATGAGAGGTGCGTGCAGGCGCATTACGGAGGCCAAGGGGTTCATTCCTGTTACTGGCAAGCAGAAGGACAGAACCTGATTTTGGCAGTGCGATCAGCAGGTGATGGGACAGATTGACAGAAAGCCCACGTACCAGGAACCTGAACTGTGTGAAGGTCATTGAGAACGCCCATACTCCATCTCGGAGGACCTTGCTTCTCTTGTGATTCGGGAGCCTGGGCGGCGTTGGACTCGCGCCCGAACCAGCGCCCCCAACGCGGTTTTGCCGACGATTCAGCAGCCATAGCTCTTTGCAGGGCTCGGATGAATAGGCAGGGCGTATGATCTGTATTTTGTCGGTATCCTGACACGCTGCGACGAGTTACGAAGAAGAAACGAGCATGTGTGATGAATGCGATGCCAGTTGAAAGGTTTCTAGGGGCGACGTGATGAGAGGTGGGTGTGTGGTCATGGAACGCCGAGGTTGTGTAGCACGGAGGGAGGAGTAACGCTATCTGGAGCAAGGAGTAAAGGATCTGCGAATCAATGTCTAGGATTGATCAATGAAGAGGCGGTCGAGGTTAAGATGAAAAGCCAAGTTGGAGAGACATGAGGTGGAGAGATGGTGGTGCGAGGCTGACAGAAGGTCAAGGCTGGCAGTCAGAGACTATCCGGGTATGTTGGCGGACGCGCTCCAGGCGGGTATGACTCGAGGTGGTCGGTCGGTCGGTCGATCTACCTTGGGCGGCGCTTTGTAGAAGGCAGGTATTTCGAGGGTATTTGTAGGGGCAAGCGATGTCGACAAGCCCGTCCGTCTCACATTCCTTCACGAGCTCTGGAGCTTTGGAGAACAGGTCATTGTTGGTGTGTTCCTGCCTGTCTCGGCTTCGACTGCCTCTGTCACGCAGATCGACCTTGAGCTGACCGACTTCTGGCAGGGGACGGCCACTTCCCATGACACGAGATAAGCATGAAGCAACAGCGCTAGGGCGGGGTGATCGGTCGGGTGCCATCAGTCCCTCCACTTAAGCTACAGCGGTGAGTGGGCCATGGGAAGCGGTGCTGAAGCCAAGCGCTTGGGTGCCTACGAAATCCGGCTTCGTCTCCCACTCAATGAGTCGTAGGCAGCATGGGACGGTCGACGATGCGTCTGCAGCGCGTCTCATGCGCGAGAAACGTGGGGAAGTAGCAGCGGTCACAAGATGTTGCTCAAGCCACTCATTGGAAGCTGATGCTCATTGTGGTATTTGTTTTGCTTCTGATATGCGATGCCACAGAATTCAAGGTGCTAAATGCCCTGCGTGATGACGCAACAGCACCTTAGCCCCGAGGTTAGGGGTCTTTTCCCCATATTTCCGTGTGACGCTCACTGTCACAACGCGCCGCACAGGTGCAGTGACAGCCTGAGAGCCTGAGGTGCAAGGTGCGCGCGCGTTGAGGCAGGAACTCTCTCAGCCGCGCTATCCTGCGCCCCATCTCCCTTCATCCTCCATGTAGGGACCTACCATACGCTCCTGCTTACTCCATCGTTGCAGACGGCCGCCGTGCAACACATCCACTAGACTGTCGAACCAAGTGATTGATTGCTGCATCTCATCCACCATATCGATCGATAGGTTCTAAAGCCCGCCCCTAGCAATCAAGACGCTCCTCAGTATTCAATCGCACCTCTCTCGCGCAGCTACGCACCCACACACCACACAACACCCTCCCACCCTCATCGACGTCATGCACACGAGACACCTCCTCCGCCTGACTGCGCCGCGAGCCTGTCCAACTACTCCTAGCCCCTCCTCCCTCAACAAACTCCCCGGCCGACCTGTCAGCACGCCACTCCTACCAGTCTCACTTTCAGCCGCCGTGGCGCCCTTCTCGACGTCGCAGAACCGCAAGCTTAGGAATCAGATATACACCTCGTAAGTTGACTTGCTCACTCCACTGGTCATTGGCCAGCTGGCCGGGCCAAAGTACTTTTCTGTGCGATGTTTGCCAACACTTTGCTCAGCGTCCGTAAGCCTGATGATTTCTACACATATCAGCAGATCTCGTCGTCGTCCAGAACGCCTCTCCTAACGCTGTGGACTACATCTTGGTGCTCAACCTGTCGCGTCGTTGCTCCCCTTCTGCAATCGCTTGTAGAGTCCGGTGTTGGCGAGGCTGAGGGCGGCGTCGCCTTTTGTACTGTCGAGTACGACTCGCCCGACATTATGAGCGCGGGCTTCGGCATGACCTACATGATCACGTCCGTGCCGACGCTCCTCAGCTTTGATGCTCAAGAGGCGCAGGTGCAGACCAAGGTCCAAGACGCCAGAAAGATGGCCGACCGCCAATTTCTCGAGGACTGGATTCGAAACGAGGCCCGTCGACACGGCGGACGCGGTGGCGGAAGTGGAGGCAGTGGGCCAGATGGCAAGGGCCCCTTTGGAGGTCTATTTGGCAACTGGAAATGAAGATGAATAAAGGTTTTCGTGGAACGCTGTCTATGGCAGATGAAAGACCTCCTCGACGGGCTTCCACCAGCCCGGCTCTCCCGGCTCGACGTTACTCTTGGTTGCGCCTTCGACCAGCGACTCCTGCCAGCCATCGGTCATGTCCCACCACTCCCGGACCTTGGGGTTTTCCCTCATGCGCTCCATGTCTCCAGCGTAATCGTATCCCACGTACTTCATGGACGCAAAGAGAATGCCGGAACTCTCATCGTAGAAGATGCTGTCTGTCGTGGTGTTAGCGTCGGTTCCAATTTGTCCGAACCCGGATGGGGCAGAGGAAGATTGGAGAGTGTAATGGAGTGAAATGACGGAGGCGGGTTGAGTAGGAAAGGAACAACGTACAGTCTTCAATGTTGCACTGCTTGATCTGTTTGAGGACCTCGGGCCATACATGAGCGTGCACCTTCTTGTATTCCTCGAGGAACTCAGGCTTGAGCTTGACAATCTGGGCAATGCGGCGGCCCCGGTTCTTCTGTCGCGACACGCTGAACGAGGCGGGCTGCTCAGGGCTGGTGGGGCGGGCTGTGGGAGCCGAGGCAGCAGTGGGAGACCACATCATATTGCTCTACTGGGCGTGGAGGAGGAGCGTAGAGGCGGTGGGACCAAGGGGTAGGGAAGTCCTTCCAAGTTGAAGCTGTTCGTCGTTCAAAGAGAAATCTGGCGTCACAAGAGTGATCAGCTTGCGGGTGTGAGGTTGAGAAAACAAATTAGCGACAGAGTCTCCCCCCCCAATGCTCCGGGGCGAGACTTCGGTGGAAGAATGCTGCGGGCAGCAACCACTGCGGGGTTGAGCTCAACTGCCCCCTCCCTCTTCACCCAATGCTGCGTCACCACGCTGGTGCAGGGGGCAGGCACGATCGACCCCACGTAGTTCGCCTCACGAAGGGAACCTCCGATGGACGTGTGTCTTGTTGCCTACCTGGATATCGTGACAGGCTTCGTTCAGACCCTTCTGGCTTTCTCCGTGTGTACATGTGTGACATGGAATGCTCCTGTGCCGTGAGAGGGAGAAACAGGAATAAAAGAGCGCAGTCTATCTCACTCAGCCAACAGACAGACCTGAGGAATGGAGAGAGCTCACTGCGGGGTGCAGAGATAGAGGACAACGGAGCTCGGATTTAGTCGCGCAGAACGGACGGAGATGCAGCCGCGAGAACAGGGCAAGACAGAACAGAGCAGAGTAGCAGGCGCGGAACAGACGCAACACGTTTCCTCCCTCCCCCCCCCTTCCTCCTCTGCATGGTAACCTATCTTGTTGCGTGATCGGAACGGCGGCCAGTCAGCCGCCCCTGCAGCAGACAGCACATCGCTTCAAAGTTTACACATGGATGCGCGCGCGAGGTGTGCTTGATGCCGATGCCGTCTCGAGAATCGCCCAAGCCCGCTGCTTTCGACGGTGCGTGAATTTGCTGTGGCCCTGAGAACGGGGCCAGCAGGAGCGAAACAGCAACTCCGTCTCCTCTCCATGTGAGCCTCGCTCGCTCTCGGCATCTTCGCGCGTCGACCGCCCTGTTTTCCCGTGGATCTGGCCCTGGCTGCGGGCCGTCCGCCCTGGTCGTCCGATCCCGCTTCCAGCAGTACCACTCACTGGAGTGTAGTGCTGTGGTGTGTACCTCCGGTCGGAATTGCCGGCGTCTTTTTTGGGAGGATGGGGGGGGGGGCTTCTACAGGGACATCAGTAACACTCCCCCACGGATCTCCTGAATTCCCTGTTTGGCCTAATAGCAGGGCATCCAATTGGCCGTTCCTTGCGCCTGTGTGGTGCGCTTAAGTTTATCCGCTAATCAGGGTAGTCCGCTGAGAAGCCGTACAGGCTGGGACTTTGTATTTATGGTTGTGTCGGCTGCGCTCAGAATGACATGGACTGCCATAGATAAAGCTATGTCTCATGTACCAAATGTAGATCCACCGAGTGCTTTCTGTGTGAGGATGCATTCGAGTGCGTTTTGCCTTTCGATTGCCGTCAAATGAAAGGGTAGGATAGGATTCTGATGAGTTTGACGCCTTCGGTTCCTACATGCCGCGAACCAGCAACGCACAACTGCCAGTCACATCATCCATGAATGTGGTCGCTTCAAATGTTTTTCTTATGATGACGGGCGTATTTTAATCTGCGCTTGGGGTGCTTTTTGTCCTGGCAAAGAGCGCCGGAGTCGACATGGACGAGATCAGTTGGCCCTTTTTCGAAGAGACAACAATTGCCCCACAAGCTTACTGTGTGGTACACCAACGTCTTTTCACTTCGTTGGGGTTGAAAACTTGACCTCCAACTGTCGACGACATTCATCTGAAGTGTGAAAGAGGTTACAAAGTGCCTACAACCAAGGCAGCAAGGGCACCCTTCAGGACCTTGTACATTGCCGTGTTTATTCCAGAACACGGCAAGTGACCATGACGACGCGTATCCCTCATCTTCTCGAGCCCTACCTGGCCCTCCCGCCAGAACATAGCAGTGTCCTCCTCACGAACGTCTTGGGCGCCACCACGAACTGGCTCATTCTGCGCTATCTTTGCTCCCACCTGCAAAAGAAGACACGCCAGTCCCAAGAATTAGCTGAAGAGACAGGCGAGACCAATGTCGTGCTCGTCAGCTTTATGCGAGACTTCACGTTTTGGAAAGACGGCGCAGGCAAGCTAGTCAGTCTTCATCTCACCTGCTCCGAACCATTCTGGTAAATGCATTCACTGACGGGGCTATAGGGCTTGGACCTTGAGTCCCTGGCTCGCGCCGGTCGTTTCGCCTTCGTCGACGGTCTAACAAATCTCTTCACACCGCTCCCAGTAGACGGCGCCCGCAAGGGCTTCCGCACCCTCCGCGGCCCCAAACTCTCAGACCTGCGCAATGAGCTACTGGGTGCCGTGGCCGATGTAGCGGGAGGCCGCGGCGCCAACCCTGCGAAGACTATAGTCATCGTCGACCAGCCGGACCTCCTCCTTGCTGCAACGGCGGACCTCACGGAGGGGCCTGATGCCGTGACGGAGCTTGCGCTACGTGGTGTGCTTCTGGACGTTCAGGAGAAGGTACACGCGTCGGTCATGACCGTAGCAGCGGACGAACCGCTCATCGCTGCGCAGGGCACAGGACTGGAGAGGGGACACGCCGGGTTCGTGCTGGCGCTGGCGCACACGGCTGAGATCGTGGTGAGCTTGAGATTGCTGGACACCGGGGGCGCCAGTGACGTGAGCGGTGTTATGAGGATCACGGGCGGTGGAGCAGATGACGGCATAGATCGGGAGGTTGAAGAGGCGGAATTCCTCTACTTCGTGGGAGGGGACGGGAGCGTCAAGGTCTTCCACAGAGGGCAATGAAGGCAGATTCAGCCGGAGTTTAAGATGGAATACCATGATACCCCAGATGCTGAAGTGGCACAAGTTCGATCAGTGATACAGATTGAAACACCGCATGACAAACCTTGTCTCCCGAAATACACGTCACAGGCTGTGGTGGGACAGCAAGAGCTTGAAGATCCTCTGGCTTTGGTATCTGGCGAGGAGCTCGTCTAGAACTCGCGTCACGGATGGCCAGTTCAACAGCGCCGAGGAGCTGGAGTGACCTCCTCGAACGACAAATTGAAAAGTGTGCATGCGGCGGTCAGTTGACCCCTCTTCCTCATAACCCGCCAGCACGACTCATCGACAGCGCACGCGTCAGAATGGCATTGTGATTGCGACCTTGCTGGAGTCCATATCCCTAAAGCAAAGCCTGTCGGAATCCCTCCAGCCCAGTGACCTCGAGTTCCGGCGTTTCGTTCACGCTTTAACACCCCCTTAGACCGTCCCTATGCATGCATTGCCCAAGAGTTCCCCTTCAAGGTCGAACCCCCCGGGTTTTCTTTTCCGTCGTCCTCTGCGTACCAAAAAAGACGAATTTATTCCTTGGAAGGGTTGGGGTTGGCAGCACCGCGAGCACCCTTGGGGCCACCGGTCTGGAAGCCGTTCTTGAATCGTCGGGAAACGTCGGCGAGCGAGCGCATGCGGCCGGTGCCGGTGGTCTTTCTCCGCTTGGCCTTCTCGGACCAGTTGTCTGTTTCCTCCAGTCAGTTATCAATTCTTCGTGAGCATCCATCACCGCTGGATAGCGGTTCGCGTCGACAGTCGTGGGGAACGTACACTTGCGGGTCTTGGCCGAGGGGTAACCGCACGAGGCGCAAGTGTGCTTCTGGACGTGGAGGGAGCGGCGGCCTAAAATTCCATCATCAGTCTTCCGCACATTCCAAATCGAATTGACTCTTCCTCCAGAAATCGTCCTGTCTCCGTCGTCGTGATCGGTATTTGTGGCGTCGATATCCGGAGTCGGGTCGAGAAGGTTAAACGTACCGCAACGACGGCACAGAACGTGCGTCTTGTTGTGCCTCTTACCGAACGAGGAAGTACCCTTCGCTACGGGAAAAGTCAGCCAGCGGTTCAGTTAGTCGCAGAATCCTTTACAGAAGGTCTGCGGTCTGCTGCTCGTGCAGCGTCTCGGGCGTACGTACTCATCTTGGCGGTGTTGAGATGTCGACGGTGAAGGTGGTTGCTTGACGATTGATGTTCAGTCTCAAAATCGAGCGCAGCATGAAATTTCGAGGGCTAGGGTAAGCGAGGGCGCACAATTCGGCGGGGCTTTTGAGTCACGTGGGGAGGCCAATGTGGGGGCCGTGCTTCTCTTGCGGCATTGGAGTGATCGGCGAAATTTTAGCCGGATATATACCGAGAACTAATTGAGCACGCACCAATTGCTTGTCGTAACAGTGTATTGCCAACACGAGGGAAGGGCACTTGCAATCCTGAGTCAAATCCCTGTATACCTCCCAGTCTGATGCCACCCATTTCGATAGATATCATGCGCCATGACTCCCCTGAGAGCGCCCCCATAGTCATAAACATAGTCGTACAGTCGTGCAGCTCGTCGTTCCCCACAGTTCATCATTTCAACTCAAGCATGTTGGTGAGGGCCGCTTCGGTGGCCCTGAGCCATCGGCCACGCTCCTCCAAGTCATCTTCCACACCGCCCAGTGCGGCCTCTTTGCGCCGCTTTGCATCCTTCGCAGCGGTCGTGCTGGTCTGCTTCTTGACTTCTAGAGGTTGCAATTCAGCTTCTAACCTTTCCACCTCCTTCCTCTTCCTCGGCACCTTGGACTGAAGCTGCTCGAGTTCGCGATCCAGCTCCTTCTGCCGACGCCGCTTGTCATCCAGCAGTTCAAGCGTCTTGGCGAGCGGCAGATTGATGTACGGGTTCGTGCCGGGCTCTTGCGTCTCCTTCAATTCCGCGACCCGACTCTCTAGCCCCTCGATTTGACCAGGAAGTTCCTGCAGCTTGACTTTCTCGACCCGAACATTGTCGTATCGTTGGCTCAAATCACGGCCTCTTTTCTCCAACTCGGCCACCATGTCAGCAACCTCAATCTTGAGAGCCTTGAGCTGCGTCTTAGCCGCCAAATTCTGTTTCTCTAATTCCAGGTTTTCCTGCGGCGTTACAATATGAGGCGGGTCTCCAACGATGGCGCGAATGAACTTTTCTTTGGTGACCTGTTCAACGTAGGAGAATCGTAGTTTGGAGAAAAGCTCTTTGTAATGCTGGAGGTCGGCGTCAAGGCTGGCCGGCGTCGGTGCGTCCAGGGAGGCGTTGGATGCATCAGATGTCCTTTGTCGTGCATCTTGGGAGTAGGCGCTCGAGATAGGCTCGCTCAGCTTGATGATTGAGATTTCGCTGTTGCGCTCAAGCGCCTCCAGCTTCTCGAGGATGTCGTCTGCATCGATGGTGGTCATTGTATCGATGACTTGGCGCGTGAGTTGTAGATCTTGAAGCTTGAAGTGTGTAGACAAAATTGGAGAAGCAAGTGTGTTCGAAACTAGTATGTCGTTGGAAGGGAATCGCACATGTCGCTGGTGATATGGCGAAGGGGCTGCGCGCTGACGTCTGGGGCGCGGGGGTTGGCAATCGAATATCAGACCGCGATCGCGGGCTCCGATGGATGTCATCGTTTTGTTGTTCAGGCATTCCCTAATTGGGATACGCGCGGGGGCCTTATCGCTATCAATTCCTCTTCCTGGACTCAGTCGCAAACTGCATGGACCCTGACCCACACGGGAGGCTGTTGGCCCTCTTCCTGCATCAAGGGTGGAGCGAGCCACTTGACCACCACGACTTCAAGTCTTGATACAACCTGTTTGCCCCAGGCTGTTTATACATGGGCAAAAATCATTCGTCACATTGGAATCTACCGATACGCTACAAATGCCACGACTCTGACCTTGAGCGGACTCGATCACTGCCCCCACTCCCAACAACACCTACACATCACCCACTGGTTTGCATCAGCAATGCCCAATGACGACATCCTTACAGACGACTACCTGGCGGAGGTGCTTGCGAAAGAAGCAGCAGACTGCTCATTGAAATACTCGAGCGTGGGGTTGGAAGCGTTTCGCGCTGAGAAGAAGTTCGTTGGCCGTCTATCCTACTCTGAGAGTCACCGTCTGACAGAGACAGGCCCGCCAACAAGCTGAAGCCAAACAAACGATTCTTGCAACACATCATCAAAGACACCGACCGGCACAATGCGAATCTCCTTGCGAAAGAAACTGCCGAGTCGCAGGCGCGCCTGAAAGCGCTCGAGGAGACGGAGGAGCGACAAAAGCGCAAAAGCGCAACGCCACAAGATGTCCGACGCCGACAGATGGGCGATATCTTGAGCATCTTGGGCGGTCGCAAGGCAGATACGAAAGCGGCCAGCTCACGGAGGTCGACAGATGCAACATCAAAACGAGACTCGACTTCTACATCGTCTCGAAGGCGCCATCGAGATGGTCGCAGCGCATCACCGGACCAAAATGACAGCAAACGGCGGCGACGGCAGGAGGAGCGCGAGCCCGATGTAGAAGACCGCGAGAGCCAGCGGAAGCGAAGCAGCCACCGCGACCAAAGATCCATGTCCCCAGAAGACAGAAGCAGCCACCGCCGCCACCGATCTCGCACACCATTGAGCGAAGTTGGCGCAGACTCAAAAGCGCGCCGCTCCGATAAAGGCCGTCGTAGAACTCAGACTGCTGAAGACCGTATGTCGAAGTACCACAGGACTTCACGCGATAAAAGCCCGGCCCATGGCAATGCTCGCAATCATGGACCGAGCGGCGACCTGGCATCAGAGCGACCCGAAAGAGAACGACGGCATGGCGGAGGGCGACTGAAGTCTCAAAACTCAAGACATGCTTTGAAAGACGAAACACTGTCAGACTCGGACCCCTTGGACGACATTATTGGGCCGGCACCGCCTCCCCCAATCCGCACACGAGGACGAGGCTTTCAGACGGGTTCATCTGCGATGGACAAGCATTTTGATGCGAGCTACGACCCAAAAGCTGATGTGGAGATGGACGAGACGACGGGAAACTGGGAGGAGGCTGTTGAGACTTTTAGAGACAGGCATAAATGGCAGCAGAGCCAGGAGCAGAGGCTGCGGGCCGCGGGTTTTGGGGATGAGGAGATCGACAAGTGGAAGCGTGGCGGTGAGCGCAATGAAGCCGACGTCAAGTGGACCAAGGCTGGAGAGAAGCGTGAATGGGACCGGGGCAAGGATGGAGAGCTCAAGGGGCTCTTCTCGGAGGACAATTAGTTGGCTGAAGGAGGCCAGAACATACGAGCCTTGTGCGACGGAATGACCTGAATAGCATTGCAGGCGTTGGACACAGCATCCAGGAGTTAGGAATACAGGTGAGGAGCAATGCACGCACCTATCAAACGAACCTATTGTTTCGTTTTATGAGCCTACTTGCACTAGGTAGGTAGCTGGAGCGCGTTGCGTAATGAGAAGGCTACAGCTACCTAGTCAGACATGATGTCTCGACCAGGAGTCAACCCCTGTGCAAGCTGTGCGAGGTGATCAGATACGCACGGGTTGGAGAGGTTGCCGTCGTAGACGCGCATAATTCAATTGACAGCTCGTACGGATATGTCGGGTGTCTGAAAGACAAAAGCTAGCTACGAATACATCGGTCGGAGAGGAAGATATCAAAGGGAGATCCGTCATATTTCATCGTTCCATGTGATCCTGGTACTACAGCCGAGACGGCATAGCGGGGTTCGCCAGCGCATGATGCAGCATGCCACAGCACTTCCCAGTCCCTAAGGCACCTTAGTCGAGGGCCCCCGGCCTCCCTGGCCTGGCTCGACCTGGTGGAGACCCTGAGGGGGCCGGACGGTAGGACAGGAGTGGTCCGAACTAAGCCTGGTGGGGGGCTCAGGTGAGGGGGAAAGGAGGAGCAGTCGGAGCACGACCATTGTGACCGTCATGACGCCTCCGTCGGTCCTGCCCCTGCGGCCAGGGCCTGGGCTGCCAGGTGCCCCCCCCCTCCCCCGGCATGGGTCTGGTACTGCCTGCCGCATCCAGCGTGACCAGCAGCGCGTGCCGAGTCAATACCAGTGGCCAGTGACCAGGCTAGGCAGACCACGCCACACTCTGTTGTAGGTACCATACCCTCTTCCCAAGACCCGGCCTTTGTCGGATGAGCATGAGCAACAAGTGCCTGGGTCGGGTGGTCGTGGTGGTGTGAGATGTGACGTCCTCGTTTGTCCATTCGACTCGGTCGACTCACTGCTTTGTTTCCTCCTCTTCCACCTCATCCCGCCCCAAACACCCATCGCGATAGAAGGCCGACTCGCAAGCATTTGCTCCGAATCTTGTTACCTCCTAGATCTCATGAACCACACATGATACGGCCTCTTTCGCCTTTCAGGTAGCTGCGAGACGGGCGGCGAGCTCTGTCACCAGTCTCTCCAAGCTTCAGCTTCGATTCCGGCGTCTTTCTTCGGCACTGCGCGCGCGCCCCAACTCATTATCTCTACTGCCGGCCAAGCTGCCTTGCGCATCCCTCGTACCACCGCCTGATTCGAAGCCTTCTTTTCTTTCGCACCTGTGTCGCCCGAACAGCCAGCCTACCGTCATTATGCGTACCCCACGGATCCTTATCCTCGTCCTCTTCTTCGTCGCGTGCCTGTTCCTCTTCTGTCGGTCGATCACTTCCATCGCACAGCGACCGAAACCTGCGCTATCCGCCAACATGTCGGGCATGCCAACGAACTCTGTATCAAGTCTTTTTTCATTCAACTCAGGCTTTTCACTTTTCAGTCCGAATGCTGTCATCAGTTTGACCGATGATAACAGCACGTTGTTTCCGGCACAGCCCGCCGCATTTGGGCCCCTGTTGCCCCACCACGGCCTCAGTGGCCGCTTGTGGATCGGGAGCGCATTCCTTGACGACGACGACTTTGGTGACGAGTACGAAGACACCATTGGCGGAACCGAGCTCGGCTGCAGTGATATACCTGGATGGCATTTTACGAGACCTGGCGCAGACCTCACAAATCCCGATGTGGGCGCAACGAGGAGCCTTGATGACCTCGACGATGCCGATGAGCACCTGCTGCAGCCGTTCGCCGGGTCCAGGTCACGCAATGACGCTCGTGCGGCAAACGCAGCCCACGCCCGTGTCTACCCGCCTCGCCAATCCGCCGACATCTCTGGAAGCATCGTACTACTCAGTCGCGGCGGTTGTGGTTTTCTGGAGAAGGTCATGTGGGCACAACGAAGGGGTGCCTCCGCTCTCATTGTGGGAGATAGCCAAAAAGGAGGGCCCCTCATCCAAATGTTTGCGAGGGGAGACACCTCAAACGTGACTATTCCCTCGGTTTTCACAGCACGAACCACTGCACGGATTCTGTCTTCCCTTGCCCATGTGGGGAGCTTAGTTATTGGAGATGGCGAGGATGAGGAAGCTTATCCGTTTAGGGTTCCTCAGTCCACAGATAAAAGGCGCCTGCACTCCAGCAAGGTCGCGAGCACTCACAAGTTCCGACCGCGACACCTCAAGAGTGACCTTACTAGGGGAGGTTCGTTCTCCCCTGCCGGGACGCACTGGTTACGCAGACTTTTCGGCTGGGATGACGAGCAGACCGAAGCTGTGGATACATCCTACTCTGAGCCCCTCGCATCAGCTGCCGAACAATACGACGATAGCCAACATCAAAGCGAAAAGGACAACATGGTCTCGGTGCTGTTCGGTGGAACCGACGGCAAGTTGGCACACACGGCCACCGGCGACATACCGATGCCGAAACTACATGCTCCAGAGGCGGGCAGCTTACAGGCGCACGATGGTCTGTGGGTCACAATCACGCCGTCAGATAACGGGACGCCTTTCTTTGACACACTCTTGGTTCTGGTCATCAGCCCGCTTGTCACATTGACCTTTGTGTACGCGGTCCTCATTTTGCGAGCCCGCCTTCGCCGCCGAAGATGGAGGGCTCCCAAGTCCGTCGTTGAGCAGCTTCCCGTGCGAACGTATCATACGGTCGCTCCCTCGCCCGTCCACACACCCAGGTCCCCCTCGCCAGTATCATCTTGCCCAACGACACCCCTACTGCAGCAGGTTCCTGACAGGCCTACCATCCTTCGCTTCCAGAGTTCAGGGGAGCTTCCGGTCTCGGAGAGCCATTTGGCCCCAACCTCTGCAGCTAACATTCCTACACCGACCGCTGCGGCACGCTCCGAGAGGGAGAAGGCCTTGGGCAGCACTCCTAGTCAATGGAAGAAATACATGGGTCGTCAGGTCGAATGCGTGGTCTGTCTGGAGGAATATGAGAACGGAGTCAGCCAGGTTATGAGCTTGCCCTGCGGCCATGAGTTCCATGCGGACTGCATGTAAGTAAAGATGTGTACGCCGCGGCGCATGTGTACGTTGCTGACAGATTCAAAGCACACCGTGGCTGACGACACGCCGTCGAACATGCCCCATCTGCAAAGGGGACGTTGTGCGATCTCTTGCTCGGGGCTCGTCCTCAGGGCCGACGTACGAGCCGTATCACGACGAGAGCGATGACGAGGATGCTGCTCAGGCATCGAGCTCGGGGGGGCGCGGCGAAGATGTTGAACAGGGCATTCTGTCGCCGAGCCCAGGCAGACGAGAAAGCCGTGCCGAGGCCTGGCTCAACAGGCTATCTGCCAGTTTCGGGGCCACAATTCGTTCTGGTGATCCTTTGCATGAGGACAGGAGTCGGTAAAGAAGAGATATCCTCCTCTCGATATTGGCATGATCAACTCTCCAACTGAGTGTTTCATCTTCATTTTCTTATTTGTGTGGTTTGTTTCTATGGGAATAGGTGGTTCAGCCACATCATGACATGGCGCAAGGGGGGGCCGAATACCCTGGGTCGACTCGCAAGGACATATGATTGGGATGGAGTCCTTCTGGACATGGACATGTCCTGAGGCCAAGGAATGGATGGACTCATTGTTTTCAGCATCAGCAACTAGAGGTGCAGCAACAAGACTTTGCGTCTTATGATTCATTGCCTTTTAACATTGTTTTTTTTTTGGACAACATACGTGCTAAAAGAACGGGGAGGTATGAAGTCAACGATGCAGGCGCACTCCAACTGCCTCAAAAAAGTGGATTTTCTGGCATGGATACTCAACCTACTCAGGAACCCCAGTTGCTTTGTAGTTGACTTATGCATGGGTATAAATATGTGCACACGCGGAAACTAACCCCCCTCCTACTCCCCTGCCAGCACACACACACACACACGCATGTTCGCGCGATAATCGAATTGGACATGATAGTCTTTCAGATGTCGTTGTACAGGATGAATCTGGGAGCTTGCCTCTGGCACGCCATCCACGTCCAGGCGGCGCTTGGTTCGTAGCTCATCAGGAGGGCAGACTCCTTCCCGTACGATGCTGGCGCAAAGACATCGGCATCAGCACGTCGGGCTTCGGCGACCTTTTCGGGCGTGCCCAGGCGGAGGAAATGATTCCTCTGCGGACCTGGGGGAAAGATGCTACAGATGCGTGTCAGAGACGACCCAACGTGTGCCATCGATGAGGGGAGGGCTTACAGGGCATTGCCAAGGATGCCGTGGCACAGACTTGGCTCCTTGCGCAGGAGGCCGCGCTCCCAGGTCAGGGCGCGGCCTCTTTCTATTGCGATGTCGATGCGTTCTCGCAGGATGGGGAAGAAGGGACGCAAGGAGAGGAGGGACAGCACGAAGCCCGGTGCGCCGTGGCACCATTGAACGAGCTCCTCGGTGGGCGAACTTGTGCGAGAGCCGTCAGCGGGCTCGACGGAGGGCCAATTACCGTCTTCGAGCTGCATGTCGAGCAGGGAGGCCAGTCTTTCGCTCATTTTTGGTGCCAGAGGCGGCGTCGTGAGAACCAACTGGGTTATGATGCCAATATCGCCGTGGCCCGCGCCGAGGTAGCGCGATCCGGACCACAGCCAGTTGCCTTTGCCGTCATCGTCGGTTGATAGGATGCGGTTGGTCAGGAGAACGATCCAGTATTCGACCAGTGGCGCGGACTGGGGAACCCAGTGACGGATGAGACGAAGGAGGTAGAGGGCGCCTGCACGGCCATAGAAGAGGTCGGTAGGGAACGGGTCTGCCTGACGGGACTCCGGGTGCTGGCCTTCGGTCGCTGGCGACGTAGGGCGATCGACGATGCCGGCGGCAAGCACCTGCGGTAAACTGACGAGAAAGTTTCGCACGTGTTCGAGATCTTTAGTGATACAGGCGCGGACGGCGGTATGAGCAAGGATCTCACTCGCTATCCCGCAGTTTCCTGGCTCAAGGGCGAGATGGCCTCGCGCGCCAGAGATGTAGGCTTGCGCCCAGTGGCGCGTTGGGTAGCCGTGGACGTGAAGCTTGGGCAGGGAGGTTGCGACTTGAAGGAAAAGATATGCGATGCCAGTGTGGCCGCTCAAGAGGCCGCTGAGCTGAGCCTTGGTGTACGTGGATTGTGGAGGAGAGGAGTTGAGGATGCGTTGGAGGGAGGATAGCAGCAGGGTTTCTGGAGATTTGAGGTGAGGGAAGTCCAGGGGTGTGCCGAAATCATTGACAATGTGTCGCTGTGACATGGTGCTGCCTTGGCTTGGAGGGAGTCTTGAGGTTTGCCTAGCCCACAAGAAGACGTTGATGTTAGGTCACGATAGCTTCGACCGACTCACACCACAGAACACGATGCATGTGAGGTTGGTTTGGCGGGGCGCATTGCGGGGATGTGGAGCTGGAAAGTGCTTGTAGGGGGGCTCCTGCGGCGTGCTCTGTGCTGTGGAAGCTGTGGAAGGAGCCAAGCTGCTTCCCTCGCTGGGCTGTGCCTGCTTTAAAAAGGGTGCCCTTGCCTCCACCCAGGGGGAAGGCGCGGGGGAGAACCCCTAACCCACGATGGCTGGGCCTGCCTAAGGCGACTTTGGCCAGGCGCTTGGTACCCCGCATCTCCAATGCCCGCTTCGCGGGTCCCCATTTCTCTCTCCTGCCATCCCATTGTTCACTTGTCGCCGCATTTCGGATTCACGGCACATAATTCAGGGGTAGACACGGGTAGTGTGTACGCATGGGTCAATTCGATCAAATGATTGTCTTTGGCCCTTCGAAGGTGCCTTTCCCGTGACGGATAGTCGCCTCACCTGGACACTTTGCTTCGATTTTCTTTAGGCCTCGGCCACCCGCTCCGCATACGGGTCGACATGTGTCAACTTGAACTTGCGAGCGGGGACCTCCTCGTGGAACAGTAGGTCTAGTTCCTCATAAGTCCTGCCCTGCGTCTCAGGCAGCCTGAAGTAAGACCACATCGCAACACATGCCGAAGTGCCGGCCCAGAAGAAACCGGCCTTACCCTTCCAGTTCCATTCGATCGGGTTGAGCATAAACGGGTTCAACACGTTGGCCACGATCTGTGTCATGGCGTATGTGTTGCGCGCAATGACTACAGTTTGTGGTCGGAGCCGGACGGCCGATGTTTCGGAGATGATGGCGTAACAGATTGGTCCCACAGTCATTGAGTAGATGAGCTTCCACACAAGCACGAAGGCCACCTGAGCCCACTGGGCGCCGGGCGCCGTCGTTGCCGCTGAGCAGATGCCCACAATGAGGAGAGAGCAGCTTGCCATGGCGATACCAGTCCCATACAGCGTGCGGCGGCCAAAGTAAGTGAGCAGGACCCACGAGACACACGTACCGATGAAGGCCATTGCTGTGCTGCCAATAGCGATCGTGAAGGCGTTTTCCGTGCTGATACCCGCTTGAAGGAAGAAATACGTCGGTGTATACGCAAAAACAGCGCCGGACAGCTGCTGCCCGGCGAATACGACCATGCAAATCTCCGTTCGGCGACGGTTGGTGCCGCGGAAGCAGTCCAGATAATTTGAGTCGGACTCAATGCTAGACTCTAGCATGATGGTGTGCCGCATCTGTGCGAGGGTGGCCTGGGCTTGCTCACGGCTGCGATTCGATAGAGCAAGCAAGGACTTCTCGGCGTCCTCATAACGGCCTTTCTTGACCAACCACCAAGGTGACTCGGGCGCGAAGAATATAGCAATCATAATGGGAACGGGCCACATCCACTGGATTGCTATGGGTACACGCCACGACCATTCCGTGTCGTACTGGAGCATGCCCCTCAGGACACCACTCGACAAAAACTGGCCCATGGCCCAGCACAAGTTGACGTAGACGGTTAGATAACCTCGCAATGCCAGCGGACACACTTCTGAAGCATACGCAGGGCTTGTTGTGGCGTAAACGCCCCAAGTCAGCCCGCAAAGCATCTGTCCAACCAGAAGCATCTCGATGCGGACGGCGAAAAAGGAGATGAAGATGAAGCCCGTCATGCAAGCGAGGGCAACCTGGGTGACGACCTTGTATCCAAACTTGGCTGATGCCCATCCGTTTATGAAGCCGCCAATGATGACACAAGCATTCGTTCCGTTCTGTAAACCGGCTTGCCATGCTCCGGTGAGCTGCCAAGTGTCTTGTTGAGGATACTAGATGGGGTTAGCGGGTTCCGAACACACATTCAGTGTTTGCATACGCACATATGAGCCGAATTTGCGCTGAAAGGTCGGGTAGCCGAAAAAGTTTGACATTAAACTGCCTGCAGTGTTAGCTGTGCTCTATGGGAAAATGGGAGCCTTAGCCATGCCTTTGATCATAGCCCTCCATGACGATGGTTAACGAGATGATGGCTGACCAGAGCGCAGCCTTCCAGTTCTCACGAAGAGCCTGGCGCAATGTTGTCTCATGCTCTGCGGTTGTGGCAGCCTGGGCATCTTGGAGTGAGCGCAAGTTGGCCTTGAGGTCGTCCTCATGCTCAGCCTCAGGGGATGCGTCTTGTGCGGCTTTCATCCTGTCTTCGATGTAATTCAGCTTACAATGTAGGAACACCAGAGTGCAAAACAAATAAAATACAGCGACGCTGCTGCCGCCGTTGTCCACAGATACGAAGGTATGATGGCTTTTATAACTGGGTCGATCGATATTGTATCAAGATACTGTCCTGGTCCAGTCTGGAGATGATCATCCCCCCTTCTATCCTTCGAAGAGAGCTGCTGTCAAGGGTGATTCTCAGACAACCGTCGAATCGGAGCATGCAGAGCCCGAGTCGGCGGTCAGTCTCACAGGCACATCAGACAGGGGTGCGACAGCAACGACTCCCGGCAGGTTAGCTAAACAGATCCCTCCGTGGGGGCTAGGTCACAGCGGGTAAGCGGCTGTGTCATACATTCCGACGACATTTTGTACATACGATGTCCTATTTCTATGGCACGGGTTTACAGGTTTGTTAAGCACGGAACGGTCTCTTGCATCTCCCATGAGTTTATCGTCAAGCGTGGGAAAAGCTCAGCGCCGTGGATATGGTGTGTCAGTTTATGAAGCATAGAGCTTCCTACCCTCATCAGATTTAATCTGAGCTCGAAAGACGTGATCCAGTCTTCCGATAAAGTGCTATATTACTGACAAGCCCCTGTACGTATGGTGTGCCATCCGTATCCTATCTCCCCACCGCTGGCCGGTAGACTAGTGAGGCATCCCGCTTTGCCAGGCAAGTCGACTCCAGAGAGCGCAACTCCGCCGAAACTGGAGCAAAAGCCAGGGTGATGCGGAGTCTAAAAACCTGTGGACCATCTTCCAACACGGGCGTTGGCATAGAGTATCGTCATCCTGCAGTCCGGAGACCAACCCGGACACGCCATTACCCGACACCACCCAGCCCGTCCATACACAAGATGCCATACCCGCCGCTATCCCCGCTGTCCTCCCCGCGAAAACAACCCCGTTTCTCCAACCATCAGAGCTTTCCCCGCAATCAGCGACCCCAGTGACCCCCACGAAGCAATCCTTCGGGGGGGTGACTTGACGAAATTCTGAGGCAGTCATCTGGGATTCTGGCATACGGCGCGGAGTCGGGGTCGGACGAGATCCGACTCGTTCAGTCCTCAGGTGGTCTTTCTCTGAAGCTATGCAGCAACAATAGACAATGGGTCGATTCTTCGTCTCCAGCTCTCGGATGTCGACTTGTCCCGCGACGGGACGAGACCCGATAATCAGGGATTCAGGCTAAATACTGCAATCTCTTTCATGATTGGGCCGTGAGCAACATACTGTGCTGTCGTGGGGTCTGTCGTCGGCTTTCCGAAGCTGTCGTGGCCCCGGCGGGTTTCGGTACCCCACGGTGGACGACCGGCAGCCAGCGGATGGAGAAGACGGCAACAGGGAAATGGTCAACCGGCCAGATACTTAAGCCAGTCTTGCGAGGGGTGCTGAGGTTCGTTTTTGAATGTTCTTGAAAGTCTCGGTCCCTTCCCTCATCTGGCCTGCTCGGTCTTTAGTTTTACTCACTGTTACAAGACTGAAGCGCTCGTCATGGCGCCCAAGGCAGGCAATCAGGAGTATGGCACTCGCCCAGATCCAGCTTTCACCAACGAAGATGGCCGCCGGCTCGGATTCCGTTTTGATGCCGAGATCCTCTACATCGAGCCCTGGGGCGAGCATGCCCTCCGCGTGAGGGCCACCTGCCTGGCCAAGCTCCAAGATAGGGACTGGGCTCTGACGGAAAAGCCGACTCAGACGGCCGACCCCCTCATCAATATCGAGAGCAGCGCGGCGTCCATCACCAATGGCCGCATCAAGGCGCACATCAGCCGCCGCGGAAAGATTGTCATCTCCAACATTGAGACGGGCAAGATACTCTTGGAGGAGTACGCCCGCCACCGGCTCGATATTCTGGATCCCAAGTGCAGCTCGCTCCGCATACAGCCCCGTGAGTGGAAACCTCGGCTCGGCTCGCCCGACTACCACTTGACCATGCGTTTCGAGTCACAAGACCCGGAGGAGCGCATCTACGGGATGGGCCAGTACCAGCAGCCCTTTCTCAACCTCAAGGGGGCCGACCTGGAACTGGCGCAGCGTAATTCGCAAGCAACCATCCCCTTCGCTTTGTCGAGTCTAGGCTACGGCTTCCTCTGGAACAACCCTGGCGTCGGCCGTGCCGTCTTTGGAAGCCTGACAACGACGTTTGAAGCTTACTCGACTGATACGCTCGACTACTGGGTCGTAGCGGGTGAGACGCCTTCCGACATTGTGCGTTCCTACACGCAGGTCACGGGTCGCGTACCCATGATGCCGGAGTACGGTCTCGGCTTTTGGCAGTGTAAGCTGCGCTATCAGACGCAGGACGAGCTGCTCGAAGTGGCGCGCGAGTACAAGAAGAGGAACTTACCAATCGATCTGATCGTGGCTGATTACTTCCATTGGCCTAATCAGGGCGACTGGAAGTTCGATCCCACCTTTTGGCCGGATCCCGGTAAGCGGTCTCGCCAATGACTTCAGGTGACCTCATTGCTAATGCGGCATAGATGCTATGGTGAAGGAGCTCAAAGAAATGGGCATTGAGCTGATGGTGTCCGTGTGGCCTACTGTGGAGAAGACGTCTGAGAACTACGATGAGTGCTTACGTCGCGGGTTCTTGATTCGGCAGGATCGCGGCGTGCGCATGTCCATGGAAGCTCATCATGGCCCCATCCATTTTGATGCCACAAATCCTGAGGCTCGCAAGTTCGTCTGGGATACGGTCAAAAAGAACTACTACGATAAGGGGATCAAGGTATTCTGGCTCGATGAAGCGGAACCCGAATATTCCGTGTATGACTTTGATATTTATCGGTATCACCTGGGCCCGAACCTGAGCGTCGGCAACTTTTTCCCGTCAGAGTTTGCTCGCGGATTTTATGAAGGCCTGAAAGAGTCTGGCGAGTCACAGGTCGTTAATCTGCTGCGGTGTGCATGGGCGGGCTCCCAGAAGTACGGCGCGCTCGTCTGGTCGGGTGATATCGCGTCGAGCTGGGGCAGCCTGCGAAACCAGCTAGCTGCGGGCCTCAACATGGGTATTGCTGGATTCTCCTGGTTCACCACAGACATTGGCGGCTTTCACGGAGGTGACCCGGACGACCCTGAATTCCGCGAGCTGTTCGTGCGGTGGTTCCAGTGGGGGACCTTCTGCCCGGTTATGCGCCTCCACGGCGACCGAGAACCCAAGCAGCCCCGTCTGGGCACAACTGGTGGCAGTCACTGCCTGTCTGGGGGTCCCAATGAGGTCTGGTCGTACGGCGAGGAGGTGTACGCCATCTGTGAGAAGTACCTCCGGCTACGCGAGTCGATGCGGGAGTACACGCGGGAGCTGCACCGGGCGGCGCACGAGAATGGCGATCCCCTGATGCGGCCGCTGTTTTACGACTTCCCAAACGAAGACAAGTGCTGGCGGGTCGGGGATCAGTACATGTACGGGCCCAAGTACCTTGTCGCGCCGGTGCTGCAGGCCAAGCAGCAAACGCGGGAGGTGTACTTCCCTGGGGAGGGTGTTCGCTGGAAGGACGCTGAGGGGCTGGAGTATGAGGGCGGCCAGACAACTACAGTTAAGACGCCGCTCGACACGATGCCCGTGTTTGTTCGACACTGAGCCATGCCTAATCTGGTCATGTTTTCATGTCTTCTTTTCTTCCGGGAAGGGGAATGGTGGAGGACCTTCTGGGCAGAGCTCGATTGGGGTCCAGGGAAGTGGAGGTTACCTTATGCGGGGGACATCGACCCTAGTCGTGTTGTATGTCAGGATCGGCGACTAGGATGATGGATGCCAGTGATGAGTTCCTCCGAAGTAGGTAGGTAGATGATAGATGAGAGAGCGATGACCCACTGCAAAACTCGTTCAATTCTTGATATGGTGGGGTTGCGAGGGGTGAAATTGATGCTTTCGTGTGATGGCAATGGACTGAGGGCGAGGGGTCCTAGCCTTCCTTAGGTGCTGGAGCGGAGCATTTGGACCGGTCCAGCCATAGATACAGGCACAGCGAGAGACATCGACGTCATCAAACGCCCACCAAAAGCGGAAGCTTGGCAGCCAGGCCCGTCGCAGCTGCCTTTTGCACAGCTCCGGCGGCAGCTTCCTCCACTGGCGACTCCTTCCCCGTCACGATCTCGTCACAGGAGCACACTTTCGGACCTCTTGTCCTCTCATCTTCATAATACTGAATACGTCAACTCACCTCTCCTCCTTTGGCGATACCGCTTGGTGCTCATCTACCATCAACCTCGCCATCTTTCAGCTCAATCCCACCCAACTTCACCACGCCCCAAACACAAGCACGCCCACCATGTCCGACGAACCCAACCGCGTTGCCGAACGCGACTCGGCCAATACCCAGGGTCAAGGCCAGAGTCGTAGCCGCGGTCGCATCGCCGACTCGGTCCAAGCGAGAGCCCAGGAAGTTCTGTACGTTATCCACCTCCCCAAACAATGCCTTGCGGGCAGCTGCCAGCTGTTCAGAATGGCCTGCGAAGAGTTCGATACCTGAGCTCGCAATGTACTGACTCATCTTGCTTGTAGGAAGGAGGACTACGACCATGCATCCACCCTCGTAGGCGATGCCGCCAGGAGTAGGGCATACCTGTACCCCCTCAAGGTACGATACTCCTCTGGCCCATGAAGTACCAGCGCTTCTGACAGCCTCTTACAGGGAATCCTCTACTTTGCGACGCACCGCTCCCTTTGGAAGCCTCTCCTCTCTCGAATTGGCCCTTACGCCCTGTTGTCCGTCAGTGTCGTCACTGGCATGTTTGTATTCACCTACGTGCCGCAGTTTGCCGTTCTCGTCCTCTTCAACGGTCCGCTTGCCGTCTTCACCACCGTTCTCCTGATTCTCAACGAGAGCTCCACCATCATCAACATGATCTCGCGCACGTACCTTCTACAAGATGCCATCCTCGATACCTTTGACGGTACTCTGGTCGCCAGGGGTAGCGATAACATTGTCCGCGAGGGTCGACAGCTGCAGCCGGGCTCAGACCCCATGCAGAAGCTGGGCAAGGTTCTGAAGAGCCCCTTTGAGCGCTTCAGCCCCAAAGCTCTCATCCGATACATCATGTATCTACCCCTGAACTTCATTCCTGTTGTCGGCACTGTTTTGTTCGTCCTCATCCAGGCCCGCGGACGCGGCCAGATTGTCCATGGACGGGTACGTTTTTGAATCGTGTCCCCTGAGTTCGAAGCGTGGCCTAATATGACGCAGTACTTTCAGCTCAAACAATGGTCAGAGTCACAGCGGAGGGAGTGGCTGAAGAAGCACACCGGACCCTACACAGCGTACGTTTGCCATCCTGAGCACACCTTGACTGCCTACTCACACCATACAGATTCGGTCTTGTTGCCACAGCCCTCGAGCTGATTCCCTTTGCTTCCATGTTTTTTACTTTCACCAACTCTGGTATGTCACATGCATGCCCTTGACTCCAGTCACTTCATTACTGACGGCATCCTCTCTACAGTCGGTGCGGCTCTGTGGGCTGCCGATATCGAAAGTAAGGGCACATCCATGACGGACAGCACCGCCCCCACCCTTCGCGAGACGGCCAAGAAAGCCGAATAGAGGAATCGTAAAGGTTAGGAACATGGGGTTAGCTGATTGAGAGCTCTACTCCTTGACACTCCACAGTGGCGACAGCAACTAGCTCGTGGCTCATCAGCAGTTGCCCGCCTCGCCTAGCGGCAGATAGGTCTCACGGCATTTTGACAGCATCGAATCGAGCTCGTGCTCTCTTTTCACGATACTGGGGGCTTTCCTGGGCACGTCACGATGAGAAGTTTACGCTGAGAGTGGGAGGTAATTTTGATTCCTGCAAGCGCAAAAGGAGCAGGGTGATTACAGTCTTGAGACCCCGTAGATGAAGTGTCTTGGTTTCTTATAGTGTGCAATTCTTTGCGAGCAGCCATGTGTTTCGTCATGAACTGTCTCATCCTGCGACCAGCACCACTATGCTTGGCGTTGGGCATTTCAATGAAGCAAACGACGACAGCGTGGAGAGCACAGTTTCTTCCGCGCCCCCTACCCCCGTACAAGCCATGTCAATAAACCTAGATAGGCTATTGTACGATATCTTCCTCCTCACAAATAATCGTACGAGTTGACAGCTTTGCACCTTGCCCACCAAGCCACTGCTCGACTTTACCAGGTCATCTTCCCTCTTTCCACAGAGAAGAGCTCGCTCTGCTTGTCCTCTAAGTTGAGCTCGGCGACTGCGAGTTGAATGTGTGTGTTCGTGTAAGCTCACATGTTGCCTCCACGGCCCGTGTGACTTTGTCGCTTTCGCCAGGAACAGGGGTGTCATCTTGCTGCGGGACGTTGCATCTGCCCCTGGCGTCCGCGGCATCTCGCCGCGCACAGCTGTACACTTGCGCACCGTCTGTGCTATCGTGACATCTCGGTAGGCCGAGAGGCAAGGGCCTGGTGTCATGTATTCCAGCGGCGACGGGGTCCGAGGATCGGATGGGAAATGACGAGGTGGTGCTTGGACGACGTGTCAGGCGAGCTCGGAAAGGGTTCCTCAGCTATGCACGGCGAAATCTGGTCGTAGCTCGGGACTCGTGTCGGTTCAATTTACCTTCTTTTTCTCGTTCCTAACTTGATGGGTCGTGATCTGCAGACAGGCGTCGAAGACGCTCCCTGGCATGTTTTCGTCGTGCATCGTCCCTTCTCCGGACGGACTTCATATGTGTAGGAGCGAGCCCGACGGGCAGAACATGAATCCAAGCAGACGGATGGTGGTCATCGTGCAGGGAGGATATGTGTTTGGATCTGTATTCGTCCGTCTTTCTCTCCTTCTTCGGCAGCCCGCCCCCCTTAAGTTGAGGAACGGGGCAAAGCTGTCGAGCGTATCACCAAGTCTTACTTTGACGGGTAACTTGTTCACACCATGGGCAGCTTGAAGCCATGGATGTATATGGCCTGCTCTGCCCCTATCGACGGCGTGCCGAGGTAATTGGAGTTTTGGGCCTGCACCTATATCTGCCAACTTATCCTCGCCGTCTTCCCTTTGACGGCATACGCCTGCCATCCTTCCTCCTTGCGGATCTCCTTTTCACTTCATGACATCTCCCTCCTTTTGACTCTCGTTCTCTCTCACTGTCTGGATTTCGCAGGCCCTGCTGATCCAAGTCATTCTTTTCGCTTTTTTCTTTCTGTTTCTCAACGCTTGATATCACATAACTGTCGGTTCCCTGATGAAGACTACATCATATTCGCAGCCCGACCAAGGCAGCCGAGTTCTTTCGAACAGAACACAGACACGCCAGGATAAGGGATTTCATCATGAGAGTCTCCTCTCTGGTTCGAAGACTCCTTTTAGCTGCGGTGTTGCTGCCCGTGCCCCATTTCGTGTTCGCTCGCCATGATGCCCTGGGCCACAGGCTTCGAGAACGCGATGCGCCGCCACCAGGTCTCGATGTGAAGCAATCCAGGGCCAGGGCCATCGAGGAAAACGGGAAGGGCGCAGCGGAGGAATACCAGCCATATAGCTGGGGCTATGGGTACGGATACCCTCCTGATGAGCCTGAGGCTACGTCAACAGAGGAGGCTTCGGGGGAGGGAATGCCTGCCACCAGCAAGGAAGGTCGGTAGAGCCTCCGCCTCCCAACTTATGACGAGCATTACTGATCGGACGCTTAGCACCCTCAGCAGACATCTCGTCTGGTGGTACGCGTGGGACACTTGCCGCTAACAACACATCATTCGTGTCTGGTCCCACGGCTGGCGCCTCCAAGACGTTCTTCTCCGGAAGCCAGTCGTCTGCAGGTCCGACGGAAGTCACTGGAAGCTCAGGGTCCCCCTCTGAAAATCCGGATAGCTCGACAACGGATGGTCCGTATCCGCCAGAGATGTCTGAGACCACAAACCCGGCCGGTAATGGCATATATCCCCCACAATCCTCTTCCAAGTCCGCGTTATCGGGCGCCTTTCCAGGGAGTTCGTCCAGCCGGTCTTCATCAGGACCCGCCAGTATCTCCAGTAGCAACAGCGAGGGTGTCGGGCTGCCTGAGCCAAGTCTGACGGGCCTAAACAGCTCTACGGCTGCGTTGCCCTCACAAGAGTCGACGACGGACACATCTCTGTCCCCTTTCAACAACTCCACGATGAGCATGTCTAGGCCACTCGGGTCTATCACGCCCGGCGTCATGTCGCCCCCTGTGCTGTCGGCGTCGGCTTTCCCAACATGGACTGCCACGCCGTCAAGCATCTCTGCCACAGCTCCTGCAGGGGCTATCTCAACCCCTGCTTCGAGAAGTCTCCTGTCGACATTGAGCGTTCCTAGCAATGTAACGGTGCCTGTCGATACCCCCTCAACGCTGGGACTATCTTCTGAAGCAATACTGTCGAGTCTCCCAGCACCACAGAATGCTACAGGTATCTCATCGGCTCCCGTGATGGCCTCGGCGTCGACACCTTTCAATACTACTGGGGGTCTGACGGCTTCAAGTTCAGGGACAGCCGCCGGTGAGATCAGTGGTACTATCCTACCTGATTCGTCATCGATAGGCTCCTCCGAGATGATAGCAAGTTCGAGTGGACTCGCCAACATCACTGTCCCGGGCATCTCTTCCCAAGGCGCCACCCTTTCATCAGTTGTTTCGGGTTCGTCCTCCGCTATTGGAACCCCCCCAACAACCGGCAATGAGACAGCGCCCAGTCAGCCGTTGATGCCAGGTATTGCCTCCACAACGAGGCCTTCATCGTCGGCGACGCTTGTTAGCGGTTCTGTCGCGAGTGGCACAACTACAACTGGCGTCAGCTCCAGCACCAATGGCACGAACAGCATGGTCAGCCCCTCGACGACAGGTGCTGCTCCATTTCCCTCAACAAACGCCACCATCACCACGAGCCAGTCATCCGGCTCGCGCAATACTACGGATAGTCCGACCCTGCAGCCTGGCTCGGCCGGTGAGAGTTCCTCATTAGCCACATCGGGCATCCCCAGTGGCTCGCCGTCTTCACTCATAGACTCAAGCTCAAGAGTGCAACAGACAATAAATGCAACCAGCAGTACCAACGTGGTTTCCGAACCTGTAACGTTCTCCTCGTTGCCTGTTTTTCCCACCTCGAATGATACAACGACTGTAATCACAGGGACGGTGACCATACCGACTGCGCCAGCGTCACCTTCCAACTCAACCGTGGTGACCATGCCGGCGTTACCAACTGGTACACCACTGTCGTCAGCACTGGCGAACTCGTCATATCCTCCTGGCCTCCTCAACACCACGACAGCCTCGGTACCGGCATCCCTGACTGCGAGCGTTCTTCCCAGCCTGTCCAATGGCACCTCGGCCGCTCCCAGCAGTGGCGCGGTGGCGGGCGTCTCATCCTCACCCAATGGCTTCGTACCAACGCCTAGTTCTCTACCTTCTTCGGCAACACCTTTCCCATTCCCGAACGCGACGAGTTTGGTATCAAGCGTGACGAGACTCCAAAGCACGACAACCGCGCAGAACACTTCAGCGCCCGTTCCTTCAAGTACCATTCCTTACACTTCTCAGTATCTGCACAACACCACCAAGGTGGGTCAGTCGCAAGATATCACTTCTGTGTTGCCCTCAATGGTCCCCGGATCATCAATGCAGACCCTTGCCCCGAGCCTGTCGAGTTCGTCGGCGCCGTTTCCCCTTTCGAACAGTACTGCGTCAGGCACCATCGCTGGGACGGGCCTCAACACCGTTGAGGCGAGTGCCTCGACAACTTTGTCGCTCTCTCTCAGCCCCACGAGCTCGGCGCGGTTCTCTCTTTCGAATGCCACTCTTTCGGATGCGACTCTTTCGGATGCGACTCTTTCGGATGCGACAGTGAGCACGAGCATCAGCGCGGCTAATGCAAGGGCTCCAACGTCCACGGCCTTGTTACCACTGTCGTCTGCAGAAACGCCTTTCCCGTTCCCCAACGCGACCTCCACGACGTCTGGCCCTGGCGTGGGCTCCACGAATACTAGCACATCAGCAACCAGCATACCCTCGTCTATGACCCCTGGAATGACCCCATTCCCAATGCCCAATTCCACCGTCTCGGGATCACGTACCATTGCAGGCACGGGGACAAGCATCGCAAATGTGACGGCGCCGACCTCAGTCTTGTCCAGCACAACTACAACTGCCCTGACCCAGTCAGTGACGTCTCCGTTGTCCAACAATACTCTCTCCAGCTCAGTCGCAGGCACGGGCCTCAGCTCACTGAACATGAGCACATCATCCACAGCAGGTGTCGGTTTTCCCACGCCTTCGATCCTGACACCGTTCCCGCTGCATAATGCCACCACTTCAGGCGGTGCCAGTGGAACCGGCGTCGGCACGCCAGACACGATCGTGCCAACGCCGCTTCCTCTTCCGAATGCAACAAGCTCAAGCGTGCCAACGAGCGCTGGGAACCTGACGATTCTGCCGATTTCCAGTCTTTCCGGCGCTATCGTGACGACTTTTACTCCAACGGTCGTGCCAACGGGAACACCACTGTTCCCTACGGCAAACAACACTGTACTGTCCAATGCGACCTCACTTGAGCCGGACGAGACGAATACGCTCTTCCAAGGCGAAGAATCGTCGTCGTCACCAGGTCCATCGCTCAACATAACATCCACGGGCAGCGTTCCAAGCGTCGGAAATGCCACGATGACGCCGCAATCATCTGCGCCTACCGCCTCGCCTCTCTGGCCGGTGACAGCGAATCAGACGACGACCTCTTCAGGCCCGCCTGCAGGCTCAGTGAAGAGCAGTATTTCCAACTCAACTCTCGGAGCAAGTAGCGCGAGTCTGAGTTCAGGGCCAGTTCTGCTGCCAACGGAGGCTACAGAAACAGGATCGAGCGAGCCGTCGGGCGCGTTGGTCTCTACCGGTTCATCCAAGGCCAACGCCACGATCACGGCCAATCCGGCGGTGACCTCGCCTTGCGCCACCATTACCATCACCAATGGCACAGTAACGCAGATCATCACAAAGACCGTGATGGCGTCTGACGAGTCGGCGTCCCGGGCCGGGATTTGGTCGTCCGAGGTTGCGTCGCTGACAGTCAGCAAGGCGCCGTGCAACTCGACGACCAGAGCAGGACCATGGACGGGCTGCACGTCAAAACCGCTCTGGGCCAATTCCACGTCGTCGACAAGCCTCACGACAGTGGCCTCGTCATCAGGTCTTGCGTCGTTCGACTCGAGTGGGTCGGCGCCTGAGACCATGGAGACTTGTAAGTAGAGACGACCAACACACGATGTGGTCCTTGTGAGAAGCACTGGCTGACACACCTGTTCGTTAGCAACATTGCTGCCCACCTTTGACCTCACGACCTTCTCGACCTCGACCATGAGCAGTGAGGATCCCGATCCTCCGCAGGGCACACCCACGACGACAGAAACGGGCAAGCCCCTGCCCTCCAGTCCCAATTACCCCTGGGGCGGGCTGGGTCCTCTGCACCGGCACCAGAATGTGACCAGCGTGGGTCGGGGGCAAGAGTCGGAGTTAGAGGACGGAGCAGGGGTTGCGTCGGTCGTAGCTAGAGGCGCGTGGTGGTCGAGGTGGAAGACGCACGCGGACAGATTGCAGAGCCGATGGTGGAAGACCTGAGTTGACCATGACGAGGGAGATGGTGCTGTAGAATGAATGATTGATTCCTTATGTCGCAAGGGAGGGCAGGCTTTACCTGTCGGGGACGACGCGTCTGACGCGTGCCGTTTGGGGTGCGTAGGGTCCATCGTGAGCTTGCTTACTCATCGCGTGGGTAAGGTGACTTGTGGAGAGGAAGCTGCCGCCTGGAAGTGGCTGCCTCGAAATGATCCGGCTGTTCAATGCTCGCTGCAACCGATCACATTAAAAACAAAAGTCCATGGATATCAATCAGCGCGTGTGTCATTCTGTCGTTTATCATAAATACTATAAAAACATGGTTGGTATCCACTATCAATCGCACGTCTCAAGCTTGACCTCGCAGCACGACTCGGTGACAACCGTCTTCCCCGACTCCGGTTGACTTGTGCTCCTATTCAAGGGCGGCACCTCCGTTTCAGCAGGCACAGATTCCAGGTCGCAATCAGGCAGAGGCACGAGAGCTGCCAGGCGTCCTGAGCAATCCTTGCATCCTGGGCAGAGAATCTCGGGCACCTCTCCATCGAACAGCTCTTCGCGAAAGACGTAGTAGTCTCGGTAGTACTTCCACTCCTGCAGGAACTCGACCCAGTATACAAGCTGTTCGACGACCCAGCAGTCCCGGAGACGCTCTGATATCCAGTCCGGCATCTGTCCCGTAGAGGACGATGTCGATGATGATGACGATGAAGACGACGACCCCGCGGGAGCCGTCTGGCCTCCAATCTCAAGACCACGCGCCCTCGCCGCATGCCAGGCGGCTAAGAGCTCTGGTCGCAAGTCGTTGGCCCGTTCTGTCGTGTAGTACACAAACTCGGCGGGCCGGCCCGTCGTCTTGTAGTACGGTATCGCACCCCATTCCACAACAGCGCGCTGCGTCTGGTCCGGCTTGTCCTTGCCGGGCGTCGATACGTGCACGACGCGGACGGTGCAGCGTGTGCACTTGGGCTGGGCCAGAAACGTGGGCACAATGGTGGCCAATGGTGGGGTCCTCGTCCGTGGATGAAGAGGTGCCGACTGTGTCCTGGGCTGCTTCGGCCTAGACGCTCTCCGGGGCGGACTTGACGATGGCGATGGCAACATCATGTTTGGCGGTGAACGCTAGCTAGGCCTGTTGGGCCTCTGGCCTTGCCCCACAAGTGCCCGAGGAGCTCTTCGATTTCTTGTCCTTCTTGTCAGCCATTGCTCAGGCATATGCGGTCTGCCTCACGGAGCGCCTTCTTACAATTTGCCCGACTTAGTCTACAACACAGAGCAAGCAAAGCAACTGAAGTCTTCTTGTTGGATTGCTTGGTCCCTCTGAGCGGGGACTCGATTGTGGAGCGTGGAGCGTGGAGCGTGGAGCGTGGAGCAGGGGAGCGCCGGGAGTGCGGGAGCACGGGAACGATGGCAGGGGGGCCTTGGCGGAGCGTAAGAAGCCAGAGAGCACGGCGCAAACAGTTGGGCCGTCACAGACGCGAAAAAGGGCAAGATTCTTGCAATCGTTATGGGCCAGGGAAGCCGATACTAAAGACGGTTTCTTCATCGCAACCGGCTGCGATCGCCTGCAGCTTGCCCTCCTGCAGGCCATCACCCCGACCCTCGGTCACGCATCTCGGTCCACATACCTCGCAGCCACAGTGCAGCCCATGTCTGGTCACTCCGAGGTCCAAGGCACGCAGACCGATCAACCAGGGCCAAGCAACAGACGCAACAGACGTGTCGCCGGCACCTCGAGCAGCCAGCATCAGGAAGGTGTGCCTTGCCCTCGACAGCAGATTGACAGGGGTCAAAGGCACGCTACCGACGACAGGCCTTTCTTTTTCTACTTCACCGACACTGCAGTGCTACATTGGACACTCCCTTCCCGCCTCTCTCTTTTCTTCCTCGTCGCTTTCTCTTCATCCAACAATGCCTGCGAGCGTGGACTCAGACACGGAACACAAGGTTGCCACACCCCCCACCCCCGCGTCTGCCCCCCCCCTCCCCCGCCAGAGAACAAACTTGACCCCAGCAATGTCGACCTCAGCCTGTCTCACGTCGTGTCCTTATCTCCCCTGAAGTTCTGAGTTCTGCGAGGCCTGGACGTCAGAAAAAAAAGAAGGGAGTAAACATAGCAGCCAAGGATGGACAGTACCAGGGCATGTTCCTTACGTCCCGTCGAAATGCTGGTTGCCTTGGTATATCGGTCGTACCATACAAGTACCTTGCCCCCCATGCCTTGCCAGACGCTCATGCGGCCTGTCCAAGCCTGTCTCACATCACTGGTCCTGGCGCCTGCAAGGTAAGCCAGAGCAGAAATCTAGACCGCGGCACAGGGCCATCAGCTGACACTCGTGGCAGACGCCTGCCTCGTTGCTTTTCCCCCCGGAATGATGACGGTCATCCCCTCAGGCTCGCGCATTTTTATCATGTGCTTTTCAGAGCGCAGTCATATGCCAGTACGGCCGCCTCCCTAACCGGCCTAGTCCAGCAGCCAACGGCCTTGGATTCACGAATCTCGATAACTCCCGATGCCCCGTCCGCGCGCTAGACCGTACCGACAACGTCTTGGCGGCCCGTCCGGCGGTCCATCCCATCTCTTCTTCCTTTCCATCCTGCTTCCTTGCCCACCCCCCTTCACCGTGCCGATACCAACCACACCAGCCCGGTCGAAACCCCTGTACAGCATCCACTGCAGATGATATGACCGATGGATTGGGGATTTGTCTTTCGTGTGCTCCGCTCTGTCCCGTTCAATGGGTGCCTGCGCTGGCTGACCGGTCGAACCCGACGACCAGGCGAGTGGTATTCATGTCTGTGACAATTCCGTGCTGCCCCCCTGGTGCAGTAGTGTGCTTTGGCCAGTTTAACGCCTGCCGCGCCTCTCTCCACCACCCTAAGCCACATAGCATTCCTACTTTTCATTTACTCATCAACAGACTTTGCGACGGGGTTCGAACAGTCCCCGTCCCAACCATGTCGGCATAATCTCGAATACGGGCTGAGGCTTGTTGGCTCCATCAGAGGCGGATTGGACGTCTCTCCTGAGACGAAAGGCACAGGCCCTGAGTACGCCGCTGCTGGTGCTTGAGTGATCGTAGACGTATCCAATCGCTTCAACTTCTTCACTTTTCAAGGTGACAAGCGCATTCAATTCAACGCCATTGCGTCAAAGTAGCATTCACAGTAACAATAGCTTGATGAACTAGGCTGGTAGTGAATGGACGCCAGGTCTCCGCCTCCTTGCAGAGCATCAACTGTCTTTTCTCCCTCTTATGAGACAGGGCGCGGTGCGCTCCTCCCTCGATGATGCCAGGGGCGCTTGCCGTCGACGCATAATCGCCGACAAGGCTCGGGAAAAAGCAAAGAGGAGGTTATCCACCACCCCCCAAATTCCTCCCATGCTGCTCTGGTAGTATATTGCCCAAGGGGCGGCGAATAGAACACGCCCTGGTGGAAAACACGCACACAAGCCGCCGGACCGTTGCCATCGTTGGCGCCCCTCCCCTACTTGGCACAATTCCCATTCAGACTATCCTTGTTTTTTTGCTCAAGAGTCCCGTGCCTGTGGCCACTGTCTCAAATCCGTCACTTCTCACTACCGCCTCGAGGACTTCCAACGCTACCCTGGGTCGTCATTCTCCTGCTGGCCGTGGAGGAATCGCCTTGTCACCCAGGCGAATCTTATTTGACGACGCCAAGTGACACAGTCCGGCGGTTCAGTTCCGCAGTCTCAGACCTCGAAGTCAAAGCACGACATACAAAGTCCCGAATGTCCTCTCCCACCTGCCTTCTCCACAGGCTTTCTCATTAGAGGGCATCAATCTTCGTTCAGAGCTTTCGAACGCTTCTTTCTCCACATCAAACCCATATCGGTTGACCTCGCATCTTCACCTGTCTGCACCCCAACCACCACTACCGCTCGTCAGATCTCCACACAACACATCAAGCGTCACCTGCACAGCATTTGTCGCCCACCAAGCAAAGCCGCCCACATTTCCACTCCCGCGCCTTTTCGAAACAATTCAGCATGTGTGAATGGTACCGCCGCGAATTCGGCTGTCGCCACTACCTCATCGGCGCCGCATCGTGGTGTCCCGACTACAGCCGCACCGGCCGCCGCTGTGAAGTCCGCGTCGTGTACATCGACTACTCCGCCGGCGACTGTACTGGGTGCTCCAACCGCCGCACTGAAGAGTCTGTTCCATGGGAACACATGATCAACCGCTCCCGCTGCGGGTGGCCTGAGAGCAGACTCACCGGCAAGGTCTTGCCTTAGTGCGGGCCGCCGTCCTATCCCCGTGGAGAGACGACGACCACGTCATGACGAATTGGACATGGAATGTCAATATCTATTTGAAACTCTTCCCGTAGGAGGTAGAGTTGGTTTCCTGTTGTTTTTTCCTTGCTGTTTTTTTAGGGGTGTTTACGCCCGTCGTCTTTCTATGGTCTGGGTACTGGGAATCATGATCGGGGCGTTCTGGGTGTTGCTTCTTAGAGCGACTTGGGCTATCAGACGCCTCCTGGGACGAAACAGTATGGCCACATCGGTGTGTTTTCCGGGTTTGTTTTTCTTTCTCGTGTGCGTTTCTTCCATCCTGATCCTCTTTCGGAGAGTCTGGATCGTACAACTTAGGCAACTGGGGGAAATTGGGGTTCAGGATATGGGATATGGGATTTTCTTCTTCTTGGAAACTGCAACATATACCAAATGGTCGTTATCAGGGTCGCGGCCAAGGCACAAATTGCCTGAAGGGAGAAAAGACACCTATTGTTCATGTATCACACAGGGCGTGCGAAGGACTCGCTCCTCCTTGCCCATGACCCCCGATGCTGGGCTTCGGGGCTCAGTATAAATAGATATCGCCCAGCAGGTATACACACACATTCACTCACACGGTCGACTCGCGTTATTCAAAGTGATCCTTTTGGCTTGATATTGTAAACGCACGAGCTGGTTACACGGACGCGGGTGATGACAGGTTGCCGATTGCCTGTGGGCATAGTCGATGTGTACGACCAACACACGATGGCATTCCGTCGAATCGTGGTCTTGGTACGAGATAGAGTGAGTGACACGGCATGACCGGGAAAAGATTGCTTGAAGTATGCAGCCGCCCGACAAGGCTGCGAATGGGATTCGTGACGCGTTGAGCATCGATCAGGTGAGGATTCAGAGATGCGGCCCAGCCTTTGAGCCAAGATATCTGGCCTCAGAAGGCAGGGAGTTTATTTTCATGGACAGGGAGTCTCTTCGGCTTGTTTGCTCCCATCATATGGACGCTTCGTGGGTTTCCCGTCTACAGCCGAGACGTCAAATGCGACGTACACTCACTCACTCACTAACTGGGTGTCCAGAGATGGACATCAGACAGAACCTATATATTGTGTATGCCTGGGGCATTGACGCCATTATACTCTCTATGAATCAATGTGAATAACAACCACACGCACGCTCTTTAGAATGGGACAGACATTCTCTCGATTGAAGCAAAATGGAACAAAAAGAATGGGCGCCATCCGGGGATTGAACCCGGGACCTCTCGCAAGCTGTGCTTCAGGGTGTGACCCTAAGCGAGAATCATACCACTAGACCAACGGCGCGTTCAGAACAAATCCCTGACTGAGTCAGGAGCCGGTCGATGGAAACCGGTTTCTGAGGTAGGGTATATGTAGCCATGTTACTAAAACTATCATGTCTCCGACTTTGCGACTTTCACAAATCTGATCCCGATGTCTGCATCAAGTCCAGTTGACGGCTCGAGATTTTCATGCAGACTCGATTAGGCATCCAAGATAATGGGCTTTGAGATCGATAGGATTTAGTGGTGATGCCTGGATAATAATTTGACCTCTCGCTCTCTAATCATCGCCACAATTCTACATTCACCGTGACATACAAACTAGAGGAGCACATATCCAGTAAGGGAGCAGAAATGACTGCAAAGCAATCCATATCCCCCCGTATTCAAATGGCCGCTTCTAGTATCGTAGTACATAGTCAGTCTCTCTGTAGAACCCACTTCAGCCCCTTGACCATTGCTTCCTCAGCTTCGACCGCCCGTGGTAGAGCCGGCGCTTTGAGCCAGAATGTATGAGGCCATCCTTCCACGACGTCCACTTCGACCTCGACTCCCGCCTCCTTCAGAGCTATGGCATAGCAGACGCCGTCGGAGTAGAGCGTGTCGTTCGTGCAGACCTGCACCCATGTCCTGCTGAGCCCGCGTAGCTCATGTATGCTAGCCTCCAGCGGCATCCGCTCTAGGCCATCTCGAACCTCCTCGCGCCTGAACACACCAAGAAGTACATTCGCAAAGCACTCGGTGGCGCTCGTGTACGCCGGACGCAGCCTTTCCGGGACGTGCTCGATATTGCTGCCGCCGTCGCTCGTTACAGGGCATCGCAGTACGGTGCCAGTGAGTGGTCTCTCTAGCACTAACTGCTGCACGGTTGTGGCCAGCACGCCGCCGCTCGAGGATCCGACGACCACGAGCTTCACGTCAGACGGCGCGAGCTTGATGATGGCGCGGATGGCGTCCACGCTGTCTGAGATGCATGTCGATGCCGGGTGCTTTGGCATCAGTCTGTAACCGATAGAGTAAACGGTGCTGTTCTCGACGTCTTTGACGATGCGTCGGCACGAGAGCTCCTCACTGTCCGCCTCGCCGACGTAAAGGCCGCCACCGTGGTAATATATGACGACCACCTTGGGATCAACCACTCGGATATGCTTGAATTGAAGGATAGGGATCTCATAGTTGTCTAGTGTGGAAGGTGTGGTGATGTGCGTCGTCGTGATGTCTTCAGAGAGGCGGTGGAACGGAGCACCCTGCACCATTAGCTTTGCGTGGAGTTGACGACATTCTTCCGCGTAAACGGGCTGACGCTCGACTGGCGACGCGTAGACCTTCTTGGGTGCCTTCAGGTCCGCATCGTCTTCGTATTGAAGCCATCCTGCATCTAGTGGCGGTGGAGACGAGAGGACGAGGCTAGAGAAATGATTCATGCTGAAGAAGTGTGGTGCTTGTGCACAGGCGATCAGAATGATGGGACCGTAAATGCTGTATAAAAGGTCCTCAAAGCTTGCCAGGTTGTTATGGATGTTAACAAACGCCGATGTCAACAATGGCTCACTTGAGCTCTTTAGTTGATTTTGCGGCTAAGAATTTCGCACCAACGGCAGTCTGCCATTTAGCCGGATATCCGGGACCTAGGCGGTCGCCCAAGATCTTGCGATGCCCTTTCTCGCGGGCGCAATAGCCATTCCCGCGAATTTCATCTGCCCCCCATTGATTGACGTATAACTGAGTGACAGACTATCCGGTTGTGGTGTTTGCCTTCCTGCAAAATGTCAATTGAGCGGTCATAGCAGAACCGGACCTTCCGGAGTTCTTTGTCACTCCATATTTCGTAACAACCATCACAGTGACAACGAGTATTGTGCATGAGCACGCAATTGTGAGGACGGCGCAATTATGATTGATTCCCCTTCTTAGGACATCCGCTCTCTTATTTACCATGCTACAGTACACAAAGGGAATCGAGTAACAGTCGCATCGTTTACAGCACAGAGAGATCGCCGAACTTCTCCTAAAGGGGGGGTTAACAATGTCGATAAATAGTGTCAATGTTGATTCGAAACGCACCTTGTATCCCGGCACGGACCAGCGGCCCTTGGCAACGAGCTCGGCAGTCTTCTTCTCGACCTCGGGCACGGCCTTGTTGAAGTCGTCCTGCGCGCACATTTCATCAGTAACCCCTTCTTTGGCTTCAGCGATGCTGGCGCCTGGTGAAAACATACAACAGTGATGTCCTCGAACGGCCTGGCGGTCTCAATGTTGGACAGAGTCTTCTCGAGATCCTTCAGCTCGAGGCCGACCTTCTCCTTGGTGGCCTCGGCGTTCTTGACGGCCTCGACCTCAAAGGCCTCGATGGCCTTGAGCTGGCGAGAGACATCGTAGGCGGCGGGCTTGTGGGCAGTGAAACGCTTCTCGATCTCGTCGACAACGGCCTGGTTCTTGAGGACAGAGCGGTAGTGCGCGAAGTCGACGGCGGTAGGGAGCTCGGAAAGCTGTTGCACCTTGCGGCGGGCGTCCTCGTTGCGCTTCTTGAAGGCCTGGAGGGAGGCGACGGTCTGGCCCCGAAGGTTGAGGGAGCTGGTGACCTTAGCCCAGTCGAGCTTGAGCGCTGCGCTTCGCTGTTCGGGTAGGAGGAGAAATTAGCTCAGCGTTCACCGAGGCGCGTCCGCAAGGCCAATCGATGTCCACATGACAGAATCGTCGATGCTCGTATCAATTGCCAAGTTCATGTACAAAAGCGACTTACTGCGGCCATCTTGAAGGATTGTTGGGGGATTGCGAGGGTTGCGTAGGGAATGGCTTCTGTCGTGAGGTTGGCTGCTAGATCGACTTTGCCGAAGAGCGGGAAAGATCCGGACGACATGTAATCACGTGATGCGACCTCCCGATTTGCTACATCGAAGTCACGTGCGGGCACCCATCCCAGCCATTGTCTCATCATTGACTGTATGCGAGCCTACACTCAGAAGATTAATTACATGCCGCCGTCTGGCAACAATTCTGATCCCGCGTTACTCTTTTCATAGATGATGGGCGAAATCAAGTCGAAGAGAAACTACACAAGCGACGCACAGGAAATCAAGAGTTGGTTCGGGTTTGGCTTGAAGCGAACGACAGCCGCTTATAACCTTTTGGTTTCCCGCGACTGGCTTCCAGATGAATGAATTTTGGTTGTCGTCAGACTCCCTAGGCATGGTCTATGGCCTACCCATCCGTCCTCTCTGTTACGCTCATGCATCATGAGATCAAAAGCCTTCAACAATCATTTCTCCTTCACCCCATGGCAGCGTCCGTTAGATACTCAGCGCCATGATGGAGTTGACGATATCGTTGTCGTTTTCCTTCAGGGCCTTGATAGCCTTGTTCCGGCTCACGCTGGCCTGGGTCATGACCAGCTCGATGTCCTTGTCCTCAATGCCGGTCGCGTCGACCTCCTCCTCGTCATCCTCCTCCTCCTCCTCGTCCTTCTTGCCCTCGGCAGCGGTGGCCTTGCTGGACTCGCCGTGGCTGTGGCCGGCGTGGTCGTGGTCGGCACCGCCAGCGGCGGCAAGCTGCTGGGCAGCGGCCTGCTGGGCGGAGGCGTTGAGGTCCTCGATCTTAGCCTCACCAAAGACACTGTTGTGGGTTAGCTCTGGGCGCGGGAATCGGCATTCTGCAAGTCACTCACATGTAGGTGTTGCTGTTGGGGGACTTGTAGACCTCAGGGCTGTTGATAACGAACAGAATCTGCGAGCAGCCGTCAGCATGACCTTAATTACAAAAACGAACAAACACCGGTTCAGCGCATCGACGTACGTTCTTGGGGCGACGGAGAGTGACACGGGTGATGCCCTCAATCTTGGTCAGGTGCAGCTTCTCGAGGAGCTTGCGGGCCTTCTTCTCGTTGCGAGACTGAACGAGAGTGGTGGAGCTGCCGGAAGGAATCTCGCCCTCGACCTCCTCATCAGAGCTCTCATCATCCTCGACCTCCTCAATCTGGGTCTTCTTGACCTCCTCGTCGGGAAGCTCTTCAACGCGGGGGTTCGCCATTGTGTCGGTGTAGGAACTGCGTCGGTGGTGGTAAAGAGTCAGCCTCGTGAGCTTTGGGCAAATCGCAAACGATGATTTGGTGGGCTCGGATGCAAACTGGTCGCTGGCGCGGGCAAGAGAAATTCCGCCATAGCTCCCGCACACGTCCGATCAAGCCCACCTCGTCGGAAATTTGAGAATCGATTGAATTGGTGGGATTTACTCACGGAGGATAGGGATTCAAGGATACGTCACTGCTCTGTTTCGAATTCTCGCTCTTCGTTGTGGTGAGGAAGCAACTTGGTAGCAAGGGAAATCTGCCCGTCTCGGGAACCCTAACGGATGAGTAAGGCACCTTAGGTAAGTTCGTCCTCCAAACGAGATGCGGGACCCGCTCTTGCCCACCCCCCTCTTGTGGTCCAATCGAGGATTGCAAGTGCAATTCTCAGAGACGGGCGACACTGGTGGTCAAGAAAAAATTGCGGAGCATCCGGATCCAACTGGCTTCACGTGTGCCATCGCTTTGTGGTTGAAAGGGGACGTCATTTCTTAGGATAAGGTAGGTATGTCATGGATGCGCGACGCCGCAGCGTCTGTGCAATGGTTTGCCATGAAGTTCATTTTTGTCTCTGATTTCCGTATCGACGCCGAATCATCTTGATGATGAATGTGACATACAGCCCGTCCAGTACGGAGCAAAAAGAGAACGCAGCAAGCCACATGCTGCCCTTATGATGCAGTCCAGTCCGGGTTTCCATGCCGTTCCACGCTCTAAAACCAGCCTTCTCCGTTTGTGTCGTCCCCCATCCCCATCCTTCTCAAGACCTCGAAGCGCAGGTCATGATGCGCTTATGCCGCAGCCTTGACCTTGGCGAGAGACTTGCGCTCCTCGAAGCGGCGCTGCTTCTTGAGGCGGAGAACCTTGAAGCGGTCGAAGTCGGTCAGGTTCTTCCTCCGCTCGATCTGAGTGCGGCGCTTGAACCAGCTGGTCTCCTTCCACTTCTTGTCGATCTCGGAAGCCTCCCAGGCCTTCTTCAGGGTGCCGTGGCGGGCGCCGCGGGGGAGCTTGGCGACAACCAGGGAAGAGAGAAGGGCGGCGGAGAGAGGAAGCGCTTGGCGGGGAACAGCGAGCTCGGGGTCTGAAGAGGGTCCGTCGACCAGAACCTGCAGGTGCGCGATGTGTTAGTCATTTCTGTTCCTTCGCAGACGGAGACGTTTGACGACTCCTCCGGGGATTGAAATCGGAATCCAACATACGCGCTTGTGGTCGATGATCTCGACGATAGCGGCGAGGCGGCCCGCGTACGGGTGGTTGCCCTCAATGAGGACGACGCGGCCGACCTCGACCAGGCGCCACTTGGATCCCTCGATGGTAGCGTCACCCATTTTGATGTCGATCTGGTTGCTGATGTTAGAATGTCGAGGGATCGAAGCGAGTGTTGTTATTCGTGAGGGTGTTGTTGCTTACCCGAAGTCCGTATCAAAGTACTTGGTGGTGGTTGTCGATGTGGAAAGGTTCACTTCGCTGCCACAGAACCTGGAAAGTCGCTTGGAGTAAATTGGCGTGTGGGCGAAAAACCCAGGGCCCTATTGACTCCACTTTGTGGCCAGCCGCGGTGGAAGGACGCAGTGGTGGTCGGCTGTTATTCGGGGAAATGTGCACCCTTGCGCCGTGACACAAGAAGACTAGCGCGTCTGCATCCCGTCAACGGGCCGGAGAGGTCCACCCAGCAACTGGCGGAAATTTCTCTGGGCTCCTGCCAGCATAAATTCTGCGTCTGCGCTGTCAGTCTCTTCCACGAGGCTTCACTCATCACCATCCGTCGAAGACCGCTTCTGCCAGCACCCTGACGTGTCTGAAGCTTAGAGACTCTTCGACGGAAGAAGCTCAATTGGTACGTTATTCATCCATTTCCCTGTTCCATTTCCGCAAGACTCAATGATGATGCAAATTTGCGATTGATTTCAGTCGATGGCTCTCTTTCGCCGGAGTGGCTATATCGGCTGAATACATGATATTCAATTCTTACATATTCTGATATGTCTTTTTTCACACTCATCTATTATCACTCATGTGGTCGATGGACGCTAATCGCGTTTAGTTTCTTCCACTACTTCAACAGAACCGTCCCTTGGTCGTCTCAGTTTGGCAGGCATATATTGAAGTGAAGCAGGGCCAGGATGAAGATGTACATGATCTGCAATATTAAACAATCAAGTGGTCCGCAAAGATGAATATCCTCAGCCGTCACAAGTGAAGTGCAGGTGTTTAAATGTCAATTAACGCTATTATTGTACCACAGAATGCTGTCATTGCTCCTGAGTTAGTTAGGCCTTGCCCTTGCGCTCCAGCTCAGCCTGTTCCTCTGCTTCGATCTGAGCGTCGATCTTGGCGCCCCTGGAGGGCTCGTTGCCGTGCGCCTTGGCCTAAGGGATATGTCAGCTAGGCATGCTCAGTAACAGTCTGGGAGAACTTACGGGCAGGGTCGGGTCGATCTTGTGCAGCCTTGTCTCCTCGCTATCATCATCGCCGTCCTTCTGCTCCTCAGCTGCTAGCTTGTTGGCAATGGTACGCTCGTCCTCTATTGATTCCGTTAGCAGTCAGATGAACCATGTGGACGACAGAAACGTACTGGAGTCAAGCTGGTTGTGCGCGTGCTCATTGCCCTCATGGAAGCGCTCAGGCTGCTCCTGCTCGCTCTCAGGGACGTTCCTCTGATCTCCGGCGTGGGCGACGTTCATATTGACGGACTGTGATATTTTTCCTGGGGAAATGATTGGAAGGGGGTAATTACGATGATTTTAAGAGATCAATGAGGTTGTAATGATGATGTGAGAAGGTGCTTGGTGGTTGTCTTGATGTCTTATAAAGACTCGAGATCTCTGAGATCGCGATCTTCCCCACTAGTTACTTCACTCTACGTCATCTACGGATTTGCTCCACGACAGAGATCAAAAGTCAGTGAATCGACGAAACAGCGCCTCAATTGGGCAGCTACAGTTCTGGAACGCCTTTGGCACCCGTTCCTTCCCAAGGCATCACAAGCCTAGGTGCGCATGTACGTCATCGATTGCTCATAATGGAGACTCCTCCATCAAACGCGAGCACTGAGCAGTAGCTGTGGCGCTACAACGACGCACAGTCACTACGCAACGTAGCTTACTGCCGGTGACGGAGCTTGAGTAATGCAGAGTTCGTTGCTTCAGGAACCGTCCCATTTCTTTGCTGTGTTCAGGACCTAGCTGGCAGACCGAATTCCCGAAACTGATGATTAGCTGCTTACCCTCTACCGCCGCAGTAACTATCTCGTAAGGCTGGTATCTTCGTAGCTCGACGGTGGGGCCACTTCCACGACGAAATAGTGGTGGCCCGCCATGAGGATCGAAATAGTCTTCGAATGTCCTGTCGAACTCGAACTGGAGAAATAACCCATCGTACTGTACCGAATCACTGGTGTTTCTTCTCATTTGGTCGGGTTGCGCAATGATCACATCAGAGTCAGCGATCATTGGGACCTTTTAGCGCCAACACCCCTCCCTACAGCTAAGCGACATTTGCCGCGGTGACAGGGATCATGATGTAATCCTCGTGGAGCTCCGAGCTCCACTACCGACGACGCAAGAAACACTGTCAACTTGTCGTTCGACATTCCGAGTTTCGATTGCCTTCCCTCGCATAGTCAACACCGCCAACATGTTCCGTTTCGTGGGTGCAAACACCATCATGTACCCCATAAAGGATGCGCTAACCCCTCTCGCAGCATAAAACCCTCGACATCATCACCCTCTTCCACAAGGCCGGCGCGCCAGCCTCGCAGAGGGTTGCAACAATCCTCAAGCAAGCTTCCGCCAACGCCACGGCCGGCGCGACCGAGGACCAGGCCAGCGACCACACTGCTCAGACTCATCCCAAGCGTACCGAGTTCGAGCTCAACATCACCGAGGATCTTCCCACTGCCGATCAGGTCAAGACCATTCTCGAATATGTTGGCCCCAGCAAGGTGTCCAGCATCATTAGCGGTGCTGCGAACGAGAGCGAAGCCCTGAAGAAATTTAAGCTGGACAGCAGCACCTTCCAGAGGCCTGTGGTAAGTTTTTCTGTATGATCCTAGCGACACGAACTATGATTGATTCTTGCAGGTTGTGGACTGGAACAATGGCCGCGCCACCGCCGACAGCAATGAGTCCGAGATCCTCAAACTGGTGAACGCGCTCAACAAGGGCAACTAGAACCGCTTCATTGATATACCCTCTCGCTCTTTGTACCATATGAACTTGTCCACTCATCAACGACACGCTGTAATACAAAGCCACTGAGCCTCGTGCTGTCTGACCCTTGAATCATACGTTTGGCATAATTGACTCATGACACTCCGCCTTTGACAACAATAAGTTCGCTTCTATTCTCCAATAGTCGAACATCCATAACCCGGTTTTGTGTAAGATTAAAACACTCAGCACCGTACCGATTTGGTACATTGTTGTCGCGTGTACTTGCTACGCGGGTACGTCTGTGGCTGTATTTCGTCCCGGTCCATGCTTATTTGCCTCATTTCATGTTGAAATGAAGAGTCAAGAGAGGCAAGATAACACTAGGGAGGGACCTAGAGGATCCCTGAGCTTGTTGGCGTGCACAATGAGCCAACTTTGTTCCTCATCCAGGTACGCTGCAGTCTCGCACTGGGCAATTCACACTCAGGTGCACGCCTAAGTAGTTTCCCTGTCGACCAAAGGGCCCGTTCTTCCGTGTTCACTTAATTTCGTGACGACTCCATATGCATTGAGTGATCTCGACTGGCTGAATGTCAGTGAATTGAGGAGGGACTGTGTGTTCAATTGCAGGAGCAGTGAATCTCTGCGCACAAGAGGTGCAGACATTTCGTTCTTCTGCCTGATGGTTGTAGCTACGCACCTTCCAGCCGAATCTCTTCATTCACCTACCAGACCACTACTGTCTCTCCATGAAAGATCCCCGCCGCTTTCTGCCCTGAGTTGGATTTGGAGCTGCCCATAACTTGAATCTTCTCCCCCTTCCTCTCGAGCATCCTCAACCTCAGAACCGCAACTCAGTTCTCGCGGTAACCTTACTTCCCCTCATCGCAAAACGACAGAGCATTATACTTCTTCTTCCGAGACGTGCTACTTGCTACTACACTATTCTCATCGCCTATACTCCTTCCCACCTCTGGATTTCAGTGTCTCTGAGCACCAGCCGTCGTCATCATAACACAGCCACCTATAGCGGTCCCTCGCCGTAAGCTACCACATTCTTTGTGACAGCAAGACGTACTTGCAAGCCAAGAACTTATCCCTGTGTCGCAGGTGAGTCGCGCATTTTTTCCAACTGGAAATCTTAGTTTTGGAGTCTTTTTGGCGTACCTCTCTGATGTAGCTCCTTCCTTCCGTTTCAACACTTGATACAAACTCATGACGCTCAAAAAAGAGAAGAATCGACTTTTCTCGTTGATCATGTTGTTTTCTTGATTCAAATAGCTGAACGTCTGCCTGGTTTATCGGCTGTTTGTTCGCTTAGCTGCGTGCTTTCCTCACTTCTCTTTTTTTCAACTGCCGAAGTTTGGCACGAGAACACTTTTTCCTGACCACTTGCTCTAGTCCATCTCCATCATGATCGGTGAATCCATGATCGATGGCAAAAATTTGGGTGTCTCCCAGGCCGATGGCCAGGAGACCAGAACCGGCTGCGCCGACTGGGCTACCGCCTACCCAAGCGGTATCCCACTGAACTACAACATGGCCCATCACGTCGGCGAGGAATACCCCAAGTTCTACATCGAGAGCTATCTCCCAATGATGTTCTACACCGAGCCCCCCGAGGACCTCAAAGCCATCTTCAGCACCAAGAATGGACAGCTCAAGCCCCGCCGGCTGGAGCACGTTCTGCCCCGTCGCGAACTGAAGTTGTGGGACGCCGAAAAGATTCAGAATACGGCCAACTCTGTCCGTAAGAAGTTTTGGGCCAATATGCGCACCATGTCGGAGCCCAAGGCTTGGGCGGATCTGTATGATTACTTTGACGCCCACGACATCTACTACGAAGGCGCTCTCAACCTCTGGAACCTCATCTGCCAACTCTGGCAGGAAAACCAAAATCTCCTGACTGACCTCTACCGGACCATGTCTTGTGAGATTAGTATCTGGGCCGACGAGTGGCTAGAGCAGCCCGGCCACAAGGAAGCTTTACTCGCCTGGGATGCCGAGGAGACGATCGATATTCTCAATATCCTGTCCAGTGAGGAGATGAAGGATCTTCGAGGCGTTAACGCAGTCGACCTGGTTCTTGCTCGAGCAACTCTGGTTCATTGCCGTGACCAGTTGAAGAAGATTGAGTCTTCACTCCCTCAGCCCTACCCGGGCAACAGTCTGAAGGACAACTGGGCAGAGGTCAACAAGTGGCTTGGTAAGTGACTCCTTGCTCCACATTGATTTCGTGTTGATATTGGTATACTGACTGTGATCCCAACAGCTGGCCAACCTGTAGGCAGAACCACCAGTGGCTTGTTTAGTTCCCAGGATCGCCCTGCCATTGTTTGCAGCTCCATGTACAAAGACCAGGCCACCTCCATAGACGCAACGGTTTCTGGTGCTGAACCCGCCACCGGAGGGCTTGCTGGGCTCCTCGGCGAACGTACCGCTAACAGTGTCCACAAAGGTGAAAGTCAATCTCAGCAGAGCCAGGGTCCCATGGGTCATTATCAGGCTACACATGAGCCTGGAACCAACCTGGAGTCGTCTGCGGCTATTGCCTCTTCACGGAAATCGTCCAAGTCCGTCACCGACGTAGGCAAGAACGACAACAAGACACCTCGTGCCGATACAGTTGGAGCTCAGAAGAAAGCCAACGTCTCCCCCTCTATGGCAAAGACCCAACATCACGAGTCTATTGGCTTGCCAACTGGCACAGTCATGGGGGGTGGCTATGTCAACTCTCTCCAGATGGCCTCTGGCATGAATATGAACAACCCGGGGCTCGTATATAACGGGACACAATTCTTCCGGCCCTTTGACAGCATTGCCTTCCAGTCTATTGGTGCCGACTTCTCCATGATGGGCAAACAACAGCCGCCTATGGAATTCTACCCACAGCCGCCAGGCTTCAGTCATGCGTCAGAAATAGGCACAGCCAAGAACATGAATCACATGCTCAAGATGCCAAAGAACAGCACCAGAGCTGCTGATGAGTTCTGCAATCCTGACAGCCAGCGCCTCTCATCACTTAATCCTCCTCGCCAACGCTCGAACACTAATACAACGATCACCTCTTCTCACAGGGCTTACACGGGCACCCCTATGCAGTCCAACAACAATCCATGCAACTTCCGGAACAACGACTCTCGTGGTTCTCATAGCGGCGCAAACCTTCACGGTGGATGGATCCAGGATGGAAACCACGATCTCCATGGTCCGACTCACCGTCGCAGCCCTCAAAAGCACAATGGTCATGCACAGGGCCAAGGACGTCCGCGTGCCTGGTCCAAGGTGCCTTCAAATGAAACTTCGTGCCTCAATGCCGGCCCAAGCGACACGTACTGGGACTATGTCCCCTGCAGCTGCTCCTTTTGCGAGACCCGCAACCGTTCCGTGCACATATCCTTCAAGCCCCAGCTGCAAACCTCCATTCCTGATGCAGCAATCAGGGAAACCATCCATCGCGAGATGGCTCGCTACGGAGATGTTGAGTATATCATACCGTATAGGAAGGCTGTCGGATTTGCCTTGGCCTTCACAGCCCGGTAAGCACCTCGGCGTCGTGGAACCTTGCGAAGGTAACTAATGCTGACACTGGCATGCCTGACAGGTTCAAATCCGCTGCTCGCATCATGGAAGCGGCTAACGCGCCCAACATTGTCTGCCGCGAGCTATCCTGTAACATCGTCACGAGTGCCCCTTATCGGTCAGACTACGGTGCTGAATGGGCTCGGTTGAACGGCTCTCAGCTGCTCCACGGCGGCAACGGCCGTCGTAACTCCTTCACGCAACGGAATGCCGTCTACGGGGGGCAGCGTCCCCGGCTGATGTCCAATGCTACGGTCACTTCCCAAGGTTCGCCTCGCCGAGCCTCGGGCAGCACGCCCTCGGCGGCGAATGCTGTCATGATGCATCAGCTTGCTTTGCCTCCCAACTACTTCACGCCTGGCATTGGAAACAACGGTAGCTTCTTCCCTCCGCAAGCCGCCACCGGCGCGAATGCTACAGCGCCCACGGGTTCTGTCCTCCCCGTCGGGACTATTGCCCAGTCTCCTGCTCAACAATACCATCCATGGTACCATGCGCAGGCGCCGGGAGTTTCAATGCCGCCTTATCCTCACATGCACGCCATCAGTTCTCCGAAGGATCTGGCCGCCGTTCCTGAGTCTGGTGCTCGCGCCAGCCAGGGCACTGAGAAGGGAGCTGTAAGGAAAATTGCTTCGACGAACATGGCACAACGTCATCCTGAGCCGTATGGAGGCGGCAATCTCCCCGAAATCAAGCTTAAAGGCGAGCATGTTGATGTTGCCACTGATACGGTCACAACTCTAAGCAAGGCATGCACGGTTTGCTTGCCTCGGAGCCCAGAACAGTCGTCAGAGAATGCCACGCCGAAGAAGATGAATGCTGATTGTCATGAAGCCACCCAGAAGGCCAAATCCTTTGCTAGCAACGATGCGAATAACGACATTGGCAACGCTGTTGTTGGGACGCCCAAGGCCGCCACGGAAGAGGTTGCCGTCCCGACTACCTATGCGTCTATGTTGAAGATCGGCAGCAACCAGCCTTCTCCTGCCAAGATGTTTGACCAGGGTTCTGTAATGTCATCTGCCGCGCAGACTCCCACCAAGGTCAATTCCTCTCGTCCCAGTGAGAGGGCCCCGGTTGCACAGGCAGACGATCCCTTCGTCACCACTTCTGTTCACCCGCCGGGGGCCCATGTCGTGCCCTTGGAAACGACCTCTGATGAAAGCGGAAAGCCAAAGCCGTTGACCACGGTTACTCCTGAACCCTCTGGCCGCCGATGGCGTCAGAGTGAAATCTCCGATGCAGGCGAAGGCGACGAACCCATTATCGCCAGGAGCTGCAGTCAACATCATCATGTTGGTAGACAGCAAGAGAGGTCTTCGAGCACACCGCGGAACTTCTCTAAGTCTTCTGTAATACCCAATGAAAAGTCCAGCAAGAAGAAAATCTCGAAGAGGAAGAAGAAGATCGCTGGTGGAGACGTGCTTAGAACCGGTACCATTCAGCATCCTGGCGTCGACTCTGCTGGCAACACCAAGCTCATCTCCGCCACCTCGCCTGCGCGCATCGGACATCACCCTGACAAGCACCTCCTTTCGCCGGTCAAGAGGATGAGTAAAGGAGGCCCTACGTCTCAGTCGTCGTCCAAGCGACTTCAGGACGACAACGACAAGAAATTGTGCCAACTTGATACTACTGGCCATCCTGATATCACTGTCACTTCTGTCGATGCCGATTCTTCTTCTGATAGCCAGGCACACCAGGAGGGTGTTGATTCAGTTCATGATGACGGTGGTCCAGAAAAGCCCAAGGCTCTCAAGATTCATGTGCCCGACTCGTCACTGGAGCTTCCAGTCGCTTCGTCCCCGGCCACCGTAGACGGAAGCAGCGTCGCAGAGTCGTGGCACTCGGCCAAGTCTCGCCAGACCAGCGTCGAGTCCCTCAAAGCTGGGGACAAGTTGCGCGGCTCGGCCAACCAGCCCAGCACGCCCCCGGGTTCGAGCTGTGGAGAAGACTCGTCGACGCCTCGACGTGTTGTCAGCGCTGGAAGTGCTCTCAACCCCAAGGCTCGCGAGTTTGCATCGCCCGCCGCGGGTCTCCTCAAACGAGCTTCCGCAGTTGACCTCCGCGGCCTCGTTCCCCTGGGCCTGGGAGCCCAGCATCGCGTCTACCACCGTCAGCACCAGCATCAGGGCAGCATCGTCTCAGACACGTCGTCCCACACCGCCACGCCGGGCTGCACTCCCAGGAACACAAAGGGCCGCAATCGCAGAAACAGCGAAAGGGATCAGTCTATCTCGCCTCCACCCGGGGCCAAGCCTTCATTCGCGCTCCGCCCGGCCGCCAATTCATACGCGCCGTCAACGCGCGCTCCTTCGCCCCCGGGCAACGCCTTCTCCGCGCAGCATGCGTCCATCGAGGAGCAACTCAACCACACGCGCCACTATGAGGGCGGCAAAACGGGTTATCAGCCAGGTCTGGACACTCAGAGCCAGCCAGTTCATGTCGAACATGCAGACGTCATGCCCCTTGATGCCATCTCCACCGAGAGATCTCACACCAACAGCGCCACCTGTTCAGACGTTGCTCGGTCGCGTCAGCCGAAGCATAAGAAGTCCAAGGTCTGGAATAACAACAACAGAAAGAACAAGAAGGCCCAGCACGACCAGAACCGAAACCAGAGCCAGCACCTGAAGACCCAGCAGGCCCACCCAGACTAGCAGCAGGGACCCTCGGGCTCTTCCGGCAACGGCAAGGCCAAGCGCGGCGGAAAGGTCTCCGAAGGCACAAATGACAGCATAAGCGGCCCCGACCTTGGAGCTGCCGAGTTTCCAGCCCTGCCATCTCCTTCCAAGGACGACGCTGATGCGACCAAGGGCTTGACGGCTTTCGGCGCGCTGACTAAACTGACCTCGCCTCTCAAGTCGGCCATGAGCAAGCTGACCTCGGGTGGTATTCCAAAGGACGAAAGGACGGGCTCGCTGCCTGCGAAGCAAAAGGATGTCGATGACTCGCCTGCTGGTGAGGAGGACAGCAAGCAGTAGGATGATGCTCCGAGGTCTTTCTGCGACCTCATTTGAGCGCATGGTCGCTGGATTCAAGGCTATCTGGCCGGGCTTGCATTCGGGAATGGTTGCTTGCGAGTGGCAATACCGCCGTAGTGGCGTTAAGCTTTGCGTGCTTGCTTGTGTGCCGTGGCCAGAGTGCGGAATCGCAATTGGTTGAGAAGACGATGGATTCAGACGCGCTGTGTATGTGCGTGGATCCTTTCGTAGTGAGAGCTTCTAGGTTAAGCACTTTGATAGTGAATCAACTGGATCAAGGTTAATATGCTCGATATTCTGCAGTGATCTGCCAGCGTCTGGGAGGGTGAGCCTGCAAAACGTAGAATAAATGAAGTCCGCATCGCCCACGGGATGCAATCCTCGACAAGTAAACAGGACCAGTCAGTCTATTCAGCCGGTAATGTACAGAGGTGCGCTGTCGGCCTCGTCTTCCTCCCTGCTAGCGAACGTGACCAACACTCTACGCTGTGGTCCTGACCAGCCCAGTCACGGTCTCCTCGATCTGCTTGTCGGACAGACCCTCGAGGCTCTGCGACTTCTCGACGCCGTATTCTACACCGACATGTCAGCGGGCTTCTTCGATTTCATTCTCGTCGTCTGAGGGTGGTTTCGAGGCGTGTGCTAACCGTATCGCGCAAACACCTTGGGCAGGGTGCCGGCCGCTTCGCGCAGCATGATGGGGGTCTGAGGGTTGTGCTTCTTCATGGTGGGGTATGTCCTCGTGAGGAAAGACCTGGCCGAGGAAACGAGAGGTCAGCATTGAGGATGATGGCCCGGCGGGAGAGGAGGGTTGCTTGCGTACCTGGTCGCGGCGCTGTGCTCGGAGGTCTGGCAGAAGAGGAAGCGCACCTCCTTGAGGGCCGTGGTGAAAGCGTACTTGCCAGACATGATCGCTGGCGTGTGGCGGCGGAGGTTCAAGCAGGTGTGGTGGTTCAATGGCTCGGCAACGGTATCTTGTTCTGGTTGCTCAATCGGGGGGTGGATGGAAGCTCTGGCGTTGAGGATTGACGAAAGTTGACGATTCACGTTGCTCGGATTACCCACCTCGTGCATAACCCGCTTTAGACGCTGATGCACGGAAATTGCACAACTGCTCGAGGCTGCACAAAAGGTCTCGGAAGCCATCCCGTTATCGCTGGCTGGCTGGCTGGCGCTTGTTTCCGGTTAACTCCGCCCAACGCCAATCCAATTCCTCCAACAAGATCCTCCACACGTCAAAAGTTGCCCGCCCAGGATCGGAGCTTTTGGGTTAGACGAACAACCGCTCTCCCACGTCGTGACAATCGCACCCGTACGTCCATCTCCGCTCTCTCCCGCCCGCCCCGACCGCCGCTCTACAGGACAACCTCTCCGACGACTGCGATTTCCGAACCACGCTGCTTGCCGACTCTCCTTCGACCCACCTCAACAGAAATCCATTCCAAGACTCCCTCTACACCAACGGCAGGCAAGATGGCCCCCACGACCAACATCTTCCGCGCTTCGCGGCCCATCTTCCAGCAGCAGATGTTCACCGGTGCCGCCGGCGCCCGCACCCGTGCCGCCTTCCAGAACCCCGCCTTCCGCGCGAGGATCTTCCGCGAGGGTTCCAAGCGCTGGCAGAGCGCCGACGCCGGCGCCGAGAGCCAGGCCCAGCAGAGCTGGTTCAAGCGCATGTGGGACAGCCCCATTGGCTTGAAGACGGTGCACTTCTGGGCGCCCGTCATGAAGGTACGTACGACGGGTCTTTCCCTCTCCGTGTTGTTCCTTGTATTCGTATGAGAATGCGTAGCATACTGCCCCAGAAGTATCGGCAGACCTCTGTGCCGTGAAGGCTGCTGGGTATGGATAGGCACGCAGAAACCACCAGATGCGCGGGAAATGGGATACGCCGGAAGGCGACAGACAGACAGAACATACGGGCTAACCGGCGACTATAGTGGGCCATCGTCCTCGCCGGCATCTCCGACTTCTTCCGCCCCGCTGAGAAGCTCTCCCTGACCCAGAACGGCGCCCTCACGGCGACGGGCCTCATCTGGACCCGTTGGTGCTTGATCATCAAGCCCCGCAACGTCCTGTAAGTGCTCTCTGGCCCCCCGTCGTCCACGACGCGGCGAGCGAGCTTCTCCTCTCTGACCTGTTTCGCAGCCTCGCCACCGTCAACTTCTTCATGGGCATCGTCGGCATCATCCAGGTCACCCGTATCCTGATGTACGAGCAGTCCAAGAAGAACTCCGTCGCCGGCGTCGTCGAGGACCTCAAGCAGGACGTCAAGGACAACGTCCCCAACCCCATCAAGGACAGCACCTCCAGCCCTTCATCCTAGAGGGTGGCACACACTCACCGACTGACACATGTCTATACGATGACTGGGCTGTGGAAGACTGGGCTGCGGGGATTGGCCAGGGCTGCGTGAGGCGCGCACCCGAGGCGTACAGGGAGGAGAAGCGAGTGATCTGGGACGTGCAAGGCGATCGAGAGCACCGACTTTCGGTGAGGAATGAGAGGGCTGGATCAAGGGGATTAGCCTGGCATCGACAGCTTTTTCTTTCTCCTTCTTGAAGACCCCTCTTTTCCTACTTCGCGATGGCCAGGTGGGCCGATTGAGGAGGCGGGCTAGAGGATAGACGTTCTGCAGGCATTGCCTGACGGGCTATTCTTGTAAAGTAGCGTCGCTAGAGCGCCATAAATGATTATCTGACTTGGAAATCCGGCGCGAGCACAACCTCGTCTGCCGGTCTTGACTAGTTACCACGGGTCGTCAAGGCCATGGGTATTGGATGTTCTGTAGCCTTGGAATTAGAGCATATTTCGCAGATCCATCAGGCGAACTGCAACATGGTATGGCAAGCAAATAATCATGTGCAAGCACGGTTGGTGCAGGACTGAGAATGATGGGATGTGTCCCTGACGAAGCTGTTTGGGGAAGAATCACTTTCCAAGGCCACCACATACTATTGACGTTTCTATGACTGAAATGCCTGTTTGTCACACATCGAGGCATGAGGCAAGCTATACCTCTCATTGCCAGTGACGATGTCCAAGTCGTCTATTTAACGATCTGATCATGGGATATCTGCGTATTAGAGCAAGTACCTATCATCCCCAGCCCCATGCGGTTGTTCGCAGAAGCACAAATTCAAGAACCACCACAGTGTTACATGATGCCGACATTGCCTGGGACCTGATGTGGCTGCATTGGCCACTGCTCCTTCCGCCGGCGATCGTCGTCTTGGACCAGCCACTACCCTCATTAACTCGACCTGAATACACACAGGTCCCTGGTCGTCATCTCCTTGGACTCGCCGTCGATTTTGAAATATGAAGCTTGTCCTGGCTCCTGCTGGTCCGCCAAGCTCCAATGTATGCAGCTAATCGCTTCTCGAGGTAGTTCAGTCCAATAATTTGTTGCATGCTCCGTACCCGCTTGCATTGCTCATTAGCATGGGGCAATTATTATCTAGCGCACGTTGTTCGTTCCACGTGAGAGGAGGCAGCCCGGCTGCAGCTCCGAACATCCGTATGTTTAATTCTGTGCTTTGTGGCAGTTCATCGAAACACTATAGCCATTAGTTGGTGCTGATTGCAATAATATCCGGGCCAAAAACTCACCCTCCTGTTGTTTACCCATCTTGCTCCGCGACACACGCTCGCGCTGTCGGGGGCCTGCTTTGCCATTGCCGACTCTCTTCAGATCCTCTAGTCGCTCACGCGCTTTGGGAAAATCTTGGGCTGCAAAGAATCGTCGGTCAGTTACCGTTTATCATGTCGCAGGGTCACCATACTTACCAGCCGCGCGCCAGTACCAGCGCTTCGCATCCTCCAAGTTTGCTGGCGCACCAATGCCCACCTCGGTAAAGTAACCCATGGCATACTCAGCCTTGGCCAAGCCCGCAATCGCGGCCTTGCGCGCCCATAGGTATGCTTCGGTGTCGCTCTGCTGAAGAACTCCCTCGCTTCCGGTCAGGTACCAGCCACTGAGGGCCAACTCGGCCTGATGCTCTTCCTGGGTGGCAGCCTTGGAATACCACATGATGGACTGTCTTGGGTCGACGGGGCAGCCCATGAGTCCATACTCATACACGCAGCCAAGGCGGAACTGGGAAAACTTGTAACCCAGCTCTGCGGCCTGCTGGAACAGTTGCAGTGCATATGTCTCATCCTTGACAATCGCATCATTCGGCCCGGCTGCTTCGTAGAGCAAGCCAAGTTCGTGAAGCGCATGAGGGTTCTCAGGGTCCGCGCGCTCGGCAGCGCGCTTGAGCCAGCCTACCGCCTCCCGCGGGTTCTTCTGCTGGCCGAGTAAGCCCTTGAGCAGTATCATGCCCACCTTGTACATCGCAGGCGTGTCGCCGAGCGTTGCAGCCCTCTTGTACCACTGTATCGCCTTCAGCGGATCACGCCTCGTGCCGCCACCATCTTCATTGCCAATTTCGCAACATACAGCCGTCCTGTACGCAGCAGCGGCGTGCCCAAGCTTGGCGGCCGATTGGTACAAGGTGAAAGCCTCCTTGTTCTCCGGCTCAGCGCTGAACAAGCCACGTCCGAGTGAGTCGGCGTACAGAAACATCGCATCGAGGTTCTGGGCATTTGATAGCTTCTTCAGGATTTTGCTCGCGTCCATTAGGTATCGCTCTCGTGCGCGGCCTCGGCCTCGTTGGTCGGCAATCTTGGCAACAAGCACATCAGCCGCTTCGATCAGTCGTTTGGCCAGTCGCAGAGCAGATTCCTGGTCGTTGGGGTCATTTTTGATAACCATGCGTAGGTGCTCGAGCTCCTCATTTGTTACGGGTGGTTGAGCTGCTTTGGTGGAGGCGGGCGTTCCAGAATTGCGTTGCGGTTCGGGAGGAGCTTGTTGTTGTGGGCCGGCCATTGGGCTTTGCGATGTGCCATTGTAGTTGCGCACTGGCATCGGTCGGTCATTCACGTTCATGGCAGAGCCTGCCATGTGCCCGGGACGCACTGGCGCGGGATGGTAAGGCAAGGTATCTGATCGCTGGGGCGCGGGGCCATTCGGTAGACCAGGTCTCACCGGCACTGGCCCGCCCGCACCCGACTGGTGTTCCCATCCATTCTGATCATATGAATCCTGGTGAGAGCCATGCCGTGCGCCGTTGATTGGAGGCATGGGAGGCGCGTCGCCTACCATCTCGAACACAGCCGCCTGGGGTTGCCTCAGATTTGGTTGAGACTTCATGCCCCTGAGATCCGGTGTGCGCCCTGGCCCGGGTTGTGGTCCTGACGGCATTGCAGGGTGTCCCTGATGGTCGAAGGACCCGCGGGCCCTACCGGGCTCCTCAAAGCTGGGAGCTCCCGAGTTGACGGATGGCGGGTTTCGAGCATACTCCGGGTTGCTCATCCGTGAGGGAGTGTAGTACGAATCGAGAACATCACCGACTACTTCTTGGTGATCGCCCCCGTAATAGCCCTGGTCGCCGTTGTCGTAGCCTCCGTAGCCCCCCGCAGACTGCGGGACTTCTTGAACCGGCGGGTACATGCGTTGAGGCGGTGGCCGGTGACTTTGCGATGTCGCTGGCCTTGCTGGTGGTGGGACCCCTCGGTCGGGCGCTGTATTGTACGGCATTGTTCCCGTACGTTGAAGAGGCCCCCGAGCCATGGGATCTACATTTGTCGGCATGGTCATACTGCGACCTGGCGGGCCGAATTCGTTGGCCGGTGGAGGAGCCCCGTATGCGTCGTCTCGGTATTTGGCGCCGAACTGGGGTGCTGGAGCTGGGCCTCGACGCGAGTTCTCATATTGTTGGTAGCCTCGGGGAGGACCTCTGGCATCCATGGGAGGCCGGCCATAATCGCCCTCAGGAGATCGCATCTGATTACGCTGGGCACCACCGCCTCCGGGAGGGGGCCCGTTTCGCGGCCCTGCGATGTCCATGCCGGCCATTTGGCTAATCATATCTGACTCTTGTTCAAAATCTGCCCGGCGCTGATGGCCAGGGAAAACCGGAAAGGCGCCGCCGAATCCTCCAACCGTGTCAGGACTGATCGGACCTGCATCCATCGAGGGTCGCTGGCGACTCGCTGATCTTTGTCAGTACGGTAAGCGACTCAGAGATGCGGATGCTGTACTCACATGCCGGGTCCGAGTTGGCCGAACGCTCATACTGCATCGGCCTACCACCTCTTGCCGGTGGACCATTTGCAAAGCCTCTGCCGGGGCCAGGAGGGCCGCCTCGAGGAGGGAGAGGGGCGCTTCTTGCAGAGTCAGCGGTTGGGGGTCTCGCCATCGGACCACCCCGTCCCATCGGCGGCCTGCCTCCACGCCCAGGGCCTGGGCCTGGGCCAGGGCCGTATTGATCTTGGGGAGGATATTGCTGGTTCGGTGGAGGGCCACGACCATAGCCCTGGTCGTGATGGTGCTGCCCGCCGTAGTTCTGGCCATAACCACCATTGTCGTATTGATCATAGGCATAGTTGTCCTGGTAGCCGTCGTATTGCTGCTGAGGCGCATCGTAGTGTTGGGGAGGGCCTTGTTGATAGGCTTCGAGAGGTGGACCTGGCCGTTGCGCTCCGGGGCCAGGGTAAGGCCGTTGCGCCGGATAACCGCCCTCGTACGCCATTGCTTCCTTCCACCGCTTGAAAATGACCGGTGTTCAAAGTTTAGAAGGCCTTGTTGGTAGAAAGAAGGGGGAGGCTCGAATGCGATTCGAATGGACCCTCGCCCCACGTGCTTCCTTTGCGCAGTCGCGGTTTCGATCCGAAGTGCAAGATTAATGTCGTTGACGGGGTCCAACCGGAAAAGAAACAACCAATGAGGTTGTCGTGGTCCAGAAATATATCCAAACCAACGCCTGGCTATCCTGTGGTGCCGGCGTGCCGAGGCCTCGATGTCCAAAGCCCTGCGGTCAGGGATTGCGTTTGGGGTTGGTTCGGTGCGATCGTCGTTTCTCAGAAGGGCAGATCGCGCGGCGTTTGGTCTTTGCTGGTGGTCCACGGAATGCCGCTCCGTACACACTTTGACGCAAGGAAAGTGAAGGGAGAAATGCGTCGAGGTAAAGTCGCTGTTGCTCGTTCGGATTTGTGTTGGCCCTATTTGAAACACTGGGATGGCGACGCTCCGTATGTACCGGCTGGGGGCTGAAGGGAGGGGGGGGGGGTTCGAGGTTAGACGGGAAAGCCACCTGTTGCCACAGACGAAGGGCGCTGGCGGCGGGGGTTCGAGGAGTCGATCAGGGGTGGAAATGGGCTTTCTGACGAGTGGCCCAGATTTTGGTCACGCAGAAACCCGAGTGTCTCTGTGCGAGTCGAGTGAGCGGAGAGATTGGCTTGTGTGGCCTGGTGTGGCCGTTGCAAAGGCCCTTTGCTGATTTGTATGTGGTCTCTGGACAACTGCGGACGGCCAAGTCCACCCTGAACCTAGGGGACCATGTGAGCATAAGGAAATGGGAGGCGAGGAGCAGAGAAGGCCCCTCCCCCCTGCCACCTTCCGTCGAAAGATGTGGGTGCTACTGGTCCCTGGAACGCCCCAGCCGTTAACAGACTAGCAGAGATGCCAGGCGGGCAGGTGCGCCCCAGTCACGGGTGGAGGGGGACAAAGGTCCCTGGAAGGCGCTACTGGTTGCTGGGTTCTAGCCCCGCAATATCGCCTGTCGTCTGTCGCCTTCTGCCTGCCCCCACCCTGAAGCACCCTCATCATTCTGCCTTGTCTGTTCGCGAGACCGAGTCGACTCAGGCAGCGCCAGATGGACGGCACGAGAGCCTCGAGTCCCCGGTGCCCAGTCTCCAGTCCGCTACTGGTCCACTGAAAACTCGGCGTTGGCTGGGCTGAGGTCAGATACCTGGCCTCGTCCCGCCCGGCTCGCCTCATTGCGACATGCGTCCCTATTTCCGGCTCATGCTGCTATTCATCCTAGATAGGTAGGTAGGTTGGGTAACTTAGGTAGTACGGGCTGGTACCAGCAGACTGAGCGAGGGTCACTGATCCGTCACCATCTAATCCAAGTCCCTACGTGTGGCATTCTTTCACCGAATACCGTGCATGACCACAACACGATATTCTCAGGGCGACGACTAGGACATCAGCATGAACACTCTCTCAGCAGAGAGCAAGACAGACTCTGGTTCTATTTCGGTCCTCTGGCTTCTTCATTTGCCAGGCAATGCGCAGGTCTTACCTCGTTGCGCAAACCTCCATGTCGTACCAGGGCCGTGTATCAGAAGGCCAGACAACAGCGTGATTGGCCCTAACACCTCCCACTACCTAGGGGGGCTCAGGATCGTCCTGGCTTCACGTCGCTCCATTCTTACCAAGGTCTGCGGCACCACCTGTCAGGGGCGCGCTGTGACCTTGGTAGGGGCTAGGATAGCATCCGTCCGTCGATGCGACATTCTCTGACGTCGGCTCGCCACGAGAGCCGGCTGCGGTTGTCATGCATCTAGGCTGTCAAGAGTCTCCATCATATGCTTTCAACTTCAACCCACGCAAGCGCCATGCCGTCCCATGTTGGCCAAAAAAAATCTTGACGCCGAAGACTCTTTCCACCAGCGTCCGGATCGTTGTGACGGGGCTGCCAATGTCCTCGCAACCCGCAAAGGGGCCGATGATTCTCCATTCGGGCTTGGCGGGATGCCTCCGAGAATCCCAGGGGTTATCTTCTCCATTCTACGTCGGCCCAAGATGTTGGCACGGCACACGGGGCCGGATTGCGCCGCTATTTTCCGGGGGGGGGGGGGCCAGTCGCTGCACGATTCGGTATTGCGACTCTCTGTGGCGGTGAGACCGCCAACACTGAGCAGACAACTCGTCAGGCGACCCCGTTCGCGACATGGACTCAGCATTGGCGGCCTCTCTGACGGGACTGCCAAAGATCGGCACCCGTCGTGGCGCCCTCATCGTCAGCTTGATGACTTGCCATGAACCGCGAATACGCGGCAAGCCCAAGCTTGATACCTACCACTAGATAAAGAGGCCTGCAATTCATGCCCACACGTCGCCTTGGTGGAGAGTGCGCCCGGTTCTCGCCTCCCAGCTGCATTGGTTCCTGCAGCGGAAGACCTGTTAGCGCCGAGGCGCCGTGTCGATCCGGTATGATGTACCGCGGCTGCGGCTGGCTCATCACTACCCAATTGAGCTGCATTCTTCTGGAGTTGGTCAGACTGGGGAAAAGATCCTGCACTGGCCACAGCACATGGCGAGCAACGCATCCGCGAAATGGTTAGGCAGGGCGACCGACGGTAAGAGTCGGTGGGAAAATGATTGCCGACCACACGGCACCTGAGCAAAGAATGCTGTACCGTTCAGTTTCTCCAGGTCAGTGCCGCAGCTTGTGGCTAGTGACGGCCGTGAGCCGCAGTGGGGGGCTTCACAAGTCTCCGGTTTGGACCAAGGAGGTCGGCAGCATTCCTCTGGCATCGCATGGACTACGCTGCAGAAAGGTACTCCAAGGCTTATTCAGAAGCAGCCGCTTCCGTTCGCGACAGGAATGTAAGCGTTAAGTGTGCTATTTCCGGGTCCTTGGTGTAGAATATGCCAAGGCGCAAATACCACTGTACCCCAATCCCTAGGCCAGAGAGCTGATGACGTGCAGACTTCTTGTCCAACGTCTCACCGCCTTCCATTTCGAGCACCACTTGACCCGTCATTGACGGCACGCCTCCACGACTTTGGTCTGGCTACGATTTGACACAGCATACCCTGCGCGAGAGAGTGCAAGCAGCCCAGCACACCAAAGCCAAAAATGCCGAAGCCGTTCAATTGGAGATTATGGACAAAGATGGCCGTCGGGTGAGTTTCTGTGTCTCCAGTTCGATCGCTTGCATGACTGACCATCCTTTCGCAGCGGCGGCGTCTGCGTGATCGGCGGACCAGCCTTCACGATGTGGCTCACGCCCACTGAGGAGGAGCTTTTCAAACGATACAACCCAGATCTGCAGAAACGCAGCTTGGAGAGGAGAGAGCAGACGCAGCAGGAGTTTGATCAGTACGTGGGGAAGCTGAAGGAGCTGTCCAAGTCCAACAAACCACGTAAGTCGACGGAGCCCACAGTACCCGACAAGCTTTTCCGGAATCTGATGCCATGTAGTTTGGACGGCATGGGAAGACGAAATCAAAGCGAAGAAGGAGACGGACAGGCAAGCGCACCAAACGAAAGCGAACGAGCTTGCGCTGCAACAAGAGGCTATGAGGAGAGAGGCGGGAGTTTCCAAATGAGCAATTCAGGGCTTCAGAGGAAACAAATGGCGAGTTATGATTTTCTGTACGATGTGTATAACACTATTGGGAACATGCTTCATACCAAGTTCATTCGAGTACGAACCTCTGGGGCGGGATGAATTTTGTCGTTAATGGACGTATGTGAGACCCTTGTGAGGACCATGACACTGCCGATGCTACTAGTGTCTATCTATATTCACCATCGAGAGTCATGGACATGAGTCCTGTCGCTGGAGGGACTTTCTATTCCGATCAACCCTTGAATGTGAGTACCTACGAATCCTCGATGTTGGCAGGCTTAATTATGCATCACAGACATGTGTATTGCTCAACATGATGAGCAATATAACATTCACGTAGCCTTCTGCACTACTGAATACACAGAAACCTTCTCGCGAGCACTATGCTAATTGTAAGGCGGCTGGTCAGTGAATAGATGTCAAGACTCAAGACCACTCTCGGTGTGGGTCCAGAGCCCCGGTGGCCAATGCGGGGTGAATCGGTGAGCTGCCGGAGAGGACGTCGGACATTAGTAATTCCTCAAGCGAAGAATTCTTGGCGGCGCACAAAAACCATCTTCCCCAATAGCCATCATCATCAGGTCAGCCTCGCGACGTAAAACGGATCAGACGAATTGAGGTGAGTGACGCAGGAGGGCCCTTACGCAGCAGTCACGATCTCGTGAAGCCGGAAATGATTTTTATCCGACTCAAAAATGGCTAATGCGTCCGATGCGTAGCTCACAGCCCTGTACACCGAATTATCCCACCGCAAACCTCCGGTCCCTTTCGATTCAATATGGCCGACATTCAGGAACGCCTCAAGAAGCTCGGCGCTGTTGCGCGGACTGGTACGTCCATTTCTCCATGAAGCTACATTTATTCTAAGAGGGTGCAAACTAACATGTTTCGAACAGGGTACGTCTCTACATAATCTCCGACCGCGCGTTTTCGAGGATCGAGTCGAGCACCGAACGCTAACCGACGTCTTCACACAGTGGCAAGGGCACCCCCCGAAGGACGCAGAAGCGTGGTGTTGCCGGCCGCTCCGCCGGTGACGACAAGAAGCTTCAGGCTTCCCTGAAGAAGCTCAACGTCCAGCCCATCCAGGCTATCGAGGAGGTCAACATGTTCAAGTCTGACGGCAACGTCATCCACTTCGCCGCGCCCAAGGGTATGTGCCATTCTTTGGTCGATTGGAAAGATGCAAGGATGGCAATCTAACATGGTGATCGCAGTCCACGCCGCCGTCCCCGCCAACACCTTCGCCGTCTACGGCAACGGTGAGGACAAGGAGCTCACCGAGCTTGTCCCTGGCATCCTCAACCAGCTCGGCCCCGACTCCCTCGCCTCCCTCCGCAAGCTCGCCGAGAGCTACCAGAACATGCAGAAGGGCGAGAAGGACGGCGATGAGGACGACATCCCCGACCTCGTCGAGGGAGAGAACTTTGAGAGCAAGGTCGAGTAAGGCCGGCTCTTGTCTGACACCGAGCTTGCGATCGAATTTCTGTTGCGACGGCATGGGGGACTCAATGGGCTTAGGCAATTCAGCTACCACACCGGCGGATGAAGGGAGGGGAAGGTACACCCCTTTTGCAATATGAACTTGGCATTACGACACTGTCGTCGAAGCGAGTCCGAACTACTTGGTCGTGAAATGGCGCTGGATCGGGATGCGCGGCGTATGGCACATCAGGCACCGAGGTTGGCCGGCCCAGCTCCATAGCTGATGTACGAAAATGGGATACAACGGCTTGGAAGCAAAGTTGTCTTGTGACTATGGTGAATGCTGAGGGATGCAAATGGCGCCGTTGCTACCGGCTATCTAGGGCAAAGCTATCATCGCCTGTGTTTTCTGTCCATCCGGCCAGGGACTCGCTTCTGACCTGGTCAACGACGGTACGACGGGGAAGTGAGAGCTCTCCAGCCTTGACATCTGCGTATGATGCTGCCGAGAGGGAGGCTCGCACGTCACTCTCAGTCAAGTGTAGCAACGACGCAGTTTCACGAGCCAGCGTCCACATCTGCCTCCGAGAGGTAGAGCTGGCACCTTTGATGTCAAACGCCCGTCTTCCTTGCAGAACACCCCCGATGAGCCCCTCATCCAGCCCATTGGCGTTCCACGCTGCTGCCAGGTTGCTCGCACCAACCGTCCCCGACTTGGCTTCCACAGCTCTTTTGGAGTTTTCGAACTCACGTGCTGTGGTCTCGACTTGGAACGGGTGGAATGCATACCCGCCCGCCCATGTCTTGTCCTTCAAAGCAGACATTCGTCCCTCCGACGAAAAGCTACGCTTGCATCCTGTGACAGAATACTGCGACTGGGGCAAGACAACGACATCAATGTATGCGTTTCCTGGATGGATGAAAAGTGCGGTTATAGATGACAGGATCGAGGTGCACTGCCGTAACGCCATCTTATCGGAACAAGACTTGGATAGAGTGGGCGGTGCATCTGCCCTTGCGGGCTTGCGACGCACGATGCCTAGCTGAGAGAAGAAGCCGCGCCCGGGCAAGGAAGAATCAGCCGATGTGGTTGTCGCATCTTCTCCAGCTATCACTGGCGCATCCCATGGCGATGCGTCCTCTTGCGCCGCCATGGTAAGCTCCATGCTCGCGTCGCCACAGGGGGCCTCCGAACAGTACATGTAGAGACGAACGCCGTCCGCAATTGCAAAAGGCTGCCCTTCCCAGTCCTGGGCGCCTTGGGGGTTGTACAGCCCCCGTTGGTCATCAGTGCGGTAGCGCAGGATCCCCAGCTCACTGGATTTGTTGAGCAACATTTGATGACACGCCGATAGGAGAAAACGATTGAAGGCTCGCAAGACCAGAATCTCAGCGTGCCAGTCATGCAGTCCAATGCCGTTTGCCTGCGGAATTTTAGAAGCCGGTAGACACTTCATACCTGTACTGCAGAAATCATCATCAGCACATGGAGGAAATGACACTCGTGGGCTTTTCATTGCATGTGAAGGCATTCTGACGACTCCATTGAGGCACTGCTGCTCCGGAGATATTATCGTTAACCCTGTGAGAAATGTCCCGCCAGCAAGTGTCGATCTACGAGATGCTGATGAGATACATTCAATGACGACGGGGTCGAACTCACGCTACGGCCAGACATGTTAGTTTTCCATTCTGAGCGGCGACGATGCCACTCAGAGGCACCCATTCATGAACCCCGTTGTTCCTGACTTGGGGCTTGCGTCTTGCGGGAAGCTGGCAGAACTTCTCGAACACAGCATCTGCGATGAGGTCGGGATTGACGACTGTCATTTGTCCGCCGGGGTTGACCTAACAAAGGTAGAGTGACGAAATGCCCCAGCAGGAGGCCAAGTTGGGCGGGGTGTGACCAGGTGGTGGGCGAGTGAAACCAAGCCACACTGGTTCAAAAAGCCCCACCGAGCCACGACCCAGCTCTATGGTCATGTGACCTGAGCGAACATGGAAGCGATGGCTCGGTGGGGCCAGGGCTATTCGACGCACGACTCACCTGTCGAAAAATTGCACCTGATCGTACTTACCCTCACAGACAAGCAAGTCAAGCGTTCGCATCAAATACCGCCAAAGTACGTGTTACCCGTTACAACGCCCAGCAGTCTTCCACAGTTTTCCTGGTGTGCAAACCAGCTGGCCGAAGCCGCGGACTGCACCCGAAAAACAGCGACCGAAATTGCCCATCGCCACTCCGAATTATCGAGCTGACATTTAATCTTTCAAGATGCGCACGTACGACGACTCCTTCTCGGGCCAGAGAATCTACCCTGGAAAGGTACGACACGCGAGACTCCTTCCTTGCCTTCTTCCCAAACGACCCCAATGCGAGATGGACGAGGGCCTGTTCAAGTCTAGGGCTGCCCAGATGTGGGAGACAAGATATTGCGGAGGGGTCTGATGGGGAAGGGGGATCACGATTGCTTCATACTCTTTGAGAGATCCAGGACTAACCAGGCTGTGAACTTGTAGGGTAAGCTCTACGTCCGCGGTGACTCCAAGACTTTCCGTTTCCAGAACAGCAAGTCCGAGTCGCTGTTCCTCCAGCGCAAGAACCCCCGCCGCATTGCCTGGACCGTCCTCTACCGTCGCCAGCACCGCAAGGGCATCTCTGAGGTACGTTGTCCCGCCCTGCCAGCCGAAAGCAGCAGCACCGCTTGCCGGCCGCAAGCACCACGCCTCCGATCAGATCAGCCTACTGACCCCTCCGCCACAGGAAGTTGCCAAGAAGCGCACCCGCCGCACCGTCAAGGCCCAGCGTGCCATCGTCGGTGCCTCCCTCGATGTGATCAAGGAGAAGCGCAGCCAGCGTCCCGAGGCTCGCTCCGCCGCCCGCGCGGCGGCCATCAAGGAGAGCAAGGAGAAGAAGCAGGCCGACGCCGCGGCGAAGAAGGCCGACAAGGCCAAGAACGCCGGCCTCGCCTCCAAGGGCCAGACCAGCCGCATCTCGAGCAAGCAGGGCTCCAAGGGCGCGCAGGCCAAGGTCCAGGCCAACACCCGCTAAATGCTTTTTCGGAGTAGGGTTTTGAGTCGCGGATTGTGGAAGCTGGAATGGTAATTCCGGGCGGAGGAGGGGCTGGGACGGGCGCCGTGGACAGATGAAAAACGGGCAGAGGATTCAATCCCCCAAGCCCACCCCCCGGATGGAACTTGACGAAAGGCAGGAGTCGAGGTTCTTTGTGTCTTACACGGCTGGTTCTCTACACACATCTCGGTAGCACGGAATTGCATGAAAGTCCCACGGGATAAATCAAAGACACATCAGGGTGTGTGACTGACGTGAGTGAAGCTGGCCGGACAGTGCATCCCCATGTCCAAAGGTGCCCGTTCGAGCGACGTATGCTCCACGAAAAAGAAACTTGTCAAATTATTTCGAGCCTTACTCGCGTCGCTCAGCGAGCAAGAACAATTGCGAATTGACCGCATTGGGACAAGCAGGTGGTAGTTCGAACAGCCAACCATCAATGATCTATGTCTGTCTGTCTGTCTATCTTGTATACCGTTACTTCGTAATCATCATCAGACTCTCAGAGCTTTGACAAGACGCCCTCGGCGCCCGTCAGCGCAATGCTGCCCTTCTCCGTCTCCAGCTCAGAGTACGTGACCTTGCCATGGTCGACAACGAGAGCGTAGCGCGCCGTGCGCTCGCCCAGCGTCCAGCCGATGCTCTGGGAGAAGGCAGCGCCGGCGTCCGAGGCGAAGAGGATGAACTCGTCCTTGACGCCGTTGGCCTTGCCCCAGGCGCTCATGACAAATGCGTCGTTGTAGGCGATGAAGACAACCTGGTCGACGCCCTTGGCCTTGAGGGCGTCGAGGTTGGCGAGGTACGAGGGGACGTGGGCGACGGAGCAGGTCGGGGTGAAGGCGCCGGGGACGGCGACGAGGACTACCTTCTTGTTGGCGAATTCTGCTTCGTGTTAGATGGGAGCGTCTCAGTACGCATTGAGGGGCTGTGTGCGGGGTCGCACAGGAGGGGCTCTCTCACCCTTGCTGGCGTCGTAGTTGACGGGAATACCGCAGGCGGTGAACTCGGACGTCTCAGGCTGGACAGGGACGTAGGAGAAGATAACTCCCTCAGGGAATGAGTCGCCGACCTTGAGAGACATGTTGAAGATTGTGGTGGGAAAGCTTGGTGGTTATCGTTTTTTTGGGGTGGGTTTGCTGGTGGATGTATGAGGCGAGAGGCGGACAGACTGATGAAGTCTCGTGGAGGATGAGTCGTGGTGTTTTATGGTGAACGAGTGCTCAATCGAGATCCTGCCCCGAGCCCAACGAGTCAATTGAGGCAGGAGTATGCCGAGCTGGCCACAAGGGTTCTACGAGCTTCCGCGGTAAGTGGAGAGCGACTCTGGCGAGTACGGGGCCTGTCCCCAGACGCCGGACAGCCAAATAAGTCGAGCAGCTGCAGGCTAGATCGGCGGTATTTGGAATTAGTTCAGTCGAGGACCAGGACGCAGGGCCCAACAGGCACGTCAGGCCATTCGGTGCTGGATCATCCGGCAGAACCCTTCACGACTCGACGAATGCCGGGCCCCGCATCGATGGCGATATTGCGGTGTGAAATGGTGAGGCGCCCGCCGTACCTCCGATTGCCGGAGGACGGAGGTGACCGAGGAGCCCCTCGCTGCTCCGAGCCGAGGCGGCCACGGTGGGAAGCATGACGTCGACGCAGAGGTAGCGATCGTTGTCAGATGGTCATGTCGAGATGAACCAGGCTGGAGTTTGAATCCTTTCGGGATTTGATCTTTGTTGTTTGTCGTTGTTAACATTCATGTTGAGTCACCCGCGGGATTTGACGCCCTTACTACGACACCGTTGCTGACTGAGAACATGCGGGAGCCCGATGTTGCATCACTCTGTCACAACTCGTTCCCCTCTTTCTTACGCAAGTACAAATGACTGGGACTTTTCGCATTTCATACGTGACATACCACAAAACCACAACGTTCCAGAATGTCTACCGAAACAAAACCGCCATGCCCTCCCTTCACCGCCGAAACAGCGCGAATCAAAGTCAAGGCTGCGCAGGATGCATGGAATACGAAGTCAGATCATCCACCTCTACTTAGTCTCACTCGACACAATCTAAGACATCACTGATACCTTGCCTTAGGGACCCTGAGACAGTCAAGATGGCATACACACCTGACTCAGTCTGGCGGAACAGGGACGTCTTCCTTCGCGGCCGCGACGAGATTGTACAGTTCCTGAGCGAGAAGTGGTCGCGCGAAGATGGCTATAGACTGCGCAAAGAGCTGTTTGCCTTTTCTGACAACAGGGTAGAGGCAGCCTATCATCTCGGCGAGTTGCAAACTGGACTAATGCCTGAGGACCGCTAGATTGCCGTACAATTTTGGTACGAATGGCACGACGAGAGCGGCCAGTGGTGGCGTACCTACGGACTCGAGGACTGGACCTTTGCAGACAATGGTCTGATGCGGAAGCGGCAAATGAGCGGCAACGATGTCAGAATTAACGAAGACGCAAGGTGGTTCAGGGAAGGCGTCGACGTCAACTCGGTGTCCATTGGCGAGGAGCACTGGTGAGGGTGAGGAGTCAAGTTGCATGTGGTACGATGACGGCTGTCTCAGAGCCGCCAGCGGGTGCTCTGGAGCTAAAATGTAGAGATGGGAGCCTTCCCATGGGGTTTACTTAGGCTCATAATTACTGAAACTTGTTCTGCCGCTACCAAACATGTCATCACGCCATCTTCCCGTGCATGGATTTCGAGCAGACGATCAATGAATCCAAAAATGGTACTAAATTGCAGCATGAATTCAATCCCCGAAATACAGTGTTTGAGTCGTGACACAATGAGATTTCTCAGATCAATGCTCGAGCACGTCCGCAAATAGCGAAACCACGCCCACAACAATGACTTCTTCTTCGCCGTTGTTCGCAGTGACCTACGAATCTGAAGCACATAGATTCTGTACAAATCCTCCGAACACCAGTGACTTGAAATGCGCATCAATTTTCTGGGTTGTCCGAACCTCGTCAACCGTCCTGCGATATGATTTATTTTGTGGCAGCGAAATGCAGCCTCCCATAGAGGGTTCAATCACTCGAATCAGACTTCCATGCATGAACACTAGGTTCCTCGATGATCTGCGAAAACCTCAGAAGTTCAGAGCTCGGGAGAGAGAATGCAATAGTTGACTGGCAGGACGGTGAAGACACTTCTGACCTTCCGGAAAAAGCACACTAGCGATTGGTCAATGGGCGATACTGAGATCGATAGAATACATGGCAGAAGAGCTCATGCAGCTGTTTGGCGGCTCGGGGAGAATGATTCTGCAAATTCCACGCATGGTGCGAAGGAACAGAGCTTGAAGCTAACCATTTTGATTCATGAAGGAAAGAGCCCCGGGACCACATGTTCCAGAGATCATACACACGTGGATCGACAACCCGGTCAACATAACCTTCCTGATAACAAAGCGAGTTAGAGAACAAACACTGGAACAGCATGGCCTCAACTAAAATCACCCCAATGCGTACAAATTGCAGTTGCTGGTACCATTATATTACAAAATTTACTGGATATGGTGCTTATGAAGCAATGTTGATGGATAGTGCTGATCCGTCTCATCCATTTTGGCTACCGATAATACTTGGTTCTTCACAATGAAGGTCATACGGACCTACTTGGTAACCAGCTCAGATCATCATCCTCCGGCCATTGACCGACCATTTCAGTTCAATCATGCGGATCTTGTACTAGTAAACATCATGACACCAGAGATGGCAACGTCGTTACTGGAATTATGAACTGGGAATCTGCCGCTGATCATCACCGATTCTGGCTGGCGACCAAGCCCGTATATGCCGGAGCCCTTTTCCTTGAATGCGGGACAGACGAACCTCGACTTTGGGGCCAGCTTTTGTGACAGGCACTCGATGCAAGCGGTTACAACGGAGAGGAAGCAATTTCCCGCCACTGGATAACCTCTATCACTTGAAGTAAAGGCCAAGGTGCAAGAGTCCATGAAGACAAGATCTCCATCGTACGTCACGTCATGCACAGGATCAACATGGTCAACAGGATGGATGAGCTCACAGGACAGGAGGGCCACATGACAGAGCCTGTTGGTTGCCACAAACGGGAGAACTGAGTGCGAAAGAATAAAAAGAAAGTAATCGTCTCTGAGTCAAGAGAAAGGGCATCAATGATCGATGATTCTACATATCGCTACTTCTCAACATTCGGTGCAGGCCTAGCGGTGGATATTTGAATGTCGTCCATCAATTCAGTGAAACCCTCCAAGGTAACTAGGGTATGTATAATAAGATCACCATGCTTTTTGAAACCCTTACGAGCAACCACTGTGTTTGCTGACTGACCCGAAGACTCCTCAGTAAGGTAGGGGACGCTAACATGGCAGGTCCAGCACGTTGCCCCCAGGGGCCAGGCCAGCAAGACTGGCGCTATGATCATTGATTGACTCAGCCTCCACGAGGTTACCACGACTCTTTGCTTGGTATTGTTGGCGGGTATTTCCCCATTTCCCGGAAGAGTAGTACGCAAGCAGATCGTGACATTGCCCACGTGCCAAACATGGATTCTGAATCATACGTCGTTCCGGCCATTTTTGATCGATCAACTTGAGCCCGCTCCCATCTCCAATGCCTTGTGCTAGAATTGCATGGCGCCCGAGTCTTCTTAGTTGAGTGATCGTCGCACCATAGCCGTGAGGCCAGATTAGAGAGGGTAAAATGTAAAACAAGTGAGCAGACGCCATCGAAGCCGAGAGCTCAGCGCTGCGACCATGGCTGCAAGAGGGAACGAAATGTGATGTGATGCCCGCCCATTCCTGGTTGCAGCCCAGCAAGCCTTCAGGAAGTGATAACTCGGGCAAATTAACGCCACACCCCCTCACTCATCCCCCTTGGGCGGGAGGGGGGCAGCGCATGGGCCACTACGATTGCGATCTTAACAGCAGTCATCAGCCGAGCCAGGGATGACCATCGGGGTGTTGAGGACACCAATGGGAAAACGGGATGCAGCAGGGGCACACAAGATCTGCCCGGGACGAAGCGCATCCGGTTGATGAGTTTCTTGGGTTTTGGGGACTGCTGCCGCTTGTCGGTCTTCTGTGCTCGCTGCCGGAGCATGCAAACCCAATTTTGGGAACGCAACAAGTTGAAAAGCATAGGTAGGAGTTATCATTTTTTCAGATCGAAGCAATGGCCTGCCAGGCGGGCCTCGCGTCGATCGGACAGCGCACCGAACATAGCGGCCCTGCACGGACGATCCAGAGTTCTTGTGTACTGTGTAGGCGGAGACTCGTAGACTAGTACAGTAGCTGCTATTCAGCGCACGCGTGAGGCCGCCTTCCTTGCAAGGCTTGCCAGGATGACAGGACAGATGGGCGCGAGAAATCTCAGACAAAACAGAGCGACGTGACAGCGGCAGGGTACGCTCGAAGCAGAGGACCACGGGGAGCGGGGTTATGTGGCCATCCAGTCGCTCGTCATTCTGCAATTTTCTTCCTTTTGTTGGTTTGTGCCGGCGACCTTGTCGTCTTGTCCTCGAGGCATCGAAATTCTCTTGCGCAATGTAGTCAATCAGTGCCCATAGCTGACCCAAGACGGAAACGGCCGCGAGAATTCCTTACGAGCTAAGGCATATGACAGAAGCAAGCCTGCCCTCGAGGAATGGCCGGATTGCCCGAATGAGAGAATGGTATTGTGTTGCACCGTTGGTTGCGTAATGCCTGCTGCATGAGAAGAAGAAGAAAAGAAGAAGAGCGGCTGAGCACCCCTGAGCCAACAGCAGCATGCTGGTTTCTGGGGCTCCGAAGGCTACCATGTACATTGTTTCCAGGATGGAAGATGCAAGGTGCAAGGTCCACTTCGGATGCTGCCACAGATCCAATGGACAGGGGAAGGACAGCAACAGTCGGTGCCAAGGGGAAGATATCGGGGGGGGGGGGGGCAGGTCGAATGCAGGTCAAGGTGTGCTGAAATGCACAGGCGCCAGGGGTCGACAGAGATAGCGGGTATGCTCCAGGTTTTCCCGCTCCCTTGTGTGCAAGGAATGGGACAGTTGGTCCGAAACGAGCAACGGAGGCTGATGGGTACGGATGAACATGAAGTGGTTATGTTGCGAACATTGGCCACCTTTTGCGCAATTGACGATGTCGCGATGAAGATGTGAAGAAGAAGTACGTGGAGACACGTTGCCGGAAAGACCTACTCGTCGTGCCTACCTTGCCTTCGTAGTGAGCAGGTTACTTCTCAGACGGCAAGTAAGCTACCTGCCTCATGGCAGTGTGTCCCGCGGTAGGTGGGCCTCCAGGCCTTGCCTTCCTCCATTCACGCGAACGAGGCGTGCCAGATCTCAACGGCTCATCAAGCTAGACGCCGATTTCTGCCCTCCTATCCTAGATATGGAGCCCAAGCCATGCAATCTTGCCAGCCACTTTGCGCCAGTCATGGCCTACAGAACCTGAAGCAGCACGTTCCGAGAGGCGTCAACCGTTCCGCCTAAATTCTCTCATCTCATCTGTTTTGCCTGCACCTCCGGGGTTGCCTGGCTTGGCGACTCATTCATCATAAACCGTGTCGAGCCTCTCCAGTCATGAAGTCTTGGGGGGGTATTGAAACCTGGCCACCACAGAGGACGGGACGGGGGAGGTGGAGCTTGAAGAAGATCAGCGATCTTGTGGGAGCTGAAGATCTCCCCTGCTCCTCGCTTCCGTTCTCCGGGGATAGTGAACCTCGCGGGCGGCTCACACACACGACGCCAGCGAGCAGGCCATCAAGCCCCCCTCTTCGATGGCCAGCACGCAAGACACATCAAGATCAAACACAGAGCAACTCCGACACTATGAATTCTTGGCCAGGCCCCATTAGCAAGACACGGGAGAGTGACAGCAGTGCATGGCTCTGAGTGTTGAGTCTCTGCGTGTCTCTGCTGGGCTGTCTGGCTAGCCCTGCTTCGTTGCGGCTTTTGCCTTTGCGCTTGGGAGGAAGGTCGAGCTTCGAATGGCCGAAGCCAAACCTCTTCCAGGATGGACCAGTGCTAGCTTCGAGCTGGCTTTTGCGACGTCATTCAGCTGCATCCAATCCAGTCGCTCGCTGATGGCCTTTCCTGTCAGTGCGCTCTCCATCTCGTCGGGGCCCTGGAAATCTGGCCAAGCCTGGCTAGGAGCACACCCTCCCCGCCCTCGCTGGCTTGCCCCGATTTGCACGACTGTCGCCTGGATTTTCTTTGCTCGGCATGACTACCAGCTCGATGTTGGCTTGGAGCCAGCTGCAGTAGGCTGCTTACTGGCTGTTGGCTCGCCCCTTCTTCGTTCTCGCCAGTGCGGGCCTTGACGGTGTGGCTTAATCTCCCCGTGTCACCACCCACAACCACAACGCACCCTCGGGTCGGCCTGCCTGCTCGTGGTTGCCACCTGCGTTCGGAAACTGGGCGAGACAGCTAGCAGTACTGTACCATGTCCATCGAGGCACGAGGGACAGGGGAACAGGCCGGTGGTCGTCGGTCGAGACCCTCGCTCACAAGGACCCCCGGTCACGCCTGAACAGCCCTCTCCAAGCCAGATTCAAGACGACCACCGCTGTGCTCTGTCTGGGCTTTGGGGGGTATATCTTACACCTTCTCCCTTGCAGCCACCTTCAAAGGCCATCTACTTCAGTCCGCTACGCCTGCATTTTGCATCTCGACCTTCTGCTAATCCTTCCTTTTCCTGACGTCCCTCCGACGCCGACCACACTGTTAGCCTTTCACCCCGTTCCCCTCTAGTCCAACCTCGACGCCTCGCGCTCAGGTATTTCATCCACCTACGCTTGCCGTCTGGCTCGTTCGGACAATCAGCCTGAGTCAAGAACAGCTCAGGGTCCAAACCGTCCTCTTGGCCATTCGACCGGCGACTTCGTCATCTCATTAAACTCTGAATACACCCATCCCTCCTATTCTATATCACCTCGCCACCCTCCTAAAGAACCATCTTCTGTTGAGGCTCTTCCTACTTCTAAACTATCCTTCGTTTGTTACAGACCTCTAGTATAAAGGATACTTGCCACTTCACCTACGCCTACCGCTGACCGCTATTTGCCAACATGGGTCTTCTTTCGCTGACCTACCGTCGCCCTCAATATGTGGATGACAGCTCCTTCCGGGACAGCATGTCGTCTCTTAACGAGAAGAGCAGCAGTTCCCTTCGTTCTGGCAGGTCTGGCACGACAGGCATACCCGAGTCGCTCGCTTTCGACAGGATCATGAATGGCGGCACTTGTCCTGTAAGTCATCCGCCGCTCCTGGTCAGCAGAGCAGTCGTCCATCGGGAAACTAACGCGGGAGACAGCCATGCACCGTGAGAGACTTTATGAACTATTTGATTTACATCGAACACTCGGCCGAAAACCTTCAGTTCTTTCTCTGGATCAAGGATTATGAGAAGCGTTTCGCCAACGCCAAGCCATCGGAGCTCGCTCTCGCGCCGGAATGGACTCAAGAGATGGAAGATGAGACCATTGCCAATTTACGCAAGGAAAAGGCCGGTGCCTTCCGTCAGGCCAAGCCTGGTCACGAAATATTCAAGGGCACCGACTTCGAAAAGAAGGCAAACGGCCCTCCCAACCCTCATTCTGCCGACCCCAACCCGTTCTCCACCCCACCGCGCACACCAGCCGGACAGAACGACGTCGACTCGCTCTTCAGCTCATCTCAAGGCATGTCCGTCGTCGGTACATTCCGTTCGCAGGCCACCGAGGCGTTTGCCAACGCTGGTGCGAAGCAGCCATGTAAGTGACGACTCGGGGGACCTATGACCTTCATGTCTGCTACGGCATCAACAAGTCAATTCTGACATTTTACTCAGTCACCATTCAGCCCTTCCGCGAGGAGATTGACCGTATCGTCGCCACTTATATTATGGAAGGTGCCCCACGACAGCTGAATGTCTCCGACCGAGAGCGCAATGCCGTCCTGCACGGCCTGGCTTACACCACGCACCCTAGCGCGCTGCGAATCATCTTCAAGTCGATCGACCACTCACTCCGCCACCAGGCTCATCCCAACTTCATCCGTTGGTCCATCTGCAACGGCAACCCGGCTCGTGTCTTCTTCGCACGATTCCTGGGCATCTTCCTCATCGCAGCTTCTCTCGTTGCAGCAATCATCCTGACCCTCAGCAGTGCGCCACGCGGCTATCGTGCCATCCCCGCCATTGGCTTTGTTCTCGGTGTCTCAACGTTGGTGGCAGCGTGGAAGGGCATGTGCGTGGTGCTTCACGGCATGCACCACCGACACGTCAGACCCTGGGAACTCTTCATCGACAACGAGGGCGAGTGCGACCTCTCCAAGACGAGCTTCGAGTCGTTTGGTTCAGGCAACAGCTACGAGACGGAGCCCTGGGTTGTCAAGTACGAGAAGCGCAACACTGTGCGCAAGGTGTTTGACCGCGAAGTGTGGATCCAGGAGCCAGCGCTGCGCCAGATCCAGGACACGATCTTTGTGCAAGCCATGTTGTGCGCGCTGCTGGCGGCCGGTGTCTTGACGGCCATCTTTGTTGCTGTTCCAGGGGGGAGACTGATGTAAACAAAGTTTGTTGGAAACGTCGCTTCTGTACTGTATACCTACCCAGATTCTATTTTCTTTTTTTCTTTTTACAGGATACCACTTGAGCTCGGAGGATTGGAGTTTTGCGTGTGAAGGATTGATGGCCAATTTCCTGACCATCTGGTCTAGTTCACTGGAAGCTACAATCTGGACCACCTTTCGCTGTCAATGAAAATGTACAATACGTATTGTTGCCATGGACGCTCCCGCTCGTGTGACGTGAAGGCAGTCGTCAGTCATGGCCGAGGGGTTCGGGAGGGGCTGCCGCCGGAAAGTTCATCGAGTGAGTCGATCAGTCATTTGACGATGTACCGGTCCGGGCGGAACATGTGCCGACTGCTACGGACATGACACGGGTTAGATGGTCAGGCCGGGCCTCCCGCGTGCGAGTCGATGCGGGTGGCGGGTGCCGAGGCATGGGTCTGTTGGGTGCCCCATGGGGGGGGGGCTGGATGTATGGACAGGACCTGCTCGAAGTGCAAGGAAACGACGAATCACTCATGACACGTCTTTTGGAGGGTGGTGATCCTGCATAGCGCAACTGGAAAGTGTTGGTTGTGGAGTATGATGATGATGGGTTCCGACGTTTCGGTCTCCGACGTTGTCTTCCCTTCGCGCCAGTCAGTCAGTCGTGTGGAGCTGGTCCGTAAAGGTGCAGATGCTCACGGATGGTTTCTCCATGCTAGTGCAAGCCTGATCTACCTCGGTACGGGCGAAGGGCTGGTGGGTATGGGGGAGACCACGGCGGCTGAGGAACACGACTGAGGAACACGACTGGGGAACTTGACTGGGGAACACGACAACAGGAAAACAGGGACCTCTCTGGGGCGGGCGAGCAAAACGTTGGGCGAATCGGTACCTGACGTCAAGGTACCTGAGAGCCGCCAGGCTCAGCCGAGAAGAAAGTGCCCCGCGTTCCCCTGGGCCGAGGCGCAAAAGTACATGCTGCAACCTGCGGCTTATCGCAACTTCGGTATCTGCTCCAGGCTCCCCCACATTGACAAAGGCTCCGGCCGAAAACCCCTAAAAGAGTCAAGAAAAAAGTGGGAGGTGAGAGCTTGGATTCGACAGCGGTGCCCGGCTCAGCCCCTCCTGCTTTGTTGAGTTCATCGCGATCAGAGACGAGATGCCCGAAACACCTCGACCCTCTCCATGTTCATGCCCATGCCACATACCGCTGCTGCTCAAGTAGTATCTCCTCCCGTCACCACGAGAATCACAGCCTCGACCGCCAATTGATTGATGCTCGGCACCGACACCTTGCCATCACGAGCCTTTGCGCCGACCCTCTCCCCACACGCGACTCGGCAAGCAGCAGGCCACCAGCAGCCGCTGTCACACGAGCCATCATCACCATGTCGCCCGTCCTTGTCGATGACGGCTCTGCCATAGAGGACGTCGCGTCGCACCAGCACCAGGCCACACAGACATCCACGACAGAAGCACCTCTTACGGGCAGGCCCAGGACGATGACGACAACCGAAGAGATCGACAGCACCATCATCCGTCCGGGTTCGGTGCGCATCAACGTCAAGGGCGCCTTCATCGTCGACCCAGACTCGAGCTCCCCGAAAGACCCTGCCGCCGCCGCTGCCGCCGCCGCCGCCACTGGCAGAATATCGCCCACACATCACGAAACGAGCGACATTCGTCTGCCGAACCACACGGCTGTCGTGAGCCATATTGCTGTCGACGTATGAAAGAATAACCCCCCCCCTCCCCCTTCCCTTCCTCCCACTGCCCCTCGGCTGAGACAGCCTCGGCTCCGAACCCAGGCCTTTCGCCGCTCGCTGCCGTGCGCTTGGCCCCCGTCCCACTGCCCGGTCATGAGAACACACACACACACACACACACGCAATGACGGAACAAAGAGCTGACCGCACGGTGGTGTCCAGATCGGCGGCTCCCTCATCAAGCTCGTCTACTTCTCTCGTGAGGCCCACTCGAAAGAGCCCGGCGGCCGCCTCAACTTCCTCAACTTTGAAACCGACCGCATAGACGACTGCATAGAATTCATGCGCCACCTCAAGGACAAGCAGCAGACACTCAATGGATCACAACCTGGCGCCCTCAGCGTCATGGCCACGGGCGGTGGCGCCTTCAAGTTCTACGACAAGATCAGGCATGTCCTGGGCGTCGACGTCTTGCGCGAGGACGAGATGGAGTGCCTCATCATTGGCCTCGACTTCTTCATCACCGAAATTCCCCGCGAAGTCTTCACCTACAGCGAGACGGACCCCATGCACTTTGCCTCGCCCTCCGACGACATCTACCCCTACCTGCTCGTCAACATTGGCTCCGGCGTCTCCATGCTCAAGGTCTCGGGCCCCCGTCAGTACCAGCGCGTCGGCGGCACCTCCCTCGGCGGCGGGACTCTCTGGGGTCTCCTCTCCCTGCTGACCGGCGCCCGCTCCTTCGACGACATGCTCGACGCTGCCGAGCGCGGCGACAACTCCAAGGTTGACATGCTCGTCGGCGACATCTACGGCACCGACTACGGCAAGATCGGCCTCAAGAGCACGACCATCGCCTCCTCCTTTGGCAAGGTCTTCCGCATGAAGCGCGAAGCCGAACACGAGGCCGAGGACCACGGCGGCCTGCACAACGGCGACTCGTCGGCCGCCGCCAGCGACGCCGCCCGCCACCCGCTCGACGCCGAGCACGACGCCGCCCACGCGGCGCCGTTCTCGGGCGGCGACATCTCGCGCTCGCTCCTGTACGCCATCTCCAACAACATTGGCCAGATCGCCTACCTGCAGTCCCAGATCCACAACCTCTCGCACATATACTTTGGCGGCTCCTTCATCCGCGGCCACCGCCAGACCATCAACACGCTCTCCTACGCCATCAAGTTCTGGTCCCAGGGCGCCAAGCAGGCCTACTTTCTCCGCCACGAGGGCTACCTCGGCGCCGTCGGCGCCTTCCTCAAGAGGCAGCCGCGGAACTGGGGCCGCAGGGGCAGTTTCGAGGATGACGTTGGGCTCGAGGGTCGGCTGCGGCAGCGCGCGAGGGGCCACGACCCGGAGATGCAGGCCCTTGTGGACGACTACGCGGAGGACTCGTCGGGGGCGCCATGAGGGGGGTGTCGTCGTGCTCCAGCATAATGCTATGGACAGGTTCCAGGGGAGTGACCGGCGCAAAGGCGGCTGCGGGGAAGAAGCCAACAGAAAAGGAGCGTCTCGGGCCTGAGACGACGGCGAGAGGAGGGCTTAGCTCCACAGTGAGCACGGCAGCCTAATCGGAAAAGGAGTGTTGGATAACGTACGGGAGAGTTAGACGAAGCCACGAACAGCGGGCTCATCCGACGGGGGTGTTTTTTTTTTTAATCTCTCCGTCCTTCACCAAAACAAAACTAGCATAGCTCCCTTGAAGCCAAAGCATAATCACTAGACATGATGGGGAGGACCAATCTATTGTTGATACCCGATATTCTTTTATATTGGTTGTCTGTGTGTTTGTAGTCGGTTTTTTGTTCTCGCCGTCCGACACGTGTCAAGGTGCCTTGGCGAGAACGGGGAGAACAACAAACCCCGTCTCTGCACACCTTTTTTTTTTGGTAGTCCGTCATCATCTCCGCGCCGCATTACGAGCGTACATTAAAGAAAAGGAGAAACTGGCCCGACAGAGCCGCGTTAAGCATGATGATCCATCCATCCACATACCCGAAGAAGGGGCGATATAAAAGTTTGAAAAAAAAGCAAATAACTGACTTTGAAAACCCCAATCGCTCCCCGCTGTACACACTAATTCAAAAAGATGGAGAAAAAAAAAAGCCCGGCATCCTGTAGTTCTGCTCGGGAGCTAACAATGCTCGACCGGGTCCCTGTGTGTGTGTGAGAGAGAGAGAGAGAGAGACACGGCAGCGATGTACTGTAACATGTCGAAGAACAATCCAGAAAGACGAAGCCGGCCACCCGCCCCTTGCGTTATAAATGAACTTTGGACATGGGAGATGCGCATTTTGTTTGTGGTGCGTTTCGTGTGTTTGCTTTTTTGGTCAGACAGCCTTTCCCATAGTCCCGTGCTTTTCCAATCAATCGGTTGGAGTGCAAAATGTGCGTGCGCCGGGGTCATAATCATATAGAAAGGAACAACATGAGAGAATCAGAAGGAGAGACGACGCGGACAGACTGCGCCGCGGTCGACGGTTCGTTCGTTTCGTGTGTTTTCGTTTTGAGGGGGGCGGGGCGGGGAGGGTATAAAAATGCCAGATGAACAGCAATAGATGAAAATGTGCCACTCCCCTTAGCGATTGATAGTACAGGAGAGACATGGGGAAAGGAAAAAGGGACGAGGCGATAAGATGCAGTTAGCCGAACGACGACTTCTGAGCAGGCTCAGATGGAACCCTTTCGGTCGCTCGTGCCGCGGTAGGACTGAGGGTACGGGGCGGCGCGGTAGCGTTCCCTCTCCCGGGGAGGCTGGGCGACGCGGCGGCCGGGTAGGGAGGACCGGCGGTCGAACGAGGCCACGGGCATGGGCATGGGAGACAGGACGACGGGGTGGCGGCTGCGAGGCGAAGGGCGAAGAGGGGAAGGGGCGGGCGTCGTCGTCGACACGATGCCCGGGGCTGAGGCGGTCGTGGCCATGGCGACCGACCCGGGGAGCAGGTAGTGGCCGCGGGGGTTGGGGTCGGCAGCCGGACCCAGGTACGGCGAGGAGTGCGCCGAGATGGACTGGACGGCAGGGTAAGCCGCAGACATGGCAGGGTCCACGATCGTGGGCACGGAGGCGCCAGCCCAGTTAGGCTGGTGGAAGCCGACCGGAGATGGACCTCCAGACGACGCCGGCATCATGTCTTGGCCCGGCATCATGACCACGGGCTGAGGTGTGGAAGGCGCCGGAGCCACGTGGGGGTTCATCATCCTGGGGGGCGACGGCACCACATCTTCGGCGAGCTGGCGCAGCAGTCTCTGATGCTCACGGTTGATGGCCATGCCGTTCGCAGGGTGGGCGGTCTGCGGCGCTACAGTTCTTGGGCGCTGCGCCGCCGACGAGGACGTTGCAGGCGGTTGTGTCTGGGTGCTGGTGGCTGGTTCGGAGGCCTTGGCAGGCTCTACCATGTCAGGGAAGACCTCGCCGAGGTACTCGATGTAACCAGCCAAGCTCTGCACCTGCTGGTTCAGTGCCCTTCGGTCTTGTTGGGGCAGTCCGTTGCCAGCAAGGGCCGTCTGGCGAATGCTCTGCACGGAGGCGATGATCTTCTCGACCTCACCGCGGAGTCTCTGCTCCGTGAGGTTGAAAGAAGGCATCGAACCAGGCCGAAGCGTACCGAGAACCCGCAGCGTCTCCGCCGTGGCAGTTCGGATCACCTCGAGGGACTCTGAGACAGAAGGAGATGCAGACTGCTCAGGAGACAGGACCTCGTCCTGCTGCTCGCGCTGACGCACGTCGAGGACATCAATGTGAGGCTGTGTTTGCCGCGTGAAAAAGTCGACGATGAGCTCCGGTCGGAAGGCTGGAGCGGAGGACTGCTGGCTCGGAGACCGACGGAAGTTGACAGGCGCTGCTTGAGGGACGGGCGTCCGACCGTTGCCGGGTCGGGAAGATTGTTGCTGAGCCCAGACGGTGACATGGGGAGGCTGGGGAGGAGCTGTCAAGCCGACGGTCTGGCGCTCCTGTGTTCGGTGGAAGGCAGGTGTGTTACTCGCCATGCTGTACGCGCCGAAGGTCTCGGCACGTCTGTCATCGAAGCGCTGGATGGGAACAGGCTCGTAGTGGCTAGTGGTCATGTAGTGGCCGTTTTCTGACAGTGTGGGAAGAGGCATCGGCGTCATGTGTGCTCGTGGGACAGTCTCTTGGTTGACGGGAGGAGGCATTGTCGACTGATCCGAAGACTGCACGCCTTGGTAAACCTCCGCTGACTGGTACGATGGCCACTCTGTGGCGGCTTGTTGAGACCACGAAGCATCGTTGGTGGCTGCTTCGTAACGCTGCTGCGGGTGGTTTATGCCCGTGTGCTCAGGGTCGTCGGAGCTGGGAAGATACATGTAGTTAACTTGAAAGTCGGTTGCCGCACTCTGACAGACGACGGGGATGGATTTGTCACTGGCGGTGGTATACCCTATTTGGCCTACGCTGGGACCGAGGTACGAACTCGCCATGAAGCCGGCACTGGGTCGATCACCCATTGTGGCTGTTGGATGGGCTGTCACGGACACGGCCTGAGCGGCGTGCTTGATGACGCTCTGCTGCTCTGCAAAGGTTGGGAGGGGGATGGCATCATAACGTGTCGGGGAGCCGGGCTCAGATGAGACAAGGTAGGGGTTGGGCTGGGACGAATTAGTACGCGCGCCCGCAGAAGTTGATTCTGAGATGAGGGCTACTCACGCCGCGGGAGTACTCGTCGCCAGGGAAGCACATCGGGTCCTGACCATCCTTGTTGTGAGATGGACAGCCAATATCGACGGCAGAATCACGCCTCGGGCCTCCAATCTGGTCAATACTCAATGCAGGCGTGGTCGGGCTACTAATGCACGAGTTGGTAGTCCCCATGGAGAGACCACCCTCGGAGAGACCATCTGAATCTTGGCATGGCCAAACCGAGAGCAGGTCGTTCATGTCTCGGGCAGGCCAGTCAGAAAGCAAACTGTTCCACTGATATGTGAAAAAGGCTTGTCGCTCAGGCTCCTCCAGGCGCTGAGCCCACGTCGAAATGTCGTCTTCGGTAACGATGGTGTGTGTGACTTGGTGGCCTGAGCCGAGCAGGACCTTGATGGCTCGGTTGGCGAGAGAAGGCATCGGGTCGCCGGGTTGATGGTGGGTGATGCGACGTCCATATATCGTGAACAGCGTCACGCCGGCTGGGCGGCTTTCGCTGTGTGTCGGCACCCAGCAGACGGCCGAGACAGGAACGACAATGGCTTGGTTGGTCTGGTGGTTCAAGACGTGCACCTCGTTGTTGCAGCTGTCGTTGCGGCCGTCATCGAAGATGGTGACCTGATCGCCACGGCGGAAGACGATGCCGTCAGGGGACTGGCCTTCATGGGCCAGGATCCCGTGAAGAGTATTCATGACGGTAAAAGAAAGGGAATATGGTCCAGGCGAAACAAGGCTTCCCGCGCGTTGGTTCGCTCAGAGAAAGAGAGTCGAGGAGTGTTATCACTTGGACAGATGGGAAGCAAGGGAAGGGGGAGACGAGGAAGGGGTTCATATAAGCAAGGTGAATAGATCAGGGACGGGGATAGGATGAGAAGGATCAGTAATGCTGGATGAACACGGAGGTGCAATGAAACTCCAGCTCGCCAATGAAGTTGAGCGGCCCGTTTTGTGGTAGTCGTGGGCAAGAAGCAAATCACTCTCGCTTTATGGGCGAGACGAAGCGTTCTCATCATGGGCGGCCCCGCCAGGCTGGACCAGGATATTCGACCCTGGACTGGAACTGTTGGAAGTGATGGTTGCGCCTTGACCTCCACCCATCCTCGCCTGGCCAGGGCTGGAACCGAGAGCCAGCAGCTAGAAGAGGGGGAAAAGAAGAGGTGGTAGACGAGAGGTACCCATCATGACCATGTCCCTGTATGCCCAGACAGCGCTACTGATCAAGGGCCAGCGGACAGACTCCCGTTCCCCTAGCCACATTAGCTTGGCGATCGTCCAGGGCGATGCAGGACAAGAGTGGCGCTGCTGTCGACAGTGGGCTGTCGTGTTTGGGACCCTGTGTTTTCGACCCCGGTCGTGCGTCATGAGTTCAGCCCGAGTGTATCTTTCGGACAGGTCAACTTGCAGACGCAGTACGCTTTCACCCCTTTCGTCCCTCCCCATGACGAGTCCGCCGGGTGACTGGCTCATTGTGCCTGTAGGCCATGTCTCGGCTTGGAAAACGCTGATACTGTGTCAGGGCCTGTGAGGCTGGAAACTGGCTTGGAGGCATGCGCAGCTTGGAAACCAAAGGCACTGGTGACGGCAGCCACATTAAGGCACCCGTCGAGGGGGGCGCTCTCCCGTCTTGCCCATGTAACGGGTGGCAGTAGGCTCCCCCGGGGAAGCATGCCCGTCCGTTTTCGTACTGGGCCGGTGGCATACAGTCGGAGAAAAAAAGCAACGGGCATACTGTACATGTACACACACATCATCACAAGGGGTACGCCCCAAGGCGGAAAGGTGACGCCGCTGGCTGGCGCAGAGGCCAGTCGCTGTGAAAAATGCCGTCAAGCTGTGGCAGACATTGGCTAGAGCAAACAGCCACTGGTGGGGGAAGGGGAAGGGGTGCAGAGAAAGAGAGAGGACCAAGAAGCAGTGATGTTTCTGCGTGCCGGTTCGACCATCGAGCCAAGCGGCCCCTGCAACGGAGATAAGCACGATCCTCCATCTGGACCAGGAAAAGACCAGGGCCCCGGAGGAGACAGGGTAAGGGGGTGGTGGCCAAGGAGGCCTGCAGCAGAGAGAGACATACACACCAGCGCATGGCTAGCGTCCGAAAACCATCGGATGGACAAGGTCCATCGGATCGCTGGAGAACTGGTTGCTCTTGGATATGTACGTATTTTTATGTTCCTGTGCCTGTCCCGATTCAACGGGTCTGTAGAGATCCGGTTGGCGGCTCGACCGACGTGTTGGTTTCCTGGATTCTGATCCCTGGCTTTGATCTGACGGCACACGCACATAGTCCCGTTTTTGGAGCCAGTGGGCCAGGCTCACCTCTGGGCGCATGAACGTTGGGTGAGGCTGAACACTGAGAGCCTGGGGGCCGATGGTGGCTTCAATACATGGGTTGTTTTTCTTGATTTGTTATACAGAGATGTCATCCTCGCCAGTCCGCTCGTGTCCTGGGCTGTGTTTATTCCGCAGCAATATGTGTTGGTTTTTATGCACGTACAGAGCCCACCACTTCTCCTGTTTGTGTGTGTGTGTGTATGTGTGTGCAGGGACCGCGAAACGCAAAACGGACATGAAGAGGGGGGGTATTGGTCGTTCCGTTTCTGGTCGCTGCCGGCGTCGCCACCGTTCTCAGTCCTTCTTTTCTGATGAGCTCGGCTTGCCCTGGCTGCTGTTCTCTTCTGCTGCTGAGGTCTGGCCGAGCTTCGTCAGCACACGATTTGCCCATTCCTCAAACTCGCGCTCAGCAGCCTCGTCCGTCTTGCCTGCCTCGCCTCTGATGGTCCGCCGCGCCTTTTCTCGCAAGTCATCGACAGAGGATACGTCAAAGGCCCAGGCAATGCCGCCCGTGGCCATGACGCCAAAGCTAAAGACGTTGAGTGTCGCGAGGTTGAGGGCTTCCAGCGCAATCAGGGAGCCCTCGGGGTTTTCCTGCTTCCCAGCGGCGGCGTGGCTAGGTTGGTAGAATTTGGGGAAGGCAGCGAGCTTCTTGCGGGTGACGGCACGTTTCGTGATGAGGGTCGAGCAGACGAGGAAGCTTGCGCCCGCAAAGAACAACCCGAGCTGTTTCAGTCCCCTTGGAGAGAAGGGTCCATTGTCGATGTGGGCCGGTGAGGGGCGCGCCACGGAGGGCGTGGTGGAGGGGGAGAGGGAGGAGGGCGTGGACGGTGGTCCCGAATCGTTGGCCATGGCTACTGGGGGGCCTGCAGCGAGCATCGGATACCTGTGGCAGCCAAGATCGAGTCAGCAGTGGACTCACCACCTGAGATAAAAGAAAAACAGGAGGGGCCAAAGGGGAAGGATGTCAGATCGGGGAGAGAGAGGGGGGGGGGAAGGCGGGAAAGGGTACGAACCGAGTTGAGGAGCGCAGAGCTCACAGGATGGGAGGAGGTGGGACTCGAACGTTGGTCAGTCGCGAACGCGGAAGAGTCGATGGAGAATGGGGAGAGAGAGAGAGATGGAGTGTGGTTGTGAGACGCGCTGCCTCTAAATGCATAGGCTCGACAGTAGTCCGGCTTTCAGCGATATGCATTGGCTTATCCGGTGTGCGGGCTGGGCCGTGGCTGTTTCCTCAGTAGCGCGATGAGGAGAGAGAGAGGGGGATCCAGTGCACCACCCTTACTCGCTCTGACAACCTCGTCCATCCCAGTTATCCCAGCTTGACACGGTTCATCGCGGGGACCCGACTCCTCCATCGTTGGTCGGATCGTGTTTAGCCCACCGTGGCTGCGCTAACACCCCTGTTGAACGGACACCTCGAGTCTTCCCACCCCAATCGTGTCGGAGCATTTGCAACAAGAAGCCCGTCCGTTGACGCAAGGACTGGGTAACCCTGCCGCTACCTTGTTGCGTCAAGCGGCTCACTGTCACGAGGCCCTCCCTTTCTCCTCCATCAGTTCAAAGAAACGCGATGAACGCTGGGCTGGGCTGGACTGGCCTATTCGCAATTCAGGGCCATTTGATCGATAAAGCCAAACAGAGCGAAACGGCGCGTCTCGAGCAGGAGCATCTTCTCCGGCAAGGCAGCGCTCATAGGCGTGTCGAGAATGGTTTTGCATGCTGCGAGAGTTCGTCCAGAGCTGACCTACGACTTATCTTCTGACTCGTCTCGCCTGAACTCGCACAACTCTAGTGCCAGACCTCCGAGGTTTGCAGATGCACCCTGTCCCTCCGTCCATTCATCTCATGGAGATTGTGACGAGATGCATATCCACGCCAGCTGAGAGATTTTCAAGCAAGAATGAGAAAGAAAGAAAAAGCTGCAAGAGGAGACAGGAAGCCAAGACGCTGTGCCACAACCGACACCCCGCCTCGCGTCCCCCGTGTTCTGAGCCAAGTGTCCGCAGCACACGAAGGATCCTTCATGCAAGCCGTGTCGGCTGACGAGATGGCTCGGCCTCCCTCCTGGACTGCTGTCCGGGTAACTGGTAAGAACGCGACTGCACCATCGGCGTCATCGCTATCGGTTATCTGGCTCGGCTGAAGTTAAAGCCTGGCTGGCACACAGGCCATCCATCCTACCACATCGAAACCGTCCCAACTCTTTGAGGCGATGCACAGCCGCGGATCTCGCAGCGCGATCGTCGACATGGATCTTGCGAGAGGCACACATCGAACGCAATGCCCACTCGTATGCACGTACATGCAATAAACTGGAAACTTCAGACCTGCCAAGAGGGAGGACGGGACAATACGGCCAGGGCCGTTCGGCTACATTTCTCGATGCAGAGCAAAAAAGCGAACGGCACGATCATGACTCGAAATCACAGTCTGGCTCGCCTCGACGAAGCACGTCAGGATGTGATAGCGTTTCCATCTCCTTCTTGTTTCTGCCTTTGCGCACGAGCGGAGCTGGAGTGTGTGCATGTGTGATGACAACGACACCAAGTCTGTCTAAAGTTGGTATATCACTTTTCACTTTATTGTGACCTGGTGACGGACTGAACTTCGCTTCAGGTGATTGGATGGACTGGGATTCTGACTTTGCATGGCCCTGCACAGAATTATTGGACCGTCGGTGATAATGCCATGAGTTGATTTCTGACAACACTTGTTTGTGCCGTCCAGGACGGAACACCAAGTAGCCGGGACAAATGTCATTCCTTTGTCCTCGAGCAGACTCTTCTCCGTTCTTTTTGGCCGCTTGTTCACTCAGCTCGACGGCCCTGGGCATCGGGACCGATCGACACAACGTTGTATTGGAGGAGAGAGCATGCATGTCGCCAACCACGTGCTGTGCACGGTGCTGTTGCCTCGCTTGTGGTGGTCGATTATGAACAGCATCAAGAACGGCAGCAACCGGCCACAGAACATGCTCGACAACGACTGACAAGCACGCCCATCGTGGCTTCTGTCACCGAGACCGTGGAAATCCAGAGAGGACGACCTCGGTCGGCCATAAGACGGGCTTCGACACCTAGGCGGCCGCTATTTTAGCCTCAACAGCGTGATGGTCAAAAGGTTGTTTCGAGGTAAGGGAGAGCAGACTGCCTTATGCCTTGCCATGACGAGGGCATGGTTGTGCATTCCAGCGTGCTATGAACAGGGGGCAAGACAGCGGGGAACAGCGGCGGCTGATGAACTTTCGCGGGGACCCACGAGCTACCGTGGATCAGGCATGGTCATGTCCCAGTTAGCCTCATCCTTACCTTGCTGTACCTTACCTGAGGTGCAGTACAGTGTGGTCATCCACCCCTGCGCGCGGGACGGGTCGGCTTGGCACAATCCTGGACACCCTTGGTGATCCTCTGTGTGGTCTCTCCACTGGCCCACCTAACTTTAGGTACATGGTAGGTAGCTGGGTACGGCCGCTGAGATTCAGTCAGTCCTCACACGTCAATATTCACCCAGCATTGAGCCGGTCGCTCGGTTGCAACTCGGGCGTTGTCTTCATGAGCTGTCAGAATCGTCGGGGAATCGGACTCGAGACTATCCTCGACGCTAGTGAGTTGCGCAAGCGACTACAGCTCCCCCGCCTGGCTCCACGTCAATCACAAAGCCATCAGCTCTGGGCACATTTGAATAAACCGAAACAACTCGAACACACTTATCATGACCATGGGGCTCACTCGTGCTTTCGTCCCAGCAGAGGCCACGTCATAAAACCGTTGAGCACGCCAACGGCAAGGCTAGCGACTAGTTCGGGCGCGGTGCATCTGTCGCATAAACCCCCTTTCCTGCAGGTTCTGCGAGGTCTTTTTTCCACAAAGTGCACACACGGATGACTTCCGCGGCCCGCCTACTGTGGGCTCAGTAGGCACCTCGACGTCTTCGGACAACTGCACCTGCACAGTGTCCCGGCAACTGACAGGGCCTTACCCCTTCCATCCTAGCACCTCAGATCTGGAGGGAGGCCAGGAACCCAGGAAGGGGACAGGCCAGCCGTTTTTTTCGCTTCCCGCATCTTTGGTCTTGCTCGTACTCTCTCACACGGATCGGGAGATTGACCTTCGTACATCGCCATCAGCTGCGCCGACCGAGCCAGCCGCGGACACACACCCTGACGCTCATTCCCCGTCCCAGACACGCCCTCCGACCTCCTGGCCAGTGTCGTGAGCGAGACCATGCCCAAGGCGAAGACGCCAGCCAGCCCCGGCGTGCCAGGCAAAGTGAAGGAGAAGGGCCAGGGTCAAGCCATTCAGACAGCCGCGTCCATGTCCACATCCACGTCCTCGCCCGCATCCACGGCGGCCACGGCGAGCTCCAAAGCCCCACCGCCTGCCTGGCCTCCGTTCAAGCCAGCCTTGCCTGTGACGGACCTGCTCCCTGAGCCTCTCGAGCAGTGCCCAGACAAGGTCGTGCTGCTGCCCAATTTCTGGCCCAAGTCCCTCTGCAACACCTTTGTTGCCTTTCTACGGGGCCTGGCGCTCGAGACAACGCCCGGTGGCCGGCCCAAGCGAAACATGGCCGCTCGCGTCAACGACCGCTTCCAGGTTGACGATCCTGCCTTTGCCCGTCGTCTCTGGCTTGGCACCGGCCTTCGTGACGCCCTGCAGCGGGAAGATGTCAGAGCCCTTTGGTCAGTCGAACCCGTTTTCTCCTCCCCGTTCCTTTTTTTCCAGAGGTCATCAGCATCCTCACATATGTGGTATCACACACCTCGATGCCGTCATGCTCGCGTCCCTCCACCTCCCCCACGCTGCTGCTGCCGCTGCTGCACGGGGTGCCACCAGTCAGCCTTGGACTGGCCGCGCCCTCCAAAGGACATGGGTTTCGCCATCGACAGTATCCAACACATGCTCGGCATCGGCATCGCTCCCAACCCGAGACTCCATTGGGCCTGTTGACGAGAAAAATACTTGCTGATCAGTTGCATATTGTGCCACAGGGGTGGTGACGTTGTTGGGCTCAACTCCAACATTCGCGTCTATCGCTACACGCAAGGACAGTATTTTGACGCTCATTGTAAGTATAGTACCTCGCTCGTGTCTCACTTGACTCCCCATGGTGCTGTCATTTATGCACGCCATGTCCCGTTTAAGACGATCCCGAGCGGCACGCCGCCCGTCCGCCACGAGAAGAACACGATGACGACGACCCATGCCACGAGGGGGCATGATGGGCACGATGGCTATTATCGGGGGTCGCGTCAGGCTCAGGGTCGGAGCCGGGCTCGCCCTCCGCAAGTACGGGCAAGCGCCGCAGTGACGGTTCAGCACAGCTGAAGGGCCGGTCCGGCTGTGATCGAGCCGGGTCAATGGTGCTTGAGGTCTCCGCTTGTCGCGACCGTCGCCTGACTAGGCAGGCTCAAGTGGCCAAAAACCCAGAAGCGAGCTCCCCGACCATCTGAGATCTGATTGTTCGACCGACTAGTCCGCTGGCTCCCCACCACCAAGTCGGCCGAGTCACCGATCTCAAACCCCTGTCGTGTTGATTGTCCAGCGAAGCTCTCCCTCAACAATCTCCGATGCAACCAGAGGAGCGGTACGGAGCTCAATCCGAGAGGGCCGATCCCTCGCCATCATTGGTTCTGCGTACCCAAGCCTTCATTCCAGCGATCGAACGCCAGACACCCAGTACCGAGAGGCCTTCACACCAAGACACTCAGAGCCTCCACCCACCCACCCACACACACACAATCCACATATCGTCAACCCACTCATTGCACGCAGCCTCATACCTTTCAGCTTCTCAAGGATGTCGCTCTCATTGTGATGAACGATGACAAGGCTCGCTTCGCCGTGATTCTTAGCCCATCAGCTAACAAACTTTGTCCCTGTCAGATGATGATTCGAATAACGTTGTGGTCCCCGCCGAAGACCCTTCGCTACCCCCCATTCCCTGCATCACCACCTGGACTCTGCTACTCTACCTGACGACCAGCTCCGACTCTGAACCGGCGGGCTGCATCGGCGGCGAGACTGTCTTCTTCCCACACGATCGACGGGTACCGTCTGAGGAGATATCGGTACCGCCTTTGTCCGGGCTGCTGCTGCTGCACAAGCACGGCAAAGACTGCATGTTGGTGCGTCGTTTGCTTCTTTTTCCCCCCCTCTCCCTCATTGCATTTACATGCCTCCTATTCTCACATGTTTGCTCGCGCGGCGCCGTCAAGTACAAGGTCTGGACCGGCGCCTGCGGCAGGTCGTCCCGTCCCGCGCCTAGACTCCTCCAGCCAGCACACCAGGTACCACGCCTCGGTCGACTATCGTGCCCTCACGCGGTGTTACGACTTAAAGAAGAACCTTTGGCGCGGTCGAGAACACGCATTTCTAGCAGTGTCTCGTGTGTGCCGTGTTTCGCAAGCGCACCACTCTCCTCATAAGAGGCGTGCGGTGGGTGTGGCTGTGGGTGCGGGCATGCGAGTGCGGGCATGCGAGTGGCTGTCTCGTGAAGTTCGTGCAGGTCATAATTACGCTGGTCTCGTGAAGCCACGCTGGCTAGCCGCCCTAGTCAACTCATTTTGACACTTTTGGTTGTCCTCCTTTCCCGGTTTGCCCTTCCCTCCTACCTTTCTGGCTTCTGGAAAAAGAAACGACAGATTCCTCTGAATCGATTCCATATGACTCGACTCGACAACCATGCCTACCCCACCCCCGGCCCCCGTTGTCTCTCGGCTCGCCGCCACCTCTTGTGTTTTCTTTCTTTCTCCCGTTTTGGCCTGCCTCTCACACACAAGCTGCCCTACCCCTCACTGCTCCTCACACTCTGAATGGTTTGCAGAACGAGAAGACGAGAAGGGGGCGAGACAGAAAAGAAACAACCGGCGGGCCCCAAGACAGACCAGGAGCGAAGCCGCCCTGCTGCAGAGCACCGGATGCTGGCTCCGGCTCCCCCACCCCTCCTCCGTCTCTTCTTCGTTGCCTTTGGCTGCCAAGTCTTTGCTTCATCTAACCTTTCTCCTCGCCTCTCGGCTCCCGCCACGCCCCCTCCCCCTCGGCCCTAAACTCTTGAGACTGACGAACGCGGGTACCTTGCGTACTACAGCACGAAGGGCGCCAGGTTACTGCAGGCGAGAAGTGGATTTTGCGGACCGACATTTGCGTTCGGAGGTGATGAAGACTTTGCAGAGTACTGCAATGCACAGGCAAAGGAAGAAAAGGGGGAGGGGGGAGAAAACAGAAAACACGACGAATGAGAGAAAAGACCACGAGAGCGTGGACTGCTGCATGCAGGCTGCGGCCGACCGTTTGTTTCCTCCCCCCTTCGCTTTTGCACTATTTGTTTGATCTGCCTGAGACCTGCGAGGGCCGGCGTGGGAGCGCACCGCGAGGCTCCGGGGAGGGATGCTGTAGAGGATGCTCCACGACCGAGATGTAATCATTTGTTGTTTATTGCTAAGCTACCACCAGGCTTCGTGTTACACGTGCATTGCTTCCCCGTTGCTCAGCTGCCGCCCATGAGCCTGTCAAACCGCTCAAAGAGGTTGCCCCCTTCCTCATCGCCGTCGTCGCTAGCGCTGCTGTAGTCGAGCTGCTCGACAGCCTCGACCGTCTCGACAGTCCGCGGCATCGCCGGATATGTCTCGTCAGGGGGCTTCTGGGGTTGTGCGGCCTCCGCGACTTGCCCTGCTGCTGCATCTTGCCTCACCGGCCTCAGGATAGGGGTTGCGTGGCGACGCGGCGGCGTCCGGCCGACGGGCTCGTGCGGGCGTGTCTCCTGGGCCGAGGAGGGCTGCGCGTTCCAGCGCATCTTCTGCATGTTGAAGATGGCAGCGAAGGGGTCTAGCTTGTCGCCGCTCTCCTGGAGCTCAGCCTGCTGTTCGTCCGTCTTCTTCATCTTCTGCTCCTTCACTGCTGGCATGTCGGATGTCTTGTCCTCCTTTCGATCGTGCGCGGTGCCCTCCTTTCTGTAATGTTCGGTGCTGCCGTGGCCTTGAGATGGTTCGTCGGTGACTGCCACCCCTGTGTCGTCCTGTGCGGAGACTTCGTTTGTAGTTGCAGTGGCCTGTGTCTCTTCAAGAGATGGCGGCGCGTAGACCGTCCCATCGTCATGGGCGCCTTCGTCCTCTTCCTCAGAATCACGGTCGAACAGGTGGAGGACCTGGCCGCGATGGAGAAGACGTCCGTCCGGCAACGTGAGAAGATCCATCTTGCTCATGTCGTCTGTGAGATGATGCTCTTCGGCACCTGGAATCTCCCCGATCGCTTCCACGTCCTCATAGTCAGGCACGGGTAGGTGGCCGCTCGGCTTGGTCTGCGACAGCTCCTCCTGCCGGTCGAACGTGCCAGCGCGGTGATGTAGGTCGAACGCGATATCCGTGACAACGTCGCGCCTCGTCTTTGCGTCGTCCGTCGCGATGCGGCCGAGGACCCAGTGGTAGATCCACGGAAACGTAATGAGAGGCATGCCCCTCATGTCCCTCTTCCGGCTGGGCAGAGCCTCCGGGTCGCCAGCAACACCGCGCCCCTCGCGGCGGCGGTGCAGCGCGATGCTGACCTCCTCGGCCGTGACCTGATACATGGCCGCGACAAACGGCGCGACCTTGTCGTAGCCGCTGCCGCCGACGAGGGCGTGCACCTCGTCGCGAAAGGACTGCTTCAGGAGACCGGCATCGCGGCCAATGTCTTCCGAGTGCTTGTAGGCGTTGCCGACGCGCGGTCGGGACAGCGGGAATCCGGTCCAGATCTCAAATTCGGTCGACACCTCGCGCTGGGCCATGAGGCGCCGCATGGCCGTGTCGTAGGTCGACTTGAGGCGGCGCGCCTGCTTGAGGACCGCATTGTCGATTGGCGCGAAGCGCGTGAGGATGCGGCGGTCAAACTTCTTCTCGTACAGCGGGTTGAACGGCACGTCCTGCACCCTGTCGTAGATCTGTCCGAGGGCCGTGTACGAGTGGTAGATGGAGTTCTTGTTGCGGCGTTCGCCCATGAAATGGGGCCATCGGCGAGCTCGAAGCTCGCGGCCGAGCTCGGCTGGATCGCCTGACTTGACGTAGTCCACGGCTTTGGAATGGAGTTTGGCAAGCTGCAGGCCTGTCAAGATGTCAGCTCTGAAAGCGAAACATTCAGAAGAATGGGGGAGACTACCGACATTTGGTGTGCATAGCGCCTCCCTCAAGGTAGTCTGCGCTGGCCAAGTGCGACGTTGCGATGAGGGGCAGGCAGTCATTGCGCATATACTTGACGAAGAACTCACTGAGGTCTTTTGCATTGACGTCCCGATCAAGGACCTTTGTCTGCGGCGCCGCGTTGTCCATCGGCCGAAAGTTCCACACCGGAGGGATCAAGTTGGGATCCCAGATGATGAAGAAGTCGTCGCCATCCAGGTCGCCTCCAGAGAGCATGCTTGGAACGTCGACATCGCCCGTGCTCGGAAAGACGACTACGTTCTTCATGTGACGCAGCTGAGGCACGTCGACAGCCTCAACAACGCGGATGTCTCCTGGATGCAGTGAAGGGTTGCGGCCGACAATGCACACGCCCTTGATGACGTTGAAGGAATATCGATCGTCAGGATCTGGAATTTGAAGAAAGATCTGAGGCAGTAGTTCCACGTTTCTCGACGTGGTCTGACCTTCGCTCGCCCTGTTGTGGCCTCGCAAGGTTGCCGTCTCATCGACGCAGCCGAGGACGAAAGCACCCTTGTCAACCACGATGCGTGCCTTGTCCCGTAGTAGCTTCATGGACCACACCCGCCAGAGCTGCAAAATGGTGAGGACGAAGGGCTCTTGGACGTCATGGCGCATGAACCCCCAGTTGATCAGGTCTCTGAGCGCCAGCGATGTGTGATTCTCGTCAATGTGACGGCCGAGGAGAACCGCAGCGGCACCCTGGTCATTCATGGCCTTCTCGTAGCCATGGAGCTGTCTTTGAAGCAAGTCCATAAAGACCTCTGACTTGATGCCCAGGGATGTGAGGATCGTAATGGTCTGGCGGTTCAGAGTGGCCGCGGAGAACCGCGCGCAGCGAATTATCTCGAGACCGTTGAAAGTCGCCTTGAACTTCTCCTGCGATTTCCGAATGTGCACATACATACCCTTGGCCTCGGGCCATACGGCAAGAACGCCTTTGCAGCCGCCCATGCGAAACTGAAAAGCCGATGGCGTCTCGACTGTCTCGAGGCCCATCTCTTCTAGTACCATGCTGGCGAGGAAAGAGGAGATCTTGCCGACGCCATCTGTAAAACAATGGCCGTTTCTTTCAATGTCGGGAATGATCTGGATATTGGGGGCCCGAATGCTGCGAATCTCGCGCGTTGTAGAGAAACACTGTCCCAGTCTGGCTGCGAATTTGGCAACGATGTGTATGTGATTGAAATTCCCCATCCATTGACGCATCTCGGTGCACTTGAGATGGACAGTCTCGCAGAAAAAGTAGGCACCGCATTCTCTGATCTGAGAATTGCCAAACGCCAGAAACTTGTAGTGGCGGTCGCCGATGCGGATGCCGTTAATCATGGTTAGATAGACCCTCTTGAACACATAGTGGTCCAGCTCCATCTTGGCTCGCGTGCTGATCCTGCCTCGCGTGAGCTCGTCCGTGAACTGGACGCGCAGAAAGCGGTCAGAGACGTGCTGGTACTTTCTTATCACGCGATTGCTGGCTTCGACCCCAGGAGAGCTCAGGTAGATGGTCGTGGGCGTGACGACAACTTTTCGGACAATGGCGCAGTAGTGAGGCACCACCGGGTTGGGGTAGTAGCAGTTGGCTTCATGACTCTCAAAGATGTCCATCGGCTGCTCGACGGCCTTGCCTCGATCGGCAAAGTATTCCAGTATCCATTTGGCGCGGTCCTGCTGGAGACCTCGCAGGCGATCTAGAAACTCTTGCGACAGCTTGTATTCGCAGAGGACGCCACGAGAGATGCAAACCTCGAGTTGATACTGCACGGGAAAGTCAAAGAATCTCGCTGTGGGCGAAGAAGTGGCATTTGAATGCATCAAGGAAAGCCAATCGTCGTTTGGATCTGGCTTGGAAGTCTTGACAGGCTTGTTTCGAACTGCTTGGTTCTCAGACGGGATGAGGCACGGCTGATCTGGGAGTTCTGAGCTCTTATCAAGGCGCGTGAGCTCGATATTGAGGTCTTCAAGTGCCCCTGTCAGATTGCGAAGGTCTTGGCCAGGAGCATCAAGCCTCATGCGGAACGTCGTCCAGCGGCCAATGTCGACGAAACTCAGGTCATCCCACTGGTTAAGGAGGCCGAGGCTGTAGTCCTGGGGGAGGTCGTTGTCGTCGAGGACATGGGAGGCGCGCACCCACTGGTCGTTCTCGGTCCACAAGAGCCTGTCGGCTTCAAAACTGCGAGCAATATCTTTGTTCTTGAAGTAGTAGGCTGGCGGGTAGCGAAGGGGTATCGTGAGATGAAAATCGCCATTTCCGAGATCGACGAGCGACGCACGCCTCATATGAGCGAGGTCAATCAAAATCTTGTATTCACGGATGGCGTTGTCGGAAGAATCCTCTCCAAAGACTTGGCCCGACTCGGCGTCTGGCGTTACGGAGATGGGGAAGTAAATTGCGAGGGTTTTGTTTCGAAAGTCGGCCTTCAGCCTGATACACTTGGAGTCGCTGCCCTGGCCTTGGGAAACCACTTGTTTTTTGGGCATGATCTCAGGCCCTTTACCCGTAGGACCGAACTCCAGCGTCTTGATGTCCAAGGTCATCCTTGCCGGATAGAACAGCCTCGAGTTGACCGTGCTACGAATGGCCCCAAAGGCGTTGGAGGGCGGGTCGAGTTCGATGCGGATGGGAACCGCCGCCTGGGCAGGCGGCAGGTTCACTCGAACGAAGTTGTAACGGCCTTGGGACCAGAATGAGGTCACAGGAGGTGGTTCGAACCGAATACGGGCTTCGCCGGTGGGCTGGCCTTGCCTACCCTCAAAGTGCTCAATATAGACAATGTTACCGTACTTGGTGAACTCGGTGTGGATATCTTGGACGCTGGTGATCGGGAGGCCTCGTAGCCTGACGCTGATCTGAGGCCATCTTCGCCAGTCTTCTTGTCCGGGGCGCTGAGCAGGTGCTGAAATGCCCGAGCGCTGTCGATGATGCGTCTGTCTTGCTCCACGCGGAGTCCTTGACACCTTCGAGGGCGGCGTGCCGCTCGCTTGCTTATTGGGAGACTCCATATTGACGAGAGAAATGTCAGCCAGCCATCAAGCACCTGGGTCAGTTGGTGCTGGCTAAGGGAAGGGAGCTGTGTTGAATTCAGCCGTTAGTCAAGAAGAAGCAGGGCAGATGTTAAGGATTTTGCTTGGAGTATGGGGCAGCAGGGAAAGAGGTGACGGCGGTTCTCTGTGATTCACTTCTCCAAGAGGAAGGAAGAAAGAGATAAGTGACATGAGAGAACCAAGGCAAACACAAGGGGAAAGAAGCTTGAAAAGATCACGACAGGCGAGACCGTTGTTCGAGAGGCAAACCACGTTTACCTTCTTCCATTGATAAGAGATAATACTCATGTGTTTGCCTGCCGCTGCTGGACGGGGCATCCGAACTGTGGCTGTCAGCGCCTGTCGGAGCTCAAAGTTGTTGGTATCGGTCTCTCCTAAGCATCTCATTCACTTGCTGCAGGCAAGGCAAGGTACCTCGGGTATAGGAGGAAGTGACATACGAGAGCTGGTGGCGGTCGGTGGCTCATCGACTGCCAGGCTTGCTTGCGTCCCCTTCCATCCTTTCACCATGTACGCATCCCTGACATTTTCAACACTTGGCATGCACCGAACGCCAGACCGCAACACTTTGACAATGGAAACCAGCAAGCCGCTTTTTGAGACCCCTACAATGCTCCTCCCTACCTGACCACCTCCCATTCTCTGTGCATTCCGCTGCCAAGATGCAAAATGGACCTGATGATCGGCGGACAGTATAAATGATGTCTGACAAGACAGAAGAGGACCCACCAACAACGATTGCTCCTCTGCTGAAGCCGTGCAAGAGCCAGACGGTCAAGCAGCGATAGACCGGACTCGCGCGTCCTCCATGCTTTGCCTCTGCCCCTCGACACTTCAAGGGAGATCCATAATCTTTCCTGGATTCATGATCCACAGGGGGTCCAGTGCCCACTTGATCGCCTTCATCACACCGAGCGTGTCTTTGCCCGCCTCCAGCAGCAGCGACTCCTTCTTGCCCCAGCCGATACCGTGCTCGCCCGTACATGTGCCCTCCATGTCGAGGGCCCGCTGCACCATGTTCTTGACGCACTTTTCGACCTTTTTGCGCTCGTCGGGATTCTGTGCATTGTAGATGATGCTCTCGTGGAAGTTACCGTCGCCAATGTGACCGAGGATGCTAGCGAAGAGGCCCAGGTCGTCCATTTCCTTCTTGCTCACCTCGATGAGCTCGCCGAGGCGGCTAAACGGGACGGCCACATCAGTACTCCCTGTTCAGTATGATTAGTCTCGTAAAGCTATACCCGCCAGGTTACGAAAAGGCAAATGAGGACCGGGTCAGGCTGGTGGCCAGGCGGCAATAACGACGGCGGGGCGACTCACAAACTTCCTCGCCGTTCCGGCGCAGCGCAAGCATCGACCAGAGCGACTCTTTACGCGCTGACCACAGGAGCTTCTGCTCGCGCTCATCCTTTGCAAACTCAAAGTGGCCGCCAGAATGCGCGCGCGTGATCCTCTGGACGAGCCCAATGTTCTCCTTGACGCCCGCCTTGGTGCCCGAGAACTTGAAGAACAGCGTCGGCAGTTCCTTCCAGACGCGTGGCGCCGTGGCGCCACCCATGTTGACGACCTTCATCTGCACCTCGTCCATGATCTCCATGGCGGCGACAGGAATGCCGTTCTGCATCACCTCGGCGGCGGCTGAAGCGGCGTCGCGGATGGTGGGGAACGTGACGACGGCGACCGAGAAGTCTTGCGGGATAACGGCGAGTTTGAGAGTTGCTGCAAATGGTCAGTCGGTCGGCTGCGCGAGGGGCTCAACAGGACGACTACTCGCCTTCAGTCACCAGACCCAGCGTGCCTTCGGACCCGACAAAGAGGCCGTTGAGGTTGTAGCCTGCGGATGATTTCCTTGGCCGTCTCCTCGTCTTGATGACCGTGCCGTCGGCTAGGACGACCGTCAGGTTGATCACCCAGTCCTTCATGGTGCCGTACTTGACGGCGTTCGTTCCAGAGCAGTTGGTCCCAATCATGCCGCCAATCTTGGCGCTCGGGCCTGTCCTCACTTTCAGTAGCCATTCGAACATGAGTTTCTTCACAAGACCTACCAGGATCGATGGGGAAGAAGAGCCCGCTGCTCTGCTTGGCAAGCTGCTCATTGAGATCCTGCCAGCCGATGCTGGGCTGAACGACAATATCCATGTCCTCCTTGTTGAATTTGATAATCTTGTCCATGTAGGCAAAATCAACGCTTATACCGCCAAAGGGAGCAGAAAAGTTACCCTCTAGGCTGGAGCCGCCTGAGTAAGGGATGATGGGGATGCGGTACTTGTTACAGATGCGCGCAATGGCCGAAACCTGCTCCGTCGACCGAGGGTAAGCGACGGCGACAGGGAGTCCTTCAGGATTGGTTGATGACCACTCTGAATATCCGTGAGCATGGAGATCCTCGGGATCGGTTGAGATGATGTCCTCCTGGCCCAGCGAGTTCTCGATTTCCTTTAATGCCTGTGTCACTGCATCAGCCATCCTTGCTCGGTCACGGTCTGTAGGGGTTGGGCGGCACCTACACGTTCCATCTGAGACATGCTCGCATACTGCGGTTGGCGGCCTGGCTTGCCATCCAGCAGCGTCGGGCCACGACCCGAGGTCAAGAGCGACGTACCCCAAGATCCCTCTTGGCGAGTACTCGCTAGCGCCCAACCGATGGTGCCCGCCGCAGCGGCGAGAGCAAGGACGGATCGTGTGTTCCATCCTCGGTGTTCGGAGCTGTGCTCAGAGCCCTGGTGCTGCTCTGCGCGACGTGCAGAAGTGGTGGTGAGAGTCCGTTGACAGGACAGCACTGCGGCACGTCCAGCAAGTAGAGGGCGGCTCATGCCGGCCCCTCGAAGGAGGGGCCTGGCGCCAAAGCTGGCCGACATGCAGAAGGCTGCGCGGTGCATCTACACACACTCACTCACTCTCACACACACATGAAATCCGGTCCGGAGTCGGTGCAAGACGTGGGTGCGGAGTAACCGCCGTGCCGGAGATCGGCCCTGACTGAACCCGATGACGGTGACACGCTTTGGTTGGCGATGGCCCGGAATGCGGCGATTAAAACTCGCAACTCCTACGGAATGGGTGCAGTGCGTAGGTGCGTGGGACTGCTGCTGGCAGTTCCGAGGTCAAGGGTTCTTCTTCTTAATCACCTGCCGGAACGCAACAACTTCGGAGACAGGTCGACTGGAACAGAGAGAGGAGAAGGGGGGGGGTGGGATCCGTTGTGCTTATAAGGTGGTCCAACGGAGAGACAGTCTGTGCCTCTAGGTGGTGCTGTCGGAGGAGTGTACTCTTGCTGGTGTCGTGATCAACTTATCCAGGCATTTAAGACCCCGTTAGTTGTCGTCAATCGCCAATAGCGAACAAGGTACGGCGGCCAGCAGGTGAAGCTAGCTGGGAGCCTTTAAGAGCTGGGGCTCGGTGGAGATGGAGCGCAGTGAGACGATGGGGTCATCCTTGTCATGCTCGACCCTGTTAGGTGTGATCCTCTCTGGTGGGGGAGAGCGGAGAAAGTCGAGAAGGCTTAGGGTGATGGGGGTGGAGGACGTCAGGATGGGGGTTCTTTCGAGCCTGAGAGTCAACTGACGGCGGCTGAATATAGATGCAATATATCTCCCGTGTCTCTACTTGAATGAACGTCTGAGTAAGACCGAATGAAACGAAGGCCGCAAGCGAGCTCTGGACGGGGGAGGAATCAGCAGGTGACATTGGAGTGCTTTGAGGGCACTGGTTCGGTTCCTCTTTGGGCGCGGGTTGCAGGACGAACAGTGTGGGTTTAGAAGACTTGCTGGTCTCGTGGCCCCCTCCGCCCCTCCCCAACCTCAGGGGTAGGTAGGACTCGCTAAGTGGGCTGCGCACTTCTAGATGCTTTCCGAGTGACATGATCACATAGTGACCGAGGAAGAAAGTTCCGGCCAAGTAAGGTGACAGAGGCCGAATGCACGGCGCAAGACATCGATACCGCCAAGGGGGTGGTGGGCCCGGATGAGGGATCGTGTGGGGGTTGGTGTCTTGAGCTCTCCAGGGGGGACGGTGTTTCCGTCTAGTGGCTGATTAGTAGGAAGAACCCCGATTCTTACGCATGCTTCTTACATCATGAGTAGGGGGAGGTGGGAGGGGGAGAGAGAGAGAGAGAGAGAGGTCTCGTGAAGTCTTTCTCCTTCCGTCGTCGTTGTACTTCCAACCAACTCAAGGCACGTATGCGATCATGCACAGCGCAGGCGGCCTTGCTCTGCGAGCCTCGTGCCCGATGTCGTCCTGCTGTGTGCGGCCGCCAGGGCGACGTTGACTCGTCCGGGTTTCGTAATGAAAATGCCCGATGGGTTCCCCGACAGACATGGATGGCGCCGTACCATGGTGCACGGGGCGGACGCTGTGCGGGATGGTAGGTCGGGGCGGCCTAAGCATCGGACCAGGCAGGCCTGCGAGCTGGGTAGGCGTGAGGTCTAAGAGGCTCCGATCCAACATGCAGCTTTCCGACGACATGGGTCCGGCGTAGTAGTTGGGGCGCCCTCGTTCCCGTGTCGTGTCTGGGGCGTGTTAGACCTGGAGAAGATGTATGGAGTTCGATTCGTTGACAGTGGTCCCGTCTGGCCCAGACTCGTCGTCTGCTTTGCTTTGCCATGATTGCTTTTGGTAGGCAGCCACCATGCGAGGTAACTGCGGGTTGTGTTCCCCATAGTCGTCGAGGCGGAGAATGCATGTTGTATTTCCAGAGGCTGTCTGTCAGTGCACCTCCAGGTTGGTGACGATCACAAGGGACAGAGGAGGGTACGGGCAGTATGACGGCCATATCATGCCACCAAGAGCTGTCGGCGGCCTACCATGGGTGTCTCGGCATATCCATTGAGTTTGATGGTGCCTCCTACCCACGTCAATGGGTGGCCCATTCGGATCGTGGCCAGACTTGTTGCATCTCGGTACGTGTGCCGCGGGACATGATCATCAGATGTGGTGCCGAGGAAGCAGCTGCAGTTGTGAGTGTTGGGCTGTCGGGAGGAGAGGACCTGACCAAGGTGGAGAGGAGAACCAGGTAGCGAGCGGCACGGCGTGTGTGGCTGCGCTCATGGCCTTGCCTTGAGCCACTGGATGGTGGGTACCTCAGGTACCTACCTTAGTGAGCGAGTCCCCTGTGGTCCACTGCGCGTCGCCTGTAGCAGCCATGGTCCGTCCTGTTGTGCTTCACTCGTCTGCCCGTCGGAAGTCTCCCGCCCACCACCAGCAACAAAAGGCCATTCCGAGGTTCCCGAATGGAGAGATACAGGTTGTCATGGTATGCCCACCGGCTACATGGCTCCAGTCGCACTGACGGTTGCATTTCGCGGGGTTGGTCGCACCCAGAGCCAGCCTCTCTCTATCCTTCTCTGTCCTAGCCGTCCCTGTTGCAGAGTGCAACGAGCATGTCCAATACCTGACGGCACAAGACAGCTCAACCGTCTCACACCGCCTCACCACCTGCAGCGGCTGATCACCGTCTCGCCTCGTCACCCCAGCTGGGCAGGTTGTGACACGACGCAGCCCTTCGGGCAGAAGCTGCTGCAGCCAAGTGACGCGGCGCGGGACAAGGCCAAGCGCGCGACAGGACACGAATAGCATGCGCTGCGTGCTGGCGAGGCCTTGGTCTTGATGTTCCCCGCGCGCCGACCTGTGCAGGCATGCAAGCCCCCCATGCGATCTGCATTTCATGGCCGGCATTCCGTGGTCAGCATCGTTGCGGCCGAAGTCTGCGACTTGTCAGCTCGTATGATGGAGAGAGTTGTATTCGATGGGTGCATGGCAAAGGCTTGCGAGATGTTGTCCTCACACTTTGAACCACCTGGTACTTACTAACCTTACCTTGCCTTGCCTAAGTAGGTCCTTAGGTAGGTTCCTTACTTTACCAGGCCTGCCAGGCAGAGGCCGCAGATGTCACCTCCCAGGCCTCGAGCCTACAGCGAACACTGAGGCCTCGGCTCCAATCGAACGCCTTTGCGCTCCCTGTGCGAAAGCCCCAGACCCTGGAAGACGTGTCCCAATAGAGCCGTCCTCAATCAGGCAGGTCGGCGAATTCGCACCTGAGATTGGACAGCGCCTAGGTGCCAGGCCTGGCCATCCAGAGAAAAATGGGTCGATCGTAGGGTGCGATTGACATGATGGAGCTAGACGTGCACTTTATGCTGAATTAGGAATTTCCGTCATGGTCTGCAGTCAGGTGCGTTTGTCATCGGCAGCGTTCCGAAAGCCGCCTCCTGTACCCTTTGACGCAGTGTGTAGTTTCGCTATAGGCGATGACAGTCGTTGTATTAGGCACACGTGTGTTTGGCACTCGAGTTCTGAGTTGACCTGCGAACCAAAAAAGACCAAAAAAAAGACAAAAGACAAAAGGTTTGACAGAATCATCTCTATTTTGTCTACAGCCATTCATATACCTCTATCCACTAATCTAAACTCTACGACAGGCCACGCAGCCATTCCTCCTTCCTCCAACCGCAAATGTGTCCCCTCACAACTTCTTCAGCATGATGCGATCCATCTGGATATCTCCCCCAACGTTGAACTCATGCCCGCCGACCACGCTGAACCCGAGCTTGGCATACACCTGCGCAGCCTTGTGGTTCTCCTCCCAGACCCCGAGCCACATGTGTTCGAACCCTTGCTCCCGCGCCTGCCTCTGCGCCTCGTGGATGAGCAGCTTGCCGATACCCTGGCCGTGGTGCGCCGCCGAGACGTAGATGCGCTGCAGCTCAATCTTGGAGGCCACATCGTCGACGCACGGCTCGCTGCCGCCGCGCGTCAGCAGGACGAAGCCGATGATCGTCGTGTTGTCGCCGTCCGCCGCCACGGCCACTGTCATGTCTTTTTGTGTGTCTTCAATGTCCCGCGCCGTCGCCGCGACGCTGTACGACGCATCTAGGTAGGCTTGGAGCTGCTGCGGCGTGACCGAGTGGCCAAATGTGGCGCTGAACACAGAGGACCCCAGCGCGGACACTGCTTCGGCGTCTTGCAAGGTGGCCCGGCGAAGGGTTGGGGCGGGTGTTGTGGTGGTGGCGGAAGACATGTTCTGTGTGGAGAATGAAGATGTTTGTTGCTGAGGGCGGAGGAGAGAAGAAGAGAGAGGCTGAGAGTGCCGAAAGTTGAGGATATCGATGAAGTGAGTGAAAGTGAAGTCTTTAATAACGTCAAACGTTGAAGCCAGCTGGCCGATACTAACAGCCATAACGCTGGAATTCGACAGGGCGCGCCCTGCTGGTAATCCAACGGCCATGAGTGGGCCGAATTGTCGGGCCAGAGCGGGTCCGCCTTTGCTCCCTCTCCGCGTGGTGTTCGACCGTCCGCCGACGGCTGCCGGACCCAAGGAGTCATCCATCCCAGCATGACATGGAAGGGTAGAGAGGGTACTTAAAGCCTTTGAAAAACCCCTTCGAGACCGACAAACTTTCTGCTGGTATCATCAGAGCACCTCGCACCCGAAAACTAAACAAAAACGTCATGTATATTCGAGCCGTACATGCAGAATCAAGCCTCGTGGTTCTGAGGCAGCTGATCCGAGACAACCCCCTCGGACTGTTGACCACTGCGATCCAGTCCAAGGAGCACCCGCTTCTTCAGTCCAGTCACATTCCGTTCGTCATCGACGTCGACGATGAATCGAGCGAGACAGAGACTGGCCGTCTTCGTGGCCATCTCGCCAGAATGAACCCCCACAGCAAGGCCATGATCGAAGAATTGTCGTCCCACCCCGAGAAAGGGAGTGTGTTAGAACAAGATGTCCTTGTCATCTTCACGGCGCAGCACCACTATGTCACGCCCAAGTTCTACACTGAAACGAAGCCTGCCACGGGCAAGGTTGTGCCGACATGGAACTACGCCGCCGCCCAAGTCTATGGCCGCGCTCGCATCTACTTCGACTCCAAGTCTGACGAGACCTCTGCGTTTCTCCAGATGCAAATAACCGACCTCACTCGCCATTCCGAGACGAGCGTCATGGGATACGTCGGCGGCGAGCACCCTACGGACTGGAAGGTTACAGACGCTCCCGACAAGTACATCGAGCTGTTGAGGAAGAGCATCATCGGCATCGAGATTGACATTGACCGGTTGGAGGGCAAGTTCAAGATGAGTCAGGAGATGGGCAAGGGTGACAGAGAAGGGGTTGCAAGCGGCTTCGGGATGCTTCAGAGCGATGTGGCCCAGCAGATTGGCTGCATAGTCAAGCAGCGTAGTGACGAGAAGGACCAATAGACGGCGCCGAAGAAACGCACGCTGATAAAATCCTCCGTGTCTGCCGAAGACCGTTGACGTGGATGGCAATGACGGCCCAGCTCCTCCCTCAATATTTCAGGGATGAAGTTGTCTTGAGAGATCATAGGCATCACCCATTACTGGCCCCGTTCCAGGAAGCTAAGCCATTGTCTCGTTTGAACTGCAGGAGCCACTCTGCATTATCAGCAGGTGTTTGATTCCATGTATCATCGCTGTGTGCCATCACTGTTAGCTACTTGCAGTCCTGAGTGGTCGTCACTGGCGGCGGCAGATGATCAGATCCTACCTGTCAAACATAATCCACCGGGCTTGATTCTGGAGCTCTTGATCTGTCGGGATGTGACAATCAGGGTTCCTAGGAGACATAGACATGGCCACGAATCTCGACAGCTCACGTCTCAGACCCCAGTAGAATGTGTCGGTAGAGAGGAAAGTGAACCTCTGTGGACCTGGTAATTCCGCTAGTATCTCTTGTCTTGGAAGTTCCTGGTCGAACGGCTCGTCCAAGGCAAATACAGGCTCTGTAAGCGTACCAAGAGCCGCGTTGCCGCTTTGATCTTTCTGGTCTTGAAGCTCGCGATGGTGTGACGCATCAAACCCAGGTTCTCCGAGGCGTATATCACGACTGGCTCGTAACGCATTTGCTTCAGATCGTTGCCGAAACGGCGCCAACCAGTGAGAAGAGTTATTGATGAGGCCTGTCAAGAAGGACATGAACAACTCAGAAGGCTCTCTCGACTGCGCGTCTGCGTTCTGCACGACTTGGCACGCCCCACGTTGCAGGTCAACATCATCGACTGGCGATTCGTAGGCATGATTCTGTACCATGAATAATTGGAGTTGCTCTTCCAGGCTGCAAGAGTCGAAAATGTCCGCCTTGCTGTTGATTCTCAACTCTGTCGCCCGATCTTTTACAATGCTTGCCAAAGGTGTATTACGAGCTCGTCGTGCGACATGCTCATCAGACATTAAGAGATCTCGCAACCAGGACCGCGGCGTGTTGTGAGCATCTTGAGATGGCGATAGCATTTCAGACCCGACGATAATGCAGCAGCTCTCGTACTGTAAAACCTCTTGAGAAGGGGGTAGGCTCTTTTCGTCGAGACATGAAGCAAAATAGTCCAGCTCAATTTTGATGAGCTCAAAGGCGTTTGCTGGCGTTGCTGGAGGGCCTCTGTCCGTCGTGAACGGCCACGGCGACGTGCGTTCAAACTCGATCAGATCTAGTGGAGCAGAGTTAGAGTTTCATGTAGGAGATGTTTCCAAAGAGACAAGGAGAAATATGGGAGAGACCTACAAGGCGGTATTGAATTCTGGACCATCTGGACCACGTCATCGTCGAATCCCCAGTCACCAAGCCACTGCGCCATGGTTGCGCCGGATTTGAAATGATCCGCCAAATGGTCGGCACGCTCTGTCCAGGATGTCATCAATAGGCCACAAAAGCCACAAGATGACTTGATATCCTGTATTGTTTGTCTCCAGCGCTCCATGAGTGAAGGGTCGAGCTTGACGTGATGAACCGCCTTGAGGTGCTGTATGAGGTGGTCCTTGCGGTAGAAGGACCTCTCTTCGGGTGGCCGGTCTATGCACACTTCAAAATTATGCGCCAACATATGGCCTTCGTCGGGCTCCAGTCGAGAACAATACGCACACGCCAGATGGCCGTCATCATCTCGCGAGTACGGCCCCTCTGGTGAACACTCCCATCTCTCCAGAGAGAGATGCATAGTTTTCTCGTGCCGCTGCCAACCATGTTTCTGGGCAAAAGACTCCGTACAGAACGTGCATTGAAACTTGCGCGGTAGCTGCGAGAGCTTTGTACGTGTTGTTGCCGACTGGGCGGTACCTCGATTTCGTCGCCTCTTGTGTTTCGTGTATCTGGCCAGGTCGCGCGACTGTGCGCGTGAAGAGGCAGACCCCTGTGAGTACGCAGAACCGCCAGAACTGTTGCTAGATTGAGACGTCCCAGCGCTGCTCGCAGATGACCACTCTCCCCAGACTGAAGGCTGCGGCCTCACTAGAAGTGGATGCCTCAGCTGCGCTGAGGCATCAGGAGATGCAGATATAGCCTTCAAGATGGCTTTCGCATCCGCAGCCTCGTCTTCCGGGGGTGAGTTCTGCCACCTTCCCAAGGGGTCCATCTGATCTACCAGCTCAGGTCGTCGCGAGGTGGGGATTTCCATGGCCTCGAGATTTGGTGCCGATAGGACGCTTGGCGATGTAGGCCGTACGGGAACCCTGGACTTGGTCCGCCGGCGAGTGTTCGCAAGCCATGTAGAAACCTGCAGCTTGTTGAGCCCAGTCTGAGCCTGCAATGACTCCATGTCTCCAGCACGGGGATAAGGATGGTGCTCGTGCGCTGCAAACCAGTTCCTCAAGACACGTAGGGCCCTGGTAGTACCGACTTTGGCGGGTACTGACGATATCTCTAGCTCCGCTGGTCCATTCGCGACCACAGGACTCGACGCGCTCATTGCTTCTGATGGCCAGTCCGTGTCGGCTGTCTCATTGCGATTGCCATCGCCGACGACAGTGTGAGGAGGCCAGAGCGCCGTACACTGTGGGCGCGCACATTGACGCGTGGAAGGCCCTGGTCGAGGATTGTGTTGGGTGAGGGGAGTTACTGGCGGTGACAACATGCATGGGCGACATCATGGGGCAGTTATAGCGTGTACTTGCTAACCTTGTCACTGTCGAGCAGAGCGTGTAGGGTCCACCTGCCCGCGGTCCCCGACACAGGGCCAGAATGCAGGCTCACCACGTGATGATGATGGGATCAGAATGCTGACGAAGAGACTTTTCACATCGTGTTCCCAAGGTAAATAGCAACCTGGCACTAAAACCTGATGAGCGTTCCAAAAGATCTTCATACAGTGGACACATATTTAACTGTTCTACCATCCCTCCTAGATCCCTCCTAGATACTATGTGGTTATATCACTACCTCGGGGAACCTCCCTCAACTGTAACATTCAGCGCTTTGCAGGCTTCCACGAGGCGATCCTGATCCCACGCCGGTTGAGAATCTGGCAGCACGAACCCCGAATACGGTGCGCCAGCTTGACGAATCAACTCCTCGAGACCTTGCCCGTTCGTAAACGACCACGCTCTCACAAACCGCGTGCCAAAATCAAGTTGGAACGACTCGCCAGCCGAAACCACCAGCGTCTGGCCCTCTCTGACCTCGCTCCACGCCGCGCCTCCTGATTTCGTCTGAACCCTCAGCACGCCTTCCAGAACACAAAAGCAGTGATCTACCGTCGCGAAGCTCAACCATTGCCGCAGTGGCGAGGCCTCGTACACCTTCGACGACTCGATGCTGGAGACGGCAAATTTGCCGCTGCACTGTGAAGCGTGAATGAACGGCCTAGACATGACGCCTCCCAGCATCCACCTCGGACCGGTGTTTGCTCGAAGGAAGTACGGCTCGCCAGGTGATGGCAGGACGTTCTCCGTCTCTTGCCAATCTCCCAGTGCGGGCGGTTGGTAGTTTCTCTCGAAGTGGACATCAAAACGATCCTTCGCTGTCGCCATCTTCTGGCCGAGGAGAGCACCTAGGTTGCGATTGTCATTCTCGGGCACGAGGACACCGTCGTAGGACTCGGCTACAAAGCGAAAGAAGTCGATCCAGTCGCCGGGAGCCACAAGTCCATATAGTTCCGTGTGAGGGCCCAGCATCTCGGGGTTGTGGATGACTTTCTGTGAAGGGATCAGCCGGAAGAACCAGTACGAGAGGGCCGAGGCGTGGCTCAGGCACGGCTACCTGCAACTCACAGGAGGAACATAGGCAAAGTCCCCAGGCCCCATGATGCGGCACTTGTCTCCGTTCCATAGTTTGAGGGATCCCTTGGTCACCATGAAAATATCGTGTGCCTCTTCGTGCCAGTGGAAGCCAGGCGCGTCGGACAACACGGCGCCACTAGAGAAGACGGCTATTCCACCATTCGTCTGCTTCGAGGAGGCCAATATACGGAAAACACCTTTACTACCGGGAATGGTGAGCCTCTCACCCTCCAGTTGGTCGATTATGTAGCTTGTCCGGGCCTCGGGAGGCACAGAGTGAAGGGAAAGACTCATTTGGATGAAATGGCGTAAGTACTGGTGTAATTTGATGTGGTATGGGTTTGAATAGGGTGTCAGACTCCGTCGTTCTTGACTTTTGACAGGAAACTTGAGTCTGGCGAGGTCAAAGGAACAAGGCTTTCTGTTCAAACCTGGATGACATCGACCATTGGTTTTGAGATGCCCTCTAGGGTGGGAAGCGAAGCCGCATCCCTCATGCGGGACCCCAACTCGATCTGTGGAGAACTCCAAGCGGCATCCCCGCATCAGAGCCTGGCTCTGCATGCGGGGCACGCCCGGGAATGCCGAGTCTCGGGTATCGGATCTTCCGCCTGACGTCGCTCATTGATTGTCCCGAACTTTCGGGCATGCAAGCAAATGGAATCAAGGTATACTCTCGAACCCAGCATCCACGGTCGTAGGTCTCACAATAACTGCCACCTACTCTCACGAAGTCCTTTAGTCACTGACAACATAGACGACGAAACGCCGAGCAACAACACCATGGCCAAACCGAGCAGCTTCAGGGCAGTCTACAAAATCGAGGACTCGCAGGAAATCGACGTAGATGTGTACTTGCCCCAGTCAAAGAAAGAAGTTGCGCCACAGATCAAATGCCCAATATGTAATGTTCCTGAGAGGCCTACAAAGTAACCTGTTTCCAGTCTAACTGAGTGTAGTAATCAACATTCATGGGGGCGCGTTCATGCTTGGGTCTTCCCGGATGGTGAATCTTGATCAAGTTCAAGACTGCTTGGACCGCGGCTGGATTGTCCTGGCTCCAAACCACCGCCTATGTCCACAAGTCAATCTTCTTGACGGACCGATGCGTGACTGTCGAGACCTGCTAGCCTGGGTCTATGACGGGGGGCTTCATCGAGCCATCTCAGAGCAAACCCGCGATACTAGATTTCTCGATCTAGATCACGTATTCTCCTTTGGAACTTCGTCAGGGGGTACCTTAGCTCTTGCTCTCGTGAGTCCACTCGTTTCCATCCAGACTCATGCGTGACTAACCTCGCATTCGAAGGGTTTTGGGGTACCCCGCCCAGTGGCTGGCATATTCGACATGTACGGTCCTTGCAACTTTTCAGATCCCTTTTGGACGTCGAAACTTCCTCATGTGGCTGCAAAGCTTCCCAAGGACCTGAAGAAGGATTTTATGAACGAAATCTACGATGAGAGGCCTGTCCCCATTGTCGGGGGCGTTTCGCTCGAAGGCCAAGCCCAAGGGCCTCCCGATTTCAGTGACCCTCGTCCAGCTTTTGCGATGACGCAGATTGCTAGTGGTAATGTGCTCGGTGCCATTTATCCTTCCAAGGATTGGAAATCGGTTGACCCTCTGCTGAATGTCAACCAAAACTTCCCTCCGACCTACATCGCCCACGGGGCGGCGGACACCATGGTACCGATTGGTTTGAGCAGAGACCTTCTTCGAGTACTGGTGGAACATGGGATCAAGTCTGGAATGTGCGAGATCCCTGGCGAGGAACACACATTCGCAGCAAAGATGCAAGTTGGTTCTCAAACATGGGATTTACAGCGAAGAGGGTTCGATTTCCTACAGAATTTAATATGATATCTGATGTATTCAAACGTCTAGATGTTGGAAATCCACATCCCAATGACAAGGCTTGCTGAGGAATTCAATGCGACTGCCGAACCTGTCGATGCCACATTATGCATCCTCAGATCTCCGACATCTCTGAGGGACCATGGTGGCGTATCGCTATTCCTGTCGCGATCCTTTGCCCCGAACGTCTGGTTCAAGGCCAGGGGCGTAACGGGGATCCATAAAACCCCCGAGTCATGTGAAAGACCGCGTGGCATAACCTGGGGCTGGTCTAGAAACCCGTGTTCCCCCATGGGGTTTGCTCCCCGCCGGGATATCCGGACGGGCTGTTGCGCTCGACATGGGGCTAACCGGTAACCTTGACTTCCCCAGATTTTGATGGCTGGTAGGTTTCAGTGTTGGACGCTCAATGCAGTGCAACTTTATATTAATGTCTTCATTCTCGTTGCCTTTCGTAACCTTGAAGTGTCAGCCTGCCAGACTCCTCTCCTCAACCCTTCAAGTCAACACTCTTATTTAGCATTGATCCTGGTAGTGCTGCTTAGCCGATTTCGTTGACGGCAATACCCATCTCAGCAGTATCCTTCAACATGACTCAAAAACAGACAGCGAATGTCAAAGAGAATGACGAGAACTCCGTCATCGGAGTGGACAAAGCCAATGTTTCTCATGCAGAGGTTTCTGTTCTGCCCGCTGAGCAGAGGATGAGCCCTTGGGAATGCATGCGGCAGAATCCCAAGATTGTACTTTTGACATTGTACGCCAATAGTACGTTCTTCCAATCCGTTTTCTGTGTGCTCTGGGTGTTCTAAGTTCCATCTGACATGCGTTGCAGTTGGGTCTGCCATGGTGGGTTATGAGAACCTCGCTCTGTCCGTCTGTCTCGCCATGCCGGCCTTCCAGTAAGTCTTGTTTTTGACGTGGTACGCAGCCTGGCCTGGGATACTGATCATTCGTCCCCGTCCACAGAATGACGTTTGCTTCTGAAGTCAACGGAACCCTCATCATACCCGCGTACTGGCAGTCTGCCTGGAACGCAACCTACAACGTCATGAGCATGCTTGGATCTGTGGTTGCTGGTTTCCTGCAGGACTGGTTTGGACGTCGCTCCGTCTTCCTAGCGGCCATCATCTGCTCCATAGCGGGCACTGCGATTAATTACGTTGCGGAGACTCCGGCAGTATTCCTCGGCGGCAAAATAGTCACGGGTTTCGCCGTCGGTCTCGTGCTCGCTGGTACTCAGACGTACGTCTCTGAGATAGCTCCTTTGCCCATGCGAGGTATTGCTCTTTCGGCAAACACCATCATGCTTGTAAGCTAAAGATCTTGTTCTCACTAAACATGTCTCAAGTCTTGATAGGTCAACGGAATACTGACTCTGATTCTTTTAGAACCTGGGCCTCCTCATGGCTATTTCTGCAACCTTCAGCCGTATTTCCATCATGGATCCGTCTGCATTCAGGATCGTCTTTGCCGCTGCCTGGGTCTTCCCCGGACTCTTGCTCCTTGGTCTTCCCTTCGTGCCCGAATCGCCGTACTGGCTCGTCATGAAGGGCAAGCAGCAAGAAGCCCGCCGTGCTCTCGAGAAGCTCTCGCCCGCCGGGTCAAACGTCGAAGCCGCACTCGTGCAGATTCAGTGCACAATCGAAGCTGAGCGCGCCCTGTCTGCAGAGAAGGCTTCGCTGGTCGACTGCTTCCGCGGCACCAACCTCAGACGCACCCGCATCATTTTGATCTGCATGTACATGCCGCAGATTGTCGGCGCCTCCCTGTCCGCCAACGCGCCCTACTTCCTCAACCAGACCGGCCTTGACAGCCACACGGTGGTAATGCTTGTGCAGATTGGTATCAGTCTTGGCGTGGTCTCTGCCCTTGTCAATGTCTTCTTCATGATGCGTCTCCGTCACAGGCCCCTCATCTTTGCCGGTGTCAGCTTCTGTGTCCTCATGTATCTGATCATGGGCATCTTCGGCACCATGGAGCGATCGCCCAGGAACCTAAAGATCATTGGCATTGCGCTCCTCATCACGTCTATCTCCTACGGCCCAGCGGTCGGCGCGTCAATGGCTGTCGCCGGCGAGACATCTGCCACAAGACTGCGCTCTAAGTCCATGGGCCTTGGTGCGGGCTTTTCTGCGATCTACAGCGTCATCTGGCAGGTTATCCTTCCGTATCTCTTCAACCAGGACCAGGCCAACCTCGGTGGCAACATTGGCTGGATTTTCTTCGCCATGGGAGCAATCTACTTGGCCATTACATACTTTGACGTTCCTGGCACCAAGGGGCGCACATATGCCCAGCTAGACACCATGTTTGAGAAGCGCGTCTCGGCTAGGCACTTTGAGAAATATCAGCTAGATGCTGACGAGATTGTGGCTTAATGGGCAGATTCTGTCGCGAAGGAGCTTGGTAGGAGACGAGTAGTGTTCAAAGTGTCGGGCGAGATGGAAATTGTGTTTTGCTTAGCGAGGTGTGATGTAGTTGCGATTCAATTGCATGAGTTTTCAAGGGCGTGGTTGCGATGTGTTCGAGGTTTCCGCTAATACTGACAAATAATTCGTGCTTTATGGGTCTCAGCCAGATCCATCATCTTGATATTTGGTGGGATGAACAGCAGAAAGTTCGACTATTATACCAGAGGTTTCTATGACAATTTGTCCTTGACGCCACGTAGGAGACGACTACGATGGCACATCGTCATTTCTCTAGGCTTGAGTCTCTGTCAGGAGGGCTTTGCGTAGCTAGGGCTGGCTAGAGGCCAGGGAATACGAGAACCCGTATATAAGGGTTGCAATGGGCCAGAATGCACATGTGGTTTTCTTCAATTCCTGTTATCTCTTGTCTGTGGACCTAGTGCGGAAGACCTCTTCACTCTGCTCAAACCCACTCTCTGACAATCTTACTCCTTGCTGCTTTGCGAGCTTCGAAATCATCATTGCTAAAGTCGCGTTCGGCATTTCAACTAAGCTTCTTGTAGTGTGTTATTCATTTGATACTATTTTATCATGTCCTACGTATTTTGCTCCCTCCGACTGTTCAACGATGCAAGGCGCCCATCAAGCTGCTATCCATCGCCTCAAGGTAGACCAAACCCCGCTGCGCTTCACTCCCACGGGCCGATGGAGCTTCGGACCCGGAACGGGCAGCGACGTCTGCGCCTTCTTCGCGAACGGCTTCTCTTTCACCGCTTTTCGCACCTCAGCAAACGCATCATAGCCGTACAGCCATGGCTGCACCTGCGGACAGGTCCACCGGCTGGGAAAGGGCCCATGCAGAGGCTTGCCGAGCTGCGACAGGAACAACTCGTCTCGCGCTTCCTGTGCGGGACCGTCTGGCATGTGAAAAGATTCTCGCTGTCTATTTGTCAACACTAAACCAACTGGGATAGGGCTTTCTCAACGCAGAGGGCGGGACGTACTTGTTTAAAGGTCTCTCTGACGATGGCGTCACCTCTTGATTTCCGGAGCTTTTGGTACATCTGCAGTGCCTGGGCTACTTGTTCTTTCGATTCAATGTGTCCGAGAAGCAATCCAAGGACGGCTGCGTCCTCGATGGCAGAGTTGGCGCCCTGAGCAAGATATGGAAGCATGGGGTGGCACGCATCGCCACTCGAAAGAAGTCAGCTCAAGCCCCAGGCAGATAATGGGACCAACTTACACAAAAACCATATTGGAATCCTCGTTGACCCATTCGGGCAGCTCCTCGACTGAAGACCGTTCAAGTTAGCAAAACTGTAGGAGAGGTCTGAGGGCAGGCTGCATTACTGTGCATGAGCTTCCATTTTTCAACAGTGTCGACCATTCCCAGGAACCGTCCCAGCACGGGGTCCCAGTCGCCGAAAAGAGCCCGCATCTCTTCTACGGATCCCGCCTGACGGCTGACGCCAAGGGGCAGATCGTCAGGGACTAGCAGCACAATGTTGTACATGCGGCCGGCGCGCACCGAATAACCCACTGCATGGGCTCCGGGACCGATCCAGAAGTGTACGGCCGGATTTGAGATCCATAGACGGAGCTCAGGGTCGGTCACCTGCTCAAGATCGAGGACGACGCGGTACGCCAGGTCACCCGTTGGCCGCGGC